ATGTATTTCGGGGTTTTTATATTGTAAACTCCCCGGTGATCCTTGACAGGCATTATAGAAATTTAATAACCTAATTTGATTCTCATCTGAAGGTTTTCCCCCACCCTTGCACCTTATCTGGAGTTGTTTTTTTACTCTTACAGTCTGCATTAGGCGCCTCCTAAACTGTTTCTTACCAGTTTTTGGTTAGGCTGCACCCTTGCAAAGTGAAACGGGTCTAATTTTCTGCCCTTCCAGTCCCAATGGACCCCAGCCAAGACGCTCAGAGGGAATATTCAACTGTGTTCCACCCTGCTGTTCTTGTGCATTGACTGGTGTTGCACGTGTATGGCTAACATGGTAGCACTACCAGGGCTGTCATGATTGGCGGCTGGCAAGAGAGAGTTGCCGGGGAGATTGTGGGCATGTCATCTGTTGCCCTGTTGCTTCTGCTAGTATTCTGCTGTTCTGCCTGGTCGTGGTGATGGCCACCCTAGCATTGTCCCTCCTACTGCTTCAGCACAGCATTTAGATGAATGGCTCCAGTCCCACGTGTCAGAATCACTCCTGACTAGCTACCAGCAGTGCGCTGCAGCAAAAGGGTGCCTTTATGAAGTTTGTCCTTGGATCATTGCTGAAATTCTGCCCTTTGCATTAATGGTTAGACATCACCATGCTTAGCATTAACCCAGAAATGGAAATACTCATTCAGCCATCTGCCTTCGTCTCTCTAGCATTAGTGAAACCTGGCAGCTTAGCGGACAAAATATAAAACACTGTACTATAATTATCCTGAGCCATTTACAGAGTGGTATTTTTGCCTGGGGATGACAAATGCCTGCCATTTCTCAGCCAAACATGACACACAAATTAAAAGTGAAGGAGCAGCTTCCAACCCCAAAGACTGTAGAGTTTTCTCCTTGTGAAAAGAAGCCCACTTGTTCGGAATACAGGTGTGTGGAAAACAAAAGGGATTTTATTTCAGAGCCATCTGAATTTCTAGTCCCAGATCATAGCTCGTTTGCAAATGCAGTTTGTCCACCCTTGCTCATTGCTATTATTTTAAAGATAAGGCAAGGGTTGTTGAGGACAAACTGGTGAATCCACACAGGAACTAAGAAGAGTAGGATTCAGTTCCACGGTCTAAGAACAGACCTGGGTTGATTGTGCTATTTGGGGATTAATATTTTCTCTGAAGATATTCCAGAGGAGTAGCAGTGCTAGGCTATGTTGCAGAAGAAGAAAAAACCCCAAAGAATTTTTTTGAATTGACTGGTGAATTTATTATGGCATGATCTGCAAAAGCTGATGCCATACTAAATTTGTTAAATATTTAAGGTGCCACAAGACTTTTTTTGTTTTCTCTGAAAAGCTTCACCTTGGGATCCTACAGGCTGAATTCATTCCTGCGCAGATTCATGTCCAGCTAGGTATGAAACAAGTGCTAAATGATTTATGCTGCTCTGCAGCCATGCATTATACATCAAGGGCCTGGCAATAGAGGAAATCAAAGCTCCATGAACGCTGCTGTTTCAGCCTGACAAGGCAAAGCACCCACAGATGAGCCTTCATGCAAAACAAGGCGGAAACGACCAGTGGGAAACGGCCTCTGGAAATATCAGATGGAGACAGGCTCCTGAATAAAAATGAGGGTATTTTAAGAGCCCCTTTTATTTATTTATTTAAAAAATAAGGTCTACTAAGGTGGAAAGAAGAGGATAGGACTTAATAATTTACATGTAAGTCCATACACACCGATGCTTTAACATGTCGTCTGCTTTAGAGCCTTGTGTATTACATCTCAGAAAACCTGCAATGCAGCTTAGTGACTTGGTCTAAGACCCAGGGCTGTAGCTCAGTTGTAATAATAATAATAATGATAAAAAGTAAAAAAACATGGGATGCGGGTGGCGCTGTGGTCTAAACCAATGAGCCTCTTGGGTTCGCTGATTGGAAGGTCGGTGGTTTGAATCCCTGCGATGGGGTAAGCTCCTGTTGCTCTGTCCCAGCTTCTGCCAACCTAGCAGTTCGAATCCATACCAACACAAGTAGATATATGGGTACCACTGTGGCAGGGAGGTGAACGGCATTTCTGTACCGTCTTGTTTTCTGTAATGGTGTTCTGTTGCGCCAGAAGCGGTTTATTCATGCTGGCCACATGAACTGGAAAGCTGTCTGTGGATAAACGCCAGTTCTCTCAGCCTGAAGTGATATGAGCGCCACACCCCATAGTCACCTTTTACTGGACTTAACTGTCCAGGGGTCCTTTACCGTTTTTTACTACTACTATTATTAATAATACGTTGTTGTTTTTGTTTGTTTGTTTCCCACCCATCTGGCTGGGTTTCCCCACCCACTCTGGGCAGTTTACAGCACATATAAAAGCATAGTAAAATGACAAACATTAAAAAATTCCTGATACAGGACTGCCTTCAGATGTCTGTTGTTGTTGCTGTTGTTGTTTGAATTTATATACTGCCCTATACCCAGAGGTCTCTGGGTATTCACAGAACAAAATCAAAATATAAAATAAGATATATAATCAAAATAAAAACAACCCAATAAGACCCCCCTAAAAGTTGTGTAGTTCTTTATCTCCTTGGCAGGTGGGTGCGTGCCACTACCGAGAAGGCCCTCTGCCTGGTTTCCTGGAACCTCACATCTTGCAGTGAGGGAACCGCCAGAAGGCCCTCAGTGCTGGACCTCAATGTGTAGACTATGCTGAGCTAAATGGACCAATGGCCTGATTTAATATGACCAGTGAGTGCCACTGCAGAGGTGGGATGAATCCAGAATTCCCCAGTCTGTGTTCAACTACTTACTCACTGGACCAGCATATAGCATCTGTTTAAAAGAGCCTATTTGCTTTATTGGGCGCTGATCAAATAACACCAGAGTGTTTGTTTAGCAGTGCTGTGTATGTTAGAACATACCAGATGTTTTCCATAACTACAATAATTTGTTACTACAACTCACTGGGAAAGCCCAAGGCAAAGCACTTAGATCTGGGCAGGGATCCAAGATCTGGATCCAAGTGCAATTTAAATTAGCATTCCTGGTCTATTTAGACCCAGGGTTGTACTAGCCACCACTGCCCAGCCACTCATGGGGCTCCTGCTGCAACAAGTGAAGCTCCTTCTTTCTGTTCACTCCCATAGCCTGGTGGTGCTGAGGACTTCTAAGAATGTCAGGAGAACCCTGCTAGATTAGACCAAAGGTCTAATCCTCCAGCCATTTCTGCAGATAATGGCCAACTAGACGCCCCAATGGGGAGCCCACAGGCAGGGTGTGAGTGCAACTCTTGTGATTTCCAGAAACTGGTATTCAGAGGCATACGGTTTCAAAATATGGCTGTAGAACATAGACCTATTTTCCAGGGTTAGTCCCAGATTTATAGAAGCCATCCCATTTCTGATTTGATCCCAGAATGTCCCACTTTTCCTTAGGACGTCCCTATTTTCATCAGAGAAATGTTGGAGGGTGTGGAGTTATGCGAACCCCGAACCAAGGAGATAAATAACTATACAACCAGGGCTTTTTTTCAGCTGGAACTCACTGGAACTCAGTTCTGACATCTCTCAGGTGGGCTCCATTGTCATTATAAGAGAATGAAGGAAGGGTTCATGGTGAGTTCCGGCACCAATTTTTCTAGAAAAATAGCACTGAAGGTGGTCCTGTAAAGGGAGGTTTTTGGTTTTTTTAATGTTTAATGTTTTTATATATGTTTGAAGCCAGAATGGCTGCGGCAACATTTTATCAGATAAATATTGTAGGGTGTGCTGGTCGTCATTGCAGACCCAATCCTCTTGTAAAGCCATCGAAGTCTGTGATCTTGTGGGAGCAAACTCCATCATTTAACTATGTGCTGTGTGAAGACGTAGCTCCTTTATGTCTGTTCTGAAGGTCCAACCATGAAGGCAAACTCTTCCATTGCCTTCCAAGACAGATGGATGCCAACCAATGTGAATGTTCCAATAGTCAGCATCATTAGATAGCTCTGAATTCTAGTAATATGAGAGAATGAGAAAAACTGATTTCTACCCACTTCCTCCAGACCATGCATATATTTTTGTGTCAAAAATGTTACAGTTAGAGCCCCACAGCAGCCCACATCAATGCTAAACACAGATACACATTTGCTAACAACATTGCTGGTGGATGGCGATATCCCTGGAAGGTGTACATCAGTGGTGAACTGGTTGTGGGTGAACAAATTTCAACTTGGTGCAGATGAGATGGAGCTGCTGGTGCAAGGGGTCTCCCCACTCCACCGGTAAGCTGGAGAAATTCCTGCTCTGAATGAGGACATCCTGTAAGGATGAGGTTTATAGTTCTGTTAGGTTTCGCCTTTTATTATTATCTGGATATCTCTCTCTCATAAAATGGTAGAGTTGGAAGAGACCCCAAGGATCATCATGGCCAACCCCTTCTGAGGTAGCTCATTCCACCGTCAAACAGCTCCTACCCTTGGAAAGTTCTTGTAATTTGAGCCCATTGGTTTGGGTCCTGCCTATATATATAATATTCGACACACACAAAGACCAGGTCAGATCTGTGCTTAATAGATAACTACTTTGCACCCATTTGGTGGTTTGGGAGTGTGCCGCGTGATTATTGCTGAGCTGAAACAGGGTCTTCGTTGCCAAGGCTGACACCCACTTTTTGCAACACTTTGTTGTAATGAAATTGCCAGAGTGCCACGAGGAAATGCCCTTGATGTTTTTTGGCAGCACAGTGACACCAATTTACATGAAGACATGCTTGTTCCTCAGTGATGCCCACAAAGGCAGATCTGATGACTATACAGCTATGACACCATCATTATCCCTGGTTGACTGGGTTTATGTAGCCTTTCAAATGGTGTGAAGTCAGAGCTGCAGATAAATACAGGGGATTTCAGGGGACCAGATGCATCTGGGTGAGAAAAGAGGAGCATTTTGGAATTTTACACGGGATGCAAACGTGTGCAACTTTCATGTTGTACCTGCTCCTACATTCTAGGATGCTTTCAGTGGAAGATATTGGATAAAGGCAAGACCATATTTTATTTCCAAAAAAGACATACAAAAAAAGTGTGCAAATCATAAAATAATACAAAATGCTATCTCAGGACACTCACCAAACCCAACTTAACCCACATTAACACCAACCAACCACACCCTTCTGAAGACTGTGTGGGATTTTAAAGACATAGCACCCTTTGTCATACCTACTTCTTGCTTTGCTAAATGAAACAAATCACAATGCTACCCTGCATCTACGGATGCACTAAGCCTTGACCAGACTCTCTCAGAAGGCTGGTCTTGCAGACAGTCCCAAAATACAATCAAACTTTACTCTGGAAGATGTCATCATTTACTGTGTCATCCTCTTTGTCAAGGACTGGTAAGTAGCCACCTTCACGGGGCAAACACCAGCACCAACCAGCACCAGTGAGGTCCAGAGAGGCAAAGTCGAAGTCAGTCATGTCTAGTGCCTTGAAATCCACAGTGTCCAGCCTGTAATGAATCTCGTTGAGCTTTTGCCAGTATAACCAGGCCATCACCAAACCTACTGCCTGCAAGAAAATATGGAGACAAAATTACTTGTTAACATGTGTGCTTTAAAATGCAATTATGACAGGGTATGTATATGTACAGCCAGGGTTTCCCTAATACAACAGTGTGAGTATGCGTAACCCAAGCAAAGCTGCTTTGATAGAAGAACCTGCAGGGAAAGTTCACAGCAAGTAAGAACACCTGTGTTTACCTTCCATGGTCCAGCACAGCAGCCAACGTGCAAAAGGCAATGGGTCCATTTGGGCACTCTTGGAAGCTAACCTTATTAGCAGCAGAGGTACCTTTAGTCGGTCCTTGCAAAAAAGCTAATGCAATTCTAGGCTGCATCAGCAGAAGTCGAATGTCCAGGTCAAGGGAAGTCATAAAGGTAAAGGTAAAGGACCCCTGACAGTTAAGTCCAGTCACAAACGACTGGGGTTGTGGAGCTCATCTTGCTTTACTGGCCGAGGGAGCCGATGTTTGTCCACAGACAGTTTTTCCAGGTCATGTGGCCAGCATGACTAAGCTGCTTCTGGTGAAACCAGAGCAGCGCACGGAAACAGCGTTTACCTTCCCGCTGGAGTGGTACCTATTTTTCTACTTGCATTTTGATGTGCTTTCGAACTGCTAGGTTGGCAGGAGCAGGGACCGAGCAATGGGAGCTCACCCCGTCGCGGGGATTCGAACCGCCGACCTTCCGATCAGCAAGCCCTAGGCTCAGTGGTTTAGACCACAGTGCCACCTGTGTCCCTAGGGAAGTCATAGTCCCACTCTATTCTGCCTTGGTCAGACCACACCTGGAATACTGTGTCCAATTCTGGGCACCACAATCTAAGAAGGATGTTGACAAGCTGGAACGTGTGCAGAGGAGGGCAAGCAAGATGAGGAGGAACAGTTAAGGACTTTAAAAGTACAAACTTGAAGGCCTGGTACAAGGGAGTGTGGTGTGATGCCCTTACAGAAAAAACGACTCTCAAATTAAGAATGGCAAGAAGAACAAAGGAAGATACCTTTGTGGGAGAATTGTGGATCTTCATTTTGTTCACAATTTCTCCAGAAAACCAGAGATCAGTTTTGTTTACAGTAGCTTGTAGATCCCTTAATACCATGTTTTATAGATGCGTAGTGTTATTAGTTGTGATGTATGTGTGGGAATGTAGGTTTTCATAATGTATTTTTTGGGGGGTCTTTGGTTTATTTTATTTAAATAAGGATCCTGCACAGTGGAAGCTCGTTTTCAAAAAGATTTCTCATATTGCTTAATCACTCTAAAACTTAGAGAAGCCCGATATATAATATTAGATTGAAAAAGAACTCCCTTTATAGCCTCTAGCAAGAACAGCCCAGTTTATGATTCAGTCTGTTAACCGTCCCTCTGACGTGGTAGTGCACACATCCCAGCTCCCTGAGCAGTGAGAGGTCCAAAGGCAGCACCATGAAGGCTGTGCGGCACAAACCTGCTTGCATTTACTCAGCAGTAAGTCCCAACGCATTTAATGTAAAACTAGGGGTTTGTGCAACTAGCACAAGCTGGAATGAGCCTGGTGGGTGGGATTCTGGCTCACACGTCAACTTTAAACCATTGGGTTATGAAGCTGGCTTGTTCAACTAAGTGCAGCTTGTAATAAATGAAAATCTCTGGTTTGTATGAAGTAACAAGCCTGATTCTATGAAAGCAAAACTAACTTCTGTTGAACACTTTCCCCAAGGAATAGGGGCGTAGAAGCTCAAGACTTGCTTGGGTTTGTAACAGCTAACAGACGTAGTATTTAACCATGGTTTACTATTACAGTGGTACCTTGGGATGCGAACAGGATCCGTTCCGGAGCCCCGTTCGCATACTGAAGCGAACGCAACCCGCATCTGCACGTCGCCGTTTCCGCGTGATGTCATTCTGACTGTTTGCGCATGCGCGCGCAGCGAAACCCGGAAGTAATGCGCTCCATTACTTCTGGGTCTCTGTAGAGCGCAACCCAAAAATACTTAACTTGAAGCACATTTATCCCCAGGTATGACTGTACATGTGAATGCAACTACTTGCTTCACTGGGATTTATTTCTATGACATCACATCAATGGACTGCTGACATCACTTTGATGGACAGTTCTGCATGCACAGTGGATCCCTGCACTCAGCAGAATTCAACACCCTCGCTTCCCATCAGCAGGGAGAGCACAAATTCTGCTTGCTTCAGATGTGCACACAGTCACTCCTGTGGGGAACTAGTGCATATGGTCTATTCCTGCAGAAAGCTGTTCAAATCTGCTTGGTTTGGCTGTGGGCATCTGGCTGGACTGATCCCACCCGCCCATCAGCTGATCGATGAGGAGTTCAATCCTGCTCGGTCACTAGCTCCCTTCACCCCCGCTAGCCAACTTTGACAGGTAGGTGGACTCGCCCACCTCTCAAATCTTGCCCGCCTGTCAAAGTTGGCCCAGGTGCAGGGGGCAGGTAATTAAATATCTGGCCCATGGGGTCTAGAAGGTTTCCCATCCCTGTACTATAGTATACTGTCAGAATAACTGTAATAACTACACAAGGTATAATCCTGCCCACCCTTCACCATGTGATCCCAGGTTGAGTTGCAACAATTTTAAAATACAGTATTAAAATTAGGTAAAACTAAATGAGTAATAGTGCAATGCTATGCATAGGAGCCAACTCCTAGAGGCCGAGGAGTTTTTGCTCTCCCCAAATAAAATATTTGAGGGAGTCACTCCCCCCCCCCAGTTGATGGGCATTGCCATTCAAATGGTGTGCATGCACTGCGTCATGTGACTGATTATGCAGGGCGGGGATTACCCCTCATGCTATGCATGTATAAAAAGGTAAAGGGACCCCTGGCCATTAGGTCCAGTCATGGCCGACTCTGGGGTTGCGGCGCTCATCTCGCTTTACTGGCCGAGGGAGCTGGCGTACAGCTTCTGGGTCATGTGGCCAGCATGACTAAGCCGCTTCTGGTGAAACCAGAGCAGTGCATGGAAACGCCGTTTACCTTCCTGCCGGAGCGGTACCTATTTATCTACTTGCACTTTGACGTCCTTTCGAACTGCTAGTTTGGCAGGAGCTGGGACTGAGCAACGGGAGCTCACCCCGTCGTGGGGATTTGAACCGCCAACCTTTTGATCAGCAAGTCCTAGGTTCTGTGGTTTAACCCACAGCGCCACCCGCGTCCCCTATGCATGTATACTCTGAAGTAAACCTCTTTGTGTTTAGCAGGGCTTACTCACTGGTGTGCTTAGGATTGCAGTCTGTGGTGTAATGCTTGGGGCTGGACTATGGCTTGCTCAGCCATGAAGATCACTTCACAGGGTGAGGATAAAATGGGGAGGAGAACCATGTGACCAGCTGGAGGAAAAGGTGGTATATAAATGTAATATTTATTTTTTTAAAATGTAACAAAAGCTCTGCTTCAGTGTATAATGTGCCAAACATAAAGAGCTGAGGCAGTGTTGGGTACCAGCACCTAACTTATGACAGTAAAGAAGTATTAGACAAATTCATGGAGGATATATTATATATAGTTGTGTGTATACACATGAAAGCTCATACCTAGAAATCTTATACTTAGTTGGCCTTTAAGGTGCTACTGGAAACACACACACACACACACACACACACACACACACACACACAGTGGTACCTCGGGTTAAGTACTTAATTCGTTCCGGAGGTCCGTTCTTAACCTGAAACTGTTCTTTTTTTTTAAAAAAAAATTTATTCAAAGTTATAACAAAACATATTTTCCAAAAACACATCTTTATTCCCCCCCATTTTTCCTCCCCCCACCCCCACAAAAGCATGTGAGCACAGGATGCTGCGTGAAATGGACCTTTGCCCAGATCCGTCAGCCAGTCTCTTCTCGTGTTTCTGCGTTCCAAGCATAATAGGAGGATGCAGACTCCTGAAAACAGGTAGCTTCCTATTATGTGGGCCGCTATTCATAACGCAGATAACCGTCTGGAGAAGCACTGACAGAGCCTGAGATTCCAGCAACTGCCAGATCACCCTAAAAAGCTATAAACTGGGCCTTTGTTATTTCAGATCAAGAGAGAGCTCAATATGGTATATTGTGAGCAGGAAAATGTATTCATTAGTGACAAACGCAACTTCTTCATTCACAAAGTGGGCTTATTTATAACTTTCCACCTGATATCTCCCTTGATAACGGTCCCAATGCAGCAATTGCAAGCAATATACTATAACAGAGAATGTGTTCTGTTCGTCAAAAAATAATCAGGTAGAAGCTGTTAGCTAGGAAACAGATGCTGATGATAAATAATGATTGTAAGAGCATTAATCAGCACCATCCTGTGTGCACTAGGAACAGCAGGCATTCAGGAAAAATCAGAGAAGTTGCTTGATTTGCATTAACTCCTTGATCACTCCAGTGACAGCTTATTTGCAGGAAAACAGCTTGAACCAAATTCAATGAAACTATGGCATACAGCAGACACGTCTCTTCTCCCTCCCCCAGATATATTGTTTAAGAGTCACTGCCACCCATTATATGTGTGCTCATAATTTTAGCCCATAACATTTTAGCTCATAATTTTATGGTTCTGAGATCAGACAGGATGTGTACATGTCTGCATGTGTGTGCTTTAAAAATCTGCAGTGCCCCTCTGATTGGACAATCTTAGCCAGGGAAAAAATCAGTAAGTCTATCATACTGCCCTCAAGTCTCTTAAAAGTTGTCCTGTATCTCCAGGTAATGACGTTTTTTTGATGCCACCAGCTGTGATGAAGAGCAGCTGTGATGACAATTGTGTTTGGCTCAACTTCATTCAGCTTTTCAACCTAGTGAGGTTCACATAAAAGGCACCTACTATTTCTACTTGCAAAGGGTAGTTGGGGATTTTCTGGTAACTGTCCCTGGAAAATCACCCTGCCTGGTTTTCTTTTCTTTTCTTTTGCCTTAAAAACCTTTGAAAATTGCCCTAAGTTGCACTGCTGCCATAATAAACACACCCCAAACTAAAACCAATCCCTGCAGCCTCTCATTCTTATAAAATACTGCTATACTTATAAGCCGTTCCAACTCTAAACCTCCGTGGGTAGCACCAGCAATCTGGATATTATTGTTGGTTGTACTCTGTGTATGTTGCCTTGGCAGGATCTTTGTTTTAAAAGATGGGATATAAAGAAACAAGCACCTGCATGAAAACTCTACTTGCAACATAATTTTGGAGCCATGGATGATGACATTGTATTGCTAGCACATCTACCGGTATTTGCATACTTGCTGTTCTCCTAAGAAATTATTTCTGGTGTGGTAGGTCTTTGGAATCAGTAAGTTTGGTGCTGTGCTGAATTACCCAACAGGCAGACCACACATATTCTTAGGGATCCAGCAAAGCAAAAAAATGAGAAAATTGTGAAAGAATTTGACATATTACAAATAAAGCGGCTAAGTATGAAATAATCACCATGGGGAAAATCTGATTTTCTTATACTCCACACTCCTCCCACATTTTTGCTCCTCTTTTATTACTAATATCCACCTAAACCAGGGAGACATTAACAAAATAATGCAAGAAAAATGGATCCTGTCATGTGTTGCACATGAGATACATTTCAGCACACATGTAAACTTTGTCATTTCAAAAAATAATTTTGTTGTTGTTTAGTATTGGTTTTATTTTGAATTACGTACAGGGGTGGGGCACCACAATCTTTTCTGTGCTTAGGACCTCTAAAGGTCTTTATAGAGATTCAGGGCAGATAAAACAAAGTCTTCATGAAGTGCATAGCTAAATGATGGAACTTGCTCCCACAGAGGGCCGTGATGGCCACCAAACTTGATGTCTTTAAAAGATGATTAGACAAATTCACGGAGGAGGAGAGAATGCTCTCGATGGCTAATGGCGATGATGGCTCTGCTCTGCCTTCATAGCTGGAGGCAGCAATGTTCCTGAATACCAGCTGATTGAAACCACAGGTTGGGAGAAAGAGAGAGCTCTTGCCTTCCAATCCTGCTTGCAGGTTTCTCATTGGGGCATCTGGTTGGCTACTCTTGAGAACAGGATGTTGGGCTAGGTGGGCCTGATTCAGCAGGCCCTTCTTAAGTTCTTATTTCTCAATTTGGCCCTGGCTTGGTGAGATGCTTTCACGCAACAGTCAGTTTTCAGATTAATACCATAGGTGGCTCCCAGACAGGATGGTCACTGGTGAAGACAGATTTGTGCAATGCATACAAGCTCAATTTGCTAGCTCAGAAGTACAATGGTACCTTGGGTTACAGACGCCTCAGGTTACAGACTCCGCTAACCCAGAAATAGTACCTCAGGTTAAGAACTTTGCTTCAGGATGAGAACAGAAATCACGTGGTGGCAGCGGGAGGCCCCATTAGCTAAAGTGGTACCTCAGGTTAAGAACAGTTTCAGGTTAAGAAGGGACCTCCAGAACGAATTAAGTTCTTAACCCGAGGTACCACTGTATCTGCGTGTAACAGTGTTGGGTTTTTTGTTTTTTTAGCATAGCAATTATCAAGGGTTTGAGTTGCCTAACTTTAGATTGAATAAAATAATTTGAATTAAATTGAATGAAGCTGTGACTGATGGACACACACCAACTACAAATTTGCTCCAGGTGCTGTAAGTACAGCTATAAATTAGCATTTGGCTATAAAACACAACTGTGTCTATAATGTGACCACCCATCTACGTGGAGATGACACAGCAGAGGAGAAACACCCACAGTGTGGTCTAAACAGGTGCATGCAAAATTGTAGTTTCTGCTTGAGGCATGTTATGTGCTCTCCATGAACAGCGAGAAAATTCTGCTTTCCTACTCAGGCTCTTCTTAAGTCTTAATCTGGCCCTGGGCTGGTGGGATACTTTCAAGCAACAGCCTGTTGACAGATTAATGCCATTGACTCTCATGGCTGAGTTTAGCTACATTTGATTTCTAAAGGGCTCTCACTGATGTTTCTTCAGAGCTTCTGAACTGTCACTTTCTTGAAAATTAGATTTATACCAATGGTGATTAGTGTCAATATGAAGAGAACTAAGTGACAAGAGCAATATTTATTAAGTTAAGCTGAACAATTTCTGTTTCGTGTTGGCTTTGTTGTGTATAAACAATACTAATGACTTTCTTTAGTGCTAATCGATCTGGTAAACAGCCTTGTAAACTGAAACGGGTGAAGAGAAGAGTTTATATGAAGTGCTCTATCAATTAGACAGCACTGTCTCTGTTAATTGCAAAGGAACATATAGAAATCAGGAGATGGGCTGAACAATTAACTGCGGACAGGCATACCCACTTAACTATGAATTAACAGGTGAATGTTTTCACTGACAAATCCATTTACACCTGGGAGAAGCTGAGACGCACTCTTATGATAGTCACTGAATTCTTTGTGACAGTTCAAGTCAAAAAAATGGCATCTGGTTTTACATTACCCAGTTAAAAATAAACAATGGTGTGTCAAGATGAGAGCTCTTAAAGGTACCATGTGCTCCTCTGGTCCTATTTTGTAAAGTATATGTGTGAGACAACTGCAGTAGTGCTGTGAACTGGGCTTGTGTGTTGCAGGACATAGCCATAAGGGCAGAAGAGCCTGCAGGATCAGGCCAATGACCCATCTAGTCCAGCATCCTGTTCTCACAGGGGCCAAGCAGATGCCCGTGGAAGACCAGGGAGCAGAACATGAGCAGAAGACCACTCTCCCCTCCTGCGGGTTCCAGCAACTGGCATTTGGAATCATTGCTGTCTCCAACCGTGAAGGCAGAGCAGAGCCATTGTGGCTGAATTTATCCTATCCTCTTTTAAAGCCATCCAAGTTGGTGGCCATCCCTGTGTCCTTGGGGAGCAAGTTTCATAGTTTGACTAAGTGCTGCATGAAGAAGTCCTTTTGTTTATATGTCCCAAATCTTCCAATTGTCCTAAATCTTCCAACATTCAGCTACACTGGATGTTCATGAATTTGAGTGATATGAGAGGGAGAAATAACTTCTCTCTGTCTACTTTCTCCATGCCAGACACCATTTTATAAACTTTTATCCTGCTGTATCCTTTCTATCAAAATGATACAAGGGAGCCATTATTGCCTGTGGTGTGCAATACATCACACTGCTGTCTCAGGTCAAACACTGGTGACAATGGTGAGAAAAAAGGTGGTTTGGTGGGCCCAATCCAGCCCATTGGCTGTAGGTTCACCACCGGTATTTTAAGCTGTATGCAGTTATGCACATCACAGCCTAGGACCCTCTTACCTACAGGACCGCCTCTCCTGGTATGCCCCATGGAGGACCTTAAGGTCCATAAACAGCAACACCCTAGTGGTCCCGGGCCCTAAGGAAGCTAGATTAGCCTCAACCAGAGCCAGGGCCTTTTCAACACTGGCTCCAGCCTGGTGGAACGCTCTGCCTCATGAGACCAGGGCCCTGTGGGATCTGATTTCTTTCCGCAGGGCCTGTAAGAGAGAGTTGTTCCGCCTGGCCTTTGGCTTGGAGCCAATTTGATTCCCTACCCCTCTTTCTTTTTTCCTTTCTCCTCCTGTGAAGAGGCTGCATTTTAATGTTTTAATGTTGTATTTTAATCTTGTTTTTTAAGTTGTATTTTAATCAGCTTGTTTTTATTATTGGTTGTTAGCCGCCCTGAGCCCGGTCTTGGCTAATAATAATAAAATAATAAAATAATAAATTTATTTTATTATTTTATTATTATTATTACCGAAGACATAAAACTGAAAATAAGGCAAGCTGCTGGTTTTTTTTTTTTTTAAATATAACTGTCTTCCCTTCATCCCTCTGCCCCACTGGTGGTAGCACCATGGGAAGTGCATCAAGGGACTGGAGAAGGTTAGGGGGAAACTCGTAGACAAGCTGTTTCTCTTCTCTTCTCTCTCCTACACTGTCCCCCACGATGGGGAAGCTTCAGGGGCCATCATAAGGCTCAAATACTGGCTTGTAGCTGTGGATTCTTACCAAAAGAGAACCATCTCCCTTGCAAAAAATTAAGAAGGATGCCAGCATAATGGATGGGATCAGTTTGAGAGCAACCAGTAGAGTAACACTTGCAATTCAACAGACCGCTGTGGGGAACAGACACTGTCCCCCTGGTTTTCACCTCCCTAACCACCTACCCAGTCTGCCCAATTTGCATGAATGTTACCCAGCAAGATGAACACTCTCCTTCACTTCCTCTAATTTTAGGGATGGATATTGATAACTTGGAGAGAACACAGAGAAAAGCTTTTAAAACATTTTCTTCTTTTTTTTTGGTTTTGTTAACAGTTATACAGTCAAAGTGCACCGAGTCTTGTGATGTGTGAAGACCAAAAGGCCAGAAATTGTTTTTACTGTCCTATACTATTAATAAAGCATCTAGAATATGCTTTTCTCTAAAGCCATGCAGATTCTGGCTAATGCAGTGCAAGTTATTATTACTGCATCTGAATCATCTACTTAACAAAACTATATTGACATTTGAAGGAAGAGAGCTCAGGTTTGTTTATCTTGGCAAAACCATCACTAACAATTTTTTTGCTTAGTGTGAATAATGTGTTTATTGAAGCAATGGACAGTTTTCGGTTTTATGGGGTGCTAAAGAGCATTCATTTCCTTCTTTTAAAACACTTTGTTTTTGTAAATGATATGCTAAGTGCCTCCCTGTCACTTAGCAACCTTCCCTGATTTTCAGAAAGTCTTCTTTGAGGATTATAAATGGATGTTAATCAGCTGGGGGGTTGGGGGGTTGCTATGGCTGGAGAGGACTTTGTGTGCTTTGAGGAAGAGAGACATTTCACCTGCTTACGTTAAAGGGAACAGAAGCAGTGAGTGGGAGGAGGATGGCATTCCCCTGCTTGATCACAGCAGCCATTGCAAAGGGAGAGGGCAGCCCCGCAGGGGCCGAAAGACCCCCCACTCCTCTTCTCATTGAAACCTTTCTGCTCCAGCTGGTCTTTGAAAGAATTCTGTTACTATGAATCAGTGCCTGGGTTTTCTTTTCCCCTCTGCTCTCACAGTCCCTTTTCCTTTCGTGGAAGTCCAAGCAGGGACTGTCCAGCACTGGCATCCGTACCCTGTCGTGGAGACTCTTTCTGGCTGAAGAGTGGGATAGAAATTATTCAAAAAGTAGTGATGAAGGGGCTTGTGTGGACTGCCCTGCACTCCACCAACTAGGTTATGCTATCCAATGCGGCCAGGGAGTGGCCTCACTGATTAGCTTCCAGAAAAATGCCAGCTTCCATTTCAAACCAGAGCTCAACGCCAGTGCAGTCCATGGCTCTGTTCCTGAACTGCTCAGAGCTTGGAGTTCCCCAGCTAGGCTGGAGCCCTGGCTTCCCTCAGCACTCTAGTCAGCCAACCTGCAAGCACCAATCCTGGTGCACCCAGCTGCGCCTTTTACCAACTGCAACTGGTTTGACAGCTATGGCCATTCCTGGACTGGAAAACCTGGCCACAGTAGTTCACTGGTTACTTCAAGCTTGGATTACTGCAATGCACTCTGTGGGGCTTCCCTTGTGCTTGGTTCGGAAGTTGCAGTTAGTGCAAAATGCTGCAGCATGATTGCAGCCCTGTTTAGGGAAGCTTTTAATGTTTAATAGGTTAATGTTTAATGTTTAATAGGAAGCCGCCCAGAGTGGCTGGGGAAACCCAGCCAGATGGGCGGAATATAAATAATAATAATAATAATAAATAATAATAATAATAATAATTACTGGCAGGAGTGAGGACTTGTCAGCATAGAACAACTGTGCTCAGAAATCTCGGCTGGTTTCTGATTTGCTACCGGGCCAAGTTCAGGTCATTACTATTAGAATAAAGCCTTTAACAACTTGGGACCAGTTTACCTGCAAGATCGCCTTACTTCATATGCACCCATTCACTGCTTTGATCAGCAGAACTGGCTCTGTTCCTGGTGTCAATTTGTAAGAACTCCCTTCCTGATTATGTCAGCCAGGCACTTCACTGTACTACCAAAAACATTTTTGTTTAGACAAGCCTACCCAGAAGCTTAGGAAGTTCATGCGAGTGTTAGTCAGTAATTTTAACTTTTTGAAAATTATAAATTATTGTTAATTTTTCTTATTGATAATTTTATTGTTTTTTGTAAACTGCTTTGTGGTTGTGGTTGTTTTTAGTCATCAAGCGGCGTATAAATGGAGACCACTCCCCATGCTTGCTCTTCAACTTTCGCATGTGGAAACAGCCTAGGCTTCCACTCCCTTCTCATCCAACGATCTGCCTTGGATCCTGGCTTGGATTGTGCATCCCCTGATGTGAGCTTCTGAATCTTCTCTCCTGCTAGAACATGAACCTGCTTTTGGCTCTGTTAGCATGAGGTTGACTCTGGCTATTCAGCCTAAGTCTCCAACCAGACTACCTGAAGACTGAGCCCTTGGAAGGGTGGCATCCAATGAATTCACAATTGTAGATGCTCAAAAACAGCCTTCCACAAGATGGTGCCCTCCAGATTAGGCTGCATCTCCCATCAGATCTACTCAGCATGGACTGATGAGAGTTCCCATCCAAGACAACTGAAGAGGTTGGAGAAAGCTGCTCAACAAACTCACGGAGTATTTGCAACACAATACAAACCTCTGCTCAACTGGCTTAATATTTATTCGGCACACTTATACCCCACTTTTCCCTTCAAGGAGCCCAAGATGGCGCACACACTTCCCTCCTCTCAATTTTATCCTCATAACAACCCTGTGAGGTAGATCAGGCTGAGAGACAGTGGCTAGCTCAAGGTCATCCGGTGAGCTTCATGGCCAAGCAGATTTGAACCCTGGTCTCCCAGGTTCTATTCTGACACTCTAACCACTATGCCACAACTGGCTCTTTAGGATAGTTAACAACACACATGATGTGCCTGCTTGTCACCAGCATCATCATTCTTCATCAGTGTGAAGAGCCTGCAGCCTCTGACTCTCGTGTCCCAGTCCCTGTTGGATACCAAGGTCATGGCACTAGCTGACTGGAAAGAGTCTCTGGACACATTAAAAAAGGCTGTAGGGCTCCAACCACATACAGGATTTCCCAAGGCAGAATAAAGCAGTATTATGACTTCCCTTATGTTAGTTTCCTAGAGATGAAGAGACAGAGCAGTTTTCTGATGTGTAACAGATTGGAAACACAACTGAAAGCTAATGAAATATGCCATGGCTGTTACAAATGAAGAATTAATCATAAGTGGCTGTTAAACAGTAACAAGAGCATTTTTGGGTACATGTCTGAATAATTTTATGATATATGAACCAGACGTATGATAAATTATCTGCACTGATCAATTATGTATCTGAATATGCCTTTAAAAGAGGTTTTACTAGATATGAAGGTTAGAATCTAGGAAACTTGATGTCCATGAGCAATGAAACAGAAAGCAACAGCAGGAAGCCTTTGATTAAAGGTACAGGAGACCTGCAAAACCTCAGCTGTGCTTTGCCTACCCACTCTGGATAGATTAGAGTGTAATTGGGGTTTATTGCAACCCATTTTCAGTGCCACAAATCAAGTTGAAAAAACACAGAAGCAAACTTTGGCAATTTTTCCATGTTGCTATCTGGAGTCTCTGAAAAAACGAGGTAAGGATCAGAATTCCAGAGGAAGAAACCAGGGGCTGTCAGTTAATGGAAATAGCCATACTGAATAATTTGGTGAGGGGCTGAGAGATTAGATATAGTTATAATGATTTTTAAAAATAAAATAAAATCAGAAGTGGTTGTCCTGCATTGTCATATGGGTCAATTAAGTTAGATGTGGATGCTGATTTTTGGGAAATAATAATAATAATAATAATAATAATAATAATAATAATAATAATTTTATCAATACCCCAACCATCTGGCTTAATTAATGCAGAATTTTGTCTCTAAAAAAAGTATTTGGAATGTAGTTTCATGGTGATCTATAGTAAAGAAGTAATGTCTTCACCTCTGTTTTGGGGGAAAACACACACCTCTGAATACCATCCAGGAGCAACACATTGTTTACATACCTGTGGAAACAGCAGAGAGCAAACAATTCCAAAAGTGGCTTCAAAATTGTCTTTAAGCCACAAGCCGACCGCATGGATGCAGCCACGTACGTGAATGGTGGCCACCAGCTCCAGGCGCTACAAAGAAAACAAATCACATTAAAGGCAATATTTTGAGTCTGAGAGAGCTGCGGTTGAGCTCTGTTCCTGTTTGTGGGCTTCCCCTGGGGGCACCTGGTTGGTCACCATGAGAAGAGGAGGCTGGACCAGAAGGGACTTGGGCCTGATCCAGCAGGGCTCTTCTTGCATTTTATTTTATTATAATTTTTAAACAATCCAACAACATTTCAAATTTAGTAATCAATCATTCTACCTATGACTTCCCCTCCCTTCCTCCATGGTTCCCTCAAAATTTCAATTTCTGTTGCATATTATAGTTACTCTATACCTTCACCTTATCTCACAATAAAAACAAAAAGTTCGCCCCCACTGCTCTTCTTACTCAAATCCTATTTGCGTTCTAACTTTTTTACACTGCATTTTTAAGTATTCTGCAAACGTTTTCCACGGCTCTTCTTACACTCTTATTCCAGAAGCCAGCCAGATGCCGCAATGGGAAGCTCACAAGTAAGACACAAGTTCCAGCTTATGATCCCTGGCACCTGGTACTCAGGACCTCCCACTGGAGGTAGCCCACAGGTGTTGGTAGCCTTGTTCCCCATGAATTTGTCTAGCTTGCATTTAATGCCAACCAAGATAGCTGCCCATCTTGTGGAACCAAATTCCATACCTGAACTATGTGCTGTGTGAGGATGCCTTGCCTGTCACCTTTCCTGAAGCTCTCACTATTCGGCTTCATTGGGTGAGGACCTCGGTTGGTTCTACCATTACACAAGGGAGGTACAAAATGCCTCTTTATCTGCTTTGCTCCATGCGTATGTTTATAGCCTCCATGATGTCCTCTTCCCTTACTAAATATCCCTTACTCCCCCCTCGTCTGCCCCACAAAGCACAACCTCCTCGCTCCACAAATGTCTGCTACCTAATGCCTGGCTCAGCCCTCAGGTACCGTAAAAATGTTTGTTACCTCTTTATTTAGTGTCTTGTATCCACACAGTGTGTTAATGACTTCTCCTGGGGCCTATTAAGAGAGGAGGAAGAAGATCCAAGCTCAATAACAGTGCAGGTGGATGGTGGGAATTTGTTGTTTTTAAAAGTCACAAGAAAGGTAAAAGAGGGTAGGATTCTCTCTCTTCCTCTTAAGACTTTTCACCAGACCACAAAAACTGTTGACAAACCAAGCCACAAAGGAGTTCAATAGAGGCCACTCTCTGACCTTTTGAACACTTGCATTTGGAGAGTCAGAACTTTGCACTGAAAGCATCTCAGACTCTGCAGCAGCTTTTAAGATGTCTGGAAGTCTCCTTTACAGATATATTTGGGTATAACTGCCAAACATTTTGCAAAATTCCAAACAGTGATGAGGGTGATGCAAGGGGGGTGGGGACAGCCTGAAGGCACATCAAGAGTACATGTGGAAAGGTGTCTTTTTTCAGTGCCCCATTTGCTATTCACTTCCAGTATGCCACCTCCATTCACAGAATCATCAAACTCCATCTACTCCAAACTCCTCCTATTCATTCAAGGAGAAGGCTGTCCTATGGCCCCGTCTGCATTAGAAATTTGAACTATTATAACAAAGAATCCTGGGAGCTGTAGTTTGTTAAGAGTGCCAGGAGCAGTTATTAGAGGTCTCCTAACAACTATTAGCATCCTTGACAAACAACAGCTCCCAGGATTCTTTGCGGGGAGCCCTTTAAATGTGTAGTGTGGACCTAAGTAACTGGGTAGGTGGTGAGTTGTGATTATCTCTTTTTTATTTAAACAATTTATATGCCACTTAACTACAATAGTATCTAAGTGGGTTACAAAGATACTATACAAAAATATAAAGATCAGTTAAAAATACAAATTCCAACTTCAGTTAAAATGCCTGCTGGAATAAAAACAGTCTCCAGTAGGTGTCAGAACTTCTGTAGGGAGGGTTCTGCTGAACCTCAGCTCGAAAGGAGAGCCATAAAATTGGGCCCACAGTGCTAAACACACAGCTACTAGTGGATATGAGCCACACATCTGATCATCTAATTCCTTATATCCCAGCCCAAAGAAATGCAAATTGCATCTTTTGATCATTTTCTTTCTCCTCCATGCCTTCAAGGCAGACTTAATTTTCATTTTCAGACATTGTCATTCTGACAGAAAAGGTTTTCCATAAATAATGATGTGTGACGTCTTTGCATAATCCTGTATTCCTTTTGACTCTTGCAGAACACAAGGCCCAGGAACTGAACACGCAAGTCATGGGCCTCCAGAAAGCAAAGGAATCCCTTTCCATTGATTTCCTTTGTCAGCCAAACACATTTGTAGTAGAGCCAAACAGAGCAGTAATATCAGTCCTCCTCATAGTAAAACTGAGGAGTTCTGAAGAACAAAGAAGTCTAGAAGTGATTTTTTCCCCTTTTCCTTTTTACTAACCACCATAGAACATGATTGAAACGCTCTTGGGCCTAATGCATAAGCGTGAAGTGACTGCGAATTCCTATCTGGGTTACATTTCAGGCAATTGTCCCTTGCCAATGGCATTTAACTTAGAGGCAAAGAAGGGAGGTATGGATCCCAAGGCCAAAATGAAAGCAATTCCATTAAGGTTATATCCTAGCAGGGGAAAGTTCAGGCATTGGTTCAGGGTAATTGTTACCCTGGCAGTTGCAGTAACGGGAATGCTTTATTTACCACAGGCCACGGGTGATATTAAATATGAAAGGTAGCATTTGGTTGACTAAGAAGGTGGGAGACAGCAACACAACAGAGGTTTATACAATTATGAAATGTGTGGAGAGATAAATAAATAATTTCCTCATGCTACAATTTGCCACAGATGAGAAGTGAGTGATGGGGGGCAGCCAGAGGGGCATAAGGAGGAGCTGAGCAAGCATTTAGGGCAGCAGTTCTCAACCTGTGGGTCCCCAGATGTTGTTGGACTACAACTCCCATCATCCCTGAGCACTGGCCTTGCTAGCTAGGGGTGATAGGAGTTGTAGTTCAACAACATCTGGGGACTCCACAGGTTGAGAAAGGCTGATTTTGGGTTTAAGAGCTGTTTAAGGAGTATGGTGTCCCACACAGCTGGCTGGGCTGTCATGACGTTGCCCTTGTGGCAAGATGGTGAGGGAGGCACTCAAAACCAATGACTCGTCTGGTGGGAAGCTTGGAGAAGGAGACTGAAACCCTATAAACCACAATGGCTTCTCCTCTGCAACCCCCGAGGCTACGTCGGTGCCATATGAGACACCCTGTGAGAAAACAACTCTGGGTTCTTCACCCTCCAGAGTTAATGCAGACCAGCTCAGACTCCCTCACTCATGATCAAATTGTGGATGACTTGATTTCTGAGGTAAAGGACAAAATTCTCCACCCCCATTCAATATACAAAAGCTGAGCAGACAGGCAACTGAACCTTGGTTACAGGCACAAGGCAGGGCCTCCAAAACAGGCCATAGGCAGCTCTCTTCTCCAACATCTTGCTGTTCTCCACACACCCTGCCAGCATCTGGCAACTGACTAGTGGTAACTAACCCCCGACTAGTGGTAGGTCCTGAAAACTGATGCCTTGATATATACTGACCAGCACCAAGTGTGGTGTAGTGGGTAGAGTGTCGGGCCAGGACCTGGGGGCCCAGGGGTCAAATTCCTACTTGGCCAGTCTAACATACCTTGCAGGGATGTTGTGAGGATAAAATGGAGGTGGAGGAGAACCATATACTCCACTGTATGTTCCTTGGAGGAAAGGTGGGATATAAATGTAAAACAATAATAATATAGCACCTTAAGACCCGAGGGTAGGTTGGTGTGACTGTTGAGAACACTGCGGTTGAGCAAGGGACTGGAAGGTGGCACAGGCCACCACATCCAGATGCTTAAAGCCACTATAGGGATGGCCCTCCATGCTCCCTGCTGCATTTTCCACATAGGATCTCAGGCACATAGTGCAAAACTAATCAAGCAGTTTGATTATATCTTTTTCTCTGTGTAAAATAATCAATGTGGTCTCCTCCCTAGGTCTCATATGTCAACATGGTGACTTGCTGTCTCCTTCGGCCTCCACACTGCACTCTCAAATATCTTGCAGTGCATGCAATGAATTGTTCAGAAAGTGCTCTAAGGAGCTGGTTTCTTGTCTGACATGACCAGCACATATACTTCTCCAACAATACACCCGCCCCAGCCTTTTCTGGTTTCATGCCAGATGACAGACCTTCCAACTCCATTATTTTAAGTATAGTCAAGATGGAGTGACAATCAAACTTGCTTTTCAATTCTATAGAAACCAGATGTCGCACCTCAGCCCAGCTCAGAACAGCATGAATGGACCAAATGGTCTTTCTGTCAGACTTTTAACCAGTGCTATTTTTCTAGAAAAAGAGGTGCTGGAACTCACCATGAACACCTTTCTCATTCTCTCAGAATGGCAATGGTGTCCGTCTGAAAGGTGTCAGAACTGAGTTCTGGCGAGTTCCAGCTAAAAAAAAGCTCTGATTTGAACAATAGAGTCCTTGGGCCTTAGCACTGCCAGGTAGCAATAGGGAGACCAGCAAGCCTGTACTGTTCCCTCATGGTGCATATCATGAGATATCTTTGCTTGGACACCAGATGCAGAGGAAACTAAGATTAGTTCCATTCTAACAGCAGAAATGATGCTTCTTTGTTCTTTGGATTCCAAATGAGCATGTCCTTTTTCTTAATGAATCTCATTGCTCCAGAAAATTCAATAGTTCCAAACCTTTAGGCGAGCCAGAGTTATAGCCTCTGAAAACAAAAACCAAATCAAACTGCTTGTATATGCATCACATAAGGAGTTGTATACCAAATTTGCATATCGTGTTTTCTTTTGCAGAAGCCAACCACCATCAGTCATGTATATGCATGAATGCAGACTGTGCTTAATGGTTGTTGGATCAGAAATCTTCTAAATTGCATCTTCTAATGATGCTTTGCTCACCTGGTGAAACACTTGGACTGGAACAAAGCTAGGCAACTAACTCACAAGCCACAATTTATTTGATCTCTGTGTGGGCATTCATTGCCAGTGATCACTGCGAAGTTCTGGAACAGATCTTGGACAACATGTACTTCCTTGCCATCGATTTTCACTGCTTTCTCTGATCCCAGAGTCACAGCTCTATTCTTCTTTAAAAAGACACAAATATAGGCTAATTTCCCAGTCATGTTCCTCAGTATTCATGAATCAGTATCCTGGCTATATTCACACCCATGCCACCCAGTACTTACTCTCACTCAAGTTACAATGTTGTTCTGGTTTTAGCATTGCAAGGATGGTCTGTGTAGCTGATACATCTTCGTCCATGCACAAACATGAGGTCTCAACCTGCAGTCCCCTTCATCTACAAGGGGGCTTGCCAGCAGCCACACCACACCCAAAGCAGGGCTGGCCCAAGATCAGAGTCCAAGAAAGTGGAGCACACAACAAAGAGTCAGGTGAGAGGCAAAGTCAGGGCAGTTCCGTGGTCATTTTTTACACAGGCAAGAGATTCAAAAGCAGGCAGAAGCAGAGAGCTGGCAAATATACATTGTTCCAGAAGTTCTTCAAGCTCAGCACTGGGTTTTTTAAAGCTGGAGCTGCTGGACTGAGTCATGACAGTAGGGGAGGCCACTAAGATTTTGCACTGTCAATGACTAGATCAACCATAGAACCTTCTTCATACCACATCCTTATGCTAAGGCCCAGCTGTTCATCTCATGTTCCTCATGAAAGCTTGTGCTGGACTTCCAAGATTCTCCCCAAAGTGATAATTTCTTCTGTCGACAAAGGGCCCTCCTGAAACATTGAGTAGAGTTCAGGTTTCCTTTTTGGAGGTCAGTCATATTCCGTAGATGAACACATAACTGCTTTGGTGAACAGAGTTTCATTTGCTACGGCTGTGTGTAAATATAGTTAAACCTTTAGGTGTGTTTTTCTGCCCTGGAATGCAGAATTTGCAAAATTCAGCACTGTAAAGGACATCTTTCTCTTTCTCTTAGCCTCTTTCCTATCCAGGGATCCACTGGTCACCAATGGAGGTGGAGGCCAGACCAAAGTTGGGGAGACTCTTCACTGAGCAGCTGCAATTGCATATATCACCACATGGGGCAACAGTCAGCAATTCCTGATACCTGCTTCTTAATGGTACCACTTGCAAAGCAGTAAATTGGTGCAGTGGTACCTCTAGTTACAAACTTAATTCGTTCTGGAGGTCCATTCTTGTATATGATACACTTCAGTTAATAACTGAATTATTTGCACACCCATTTTAAAATGGAACAACAAAAAGCAAATTAACCAGAAATGTACTTTTAGATTTTATTCCCCATCCCCCCAAACATAGTTGTAGTCATATTCCAAAACTAGCACCTTGGTATAATAATAATCATCATCATCATAATCATGAATCAATCAATAAATATTTATACCCTGCCCATCTGGCTGGGTTTCCCCAGCCACTCTGGGTGGCTTCCAACAAAAGATTAAAAATAAATTAAAACACCAGTCATCAGTATTAAAAAATAAAACCAACATATTATTTTAAAAATATATATAAATAAACCGAAGTTAGAATTTCTCATTTGATATTACCCAAGTATCTATATTTTTTAAAAAAACGAGGCATAACATGCAGGCATAACAAATTAACCCCCAAAGCCTCATTTGACCCCATAACTTGGTGTTCAGGAGGTCAGTGTTGAACAGCTCATTTTTCTGAACATTTTTGTACAAGACACATTTGCACTGTCATTTTGTCTTTTCTGCCCTGGACTATTGTGTTAAGGGATAGTTCTGCTGTAGGGGTCTGATCTAGAGACAACACACTTCCCAGCCTGCTGTTATTGCAAGCCCATCAATTTGTTGGAGATCTCAGAAGACAAACGCAAAAATGTTTGAATGCGCTACTGGTCTCAGGTGTTTTGTTTCCTCCAAAAAGATATTGCCTCTTATCCCCATTGTTAGAATGATGCCTTTAGGTGTGAGAGTCACATTAAGCAATGAAGTCCTTTACCAATAATTCTCCCTTCCTAAGTGCTTAGAGAAGAACACTCCAGAAAATAAGACTGAGCAGAACTAACACAGTTACAAATTCCCTCAGTGGTATTCTGCTGCCATTCAGAACATCAATGGGCACAGCTGAAAAACTCAGATTTGCCTTCCATGAACAGTTCCAATGCCTTTAAATATATAATGTATCAATGAGTTTTAGATGTTTTAATCTATGTGTTTAATTAATTAATACAAATACTAATAATGTGCAATGCAAAAAATTCTTAAAGGGCTGGCAGCAAGGTGACGGGCAGAATATTTTTATTCACTGATTTTCCAAGTGTGTGATTCCAGAAAGCTAGCCTTGGAGAAAGGCGTATTTCATTTCAGGGGTTGGTGGTTGGTAGAAAGAATATTGGACTGTCAAACTGCTTTTATTGGATACCTAAGACTTGTGGACAACTTATTCATTTAAAAAACCCCAATTAGTTGAGGTTCTCCAGATTATATATTTCCCATGTGACCAATGGCTTTGAACGTAATCCATCCCAGATCTCGTGAATACATTTCTGTTCCTAGGAAGTGACTATCGAATGTGCTTGAAATATATCATACTTCCTCACCTGACTAAAGCCAGATATCATAATCGTCTCCTGATTCTTTTGGGTGATTATTTATTCATGCATACCTCTGATGTTGTACGCACATTGATCTGCATGCAAAGGAGTTAGAAGGACTTGAGTTCTAGCACCTCCATTAAGAAATACTCAAGGATGGTTTGGAGCGGAGGGGGTGGGGAGCCTTCCACCATGCAAGCAACATTTACTTGCATGCCAAACACAGGCAAACATCATTTCAGGGAGAGACAACTAGGGCAGTCAGTCAGTTGATGGAGGAGCACACTCTGTGCCAACACAGAATGCTTAAACTCTCTCTTCCCCTCCCTCTGCAAAGAGGAATCTGGGTACCTTCTGGCTGCAAAGTAGATGGTGGCTCACAGACACACACACACACAGACACAGACACAGACACAGACACAGACACAGACACAGACACAGACACAGACACACACCCAAGAGAAATCCCAGCTGTTTTGTGATTACTTCTGAGGCAAGAGAATGGGATCGAGCAGCTTGATCACATTTCCAAAAACCGGTGAACTGTTCTTTTCTTGTTCTGAGACATTTTGAATGACTTTGGAATAGTGTGGTGCCCTTTAAGATGTTTTATGCATATTAATCAATTATATTTTAAAGATGTTTATATATGTTTGCTGACATTTCAGAAGCTGGTATTGCTTTGTATTTTTGGTTTTGGATATGTATTTTTTAGATTGTATCTTTATGCAGTTCACTGCTCTTAGCTCCTATTGGAGGAAGGGCAGTATAGAAATGGATTCAATTAACCAATCCATCAAATAAAGCTGGTAGTACTGCAGATGGATGGGCCACTGTTTTGGTCCAATTCAATTTATCATGTGTTTATTCTCATTTTGTCCCATTTCCACATTAATCTGCAAATTAAAAAAATGTACAAAAATTAATCAGTATTTATTGAAGTAGTACTGAATAAAGTATTTTATCACAAAATATGTATTTAAATATGCATTGTAATTATATGTATGCATTTCTGAATGAATTTTACCCTAAATATAAATTTTAAATGCATTTTGGTACTTTCTTGACCTGAGGACTTGTATTGTAAATTTCGGAGAAGAATGGAGTACAAATGATAATAATGTTCCAGTCCATAAGGCAGGTCTGAATTAGATCAGTTTGCTCAAAAATGCTGGACCAAACACAAGTTTGTTCCACCTCTAGTCAACACAGGAAAGATCCAGCAAGACTTTCAGGATGAGGCAGCGCCCTTGCATCAATGAGCCCAGCAACTCTCCTGTTAACTCTGCCAAACTCATGCCTCTCTGGAACCTCACCTGGACCCACTTTGAATCCAGCGCACAGCAACAGCACTGCCACTGCGATAGCTCCAGCATCAAAAGAGGGATTTATTTTCATCTCAACATTTAAATAAAATGATCCCACTTGTGACTCTAAGGGTGTGTCCACACCATACATTTAAAGCACGTCCCTTTGTGTGGCAGCAACCCCAAACAGGGGACAAGTTTGGTTTCTGGGTTGTACACTTTCATAATTCATAGAGCACCAACCTTATCATTTTTAAGACTCCACTAAAATGACTCTCTTTCTCTGCTGGATAACCATCAAGCAGAAGTTGCTAACACACACACACACACACACACACACACACACACACACACACACACTTTCAGGCCACATCATTTCTTTTTCCAGCTCTCAGCCTAATTCAAAGCAACCACCTCTTGCTTAGGAAACAATAAAGCAGTTCTTCCAGGAAGCCAGTGGGACTTTCTATTCAGTTTTCAAGAACGATGCACTTAGCATTAGCACTGATTTGCGGCAAGGCTGGCAAGTGCCATTTCTGCACCAGAGAAAGTTTCCTGGCCCTGTGTGTCCCTGTGTGGCTTTATTGCGAATGGAGGATTTTCACGTAGGCTCTCCCAGGAACTGGCTTCCAGCTTAACTCCCCATTTTCCTGATGAAGTCTGTGGCATTTTGTGCCAGAAGAAATGTGGTAGCTATTAATGTGCCACAAGATTACCTGCTACTTTTGCTGCAGCAGACTAACATGTCTACTTGCTGTGTTCTGGTCCTCTGCCAGAACCTCCTGAGAAAGCAGCAAGGCTGGAGGCAAGGGGAGGCTGCTCAAAGCCTGCTGGTCCACAGAGAGTCCTGGGTGAGCCACTTGCTCTGATGAAGGTCACGAGCAGACTGAGGCCTCTTATGCCACTATCCTCAGGCTTCCTCCTCCAGGCTCCAATCCCTTGAGGGAACTTCATAGCTCTAAGGGCCAACCCTCTGGCCCTTCCACAGCCTCCTTCCTGGGCACTTCCAGAGCTCCTGGACTGGTGATGTAATAGGCAGCAGGACACACTTGGTTCTTCCAGCTCAGGAGGTGTCTGTGAGGGTCCCTATAGGCTCTGGTCATCTGGGAGCTCTTGCCCAGCCATCTCAGGTGCAATGGCCTCTCCATCTCCCTCAGTGAGCTCCGAGTCCCAGCCCCTGCTCCCACCATCTGGTGCGCCTGCAGCCTCTGACTCTCATGTCCTGATCTCTGCTGGATACAAGGGTCATGGCAGTTCCCCACTGGAAAGACTCTGTGGACACATTCCAAAATGCTGTAGGCCTCCAACCACACATACATCATTTCCTAACATGTTTGCTGTGCCCCATATTTTTCTCTCCAAGTTGACGTTATATGTAAAGAGACTTCCCCAACTTATAGAATGGGGCAGCCCTGTGGAGCTCTCTGGATGAATCGTAGTCAGAATCAGCCACTGTAAACAATCCAGCAGGAGCAAGGCACTTCTAGAACTGAAGCAAATCATGCTGGCATTATTCTCCTCACTTGTTTTGTGAGAAACTGTCCTTCAGGGTTTCATTCCACTGAACAAAGTCACATTAATAACTGATGTTTCCGGTAGCAGTCAACTGGTTAATAAGAAAAAGGAATGGTGAAGAGTGAAATATCCAGCATCTCTAAACTTCAGAGAAGACACTTCACTTTTGCTCTTCCTTGGTGGAGAAGGGATCCATGTTGTCGCACAGAAAACAATTCAGGTGTCCAGGATTTTAGTGCACTGTGACTATGGATTAGTGGGATATCCCAGGAACAAGAAAAGTAGCAGCAAAGACTGGCGTTTATGAACTCTATAGATGAAGTCATGTTTCAGCTAAAAATGTGACCTCCCCTATCTTAGTTTGGAAGCTTCCTGAAATTTGTTCTGCCTGTGCCATTGCAGATATAGGTAATAATTACCATACCCATATTTCAGGGAACAGGGCTGGTGTTTGTTTTATTTCTTTATTAGATTTATATACCACCTTTACCTTCCAAGTTGCTCACTGTGGAGCATGTAGTCCTCCTCCTCCCCATTTCACCCTCACAACTGTTCTGTGAGTCAGGTTAGGCTAAGAGATCGCACTGACTGGCCCAAGGTCACCCAGCAAGTGCCATGGCTAAGTGGGGATTCAAACCCTGGTCTCTCAGATCATGGTCCAACACCCTAACCATTATGCAACACTGTGTCTCTGGATTTGAGAGGGTGTGGACAATGCCAGCCTCCCTAAAGTAGCTCAATGCTGTTACACCAGATGGATGGGAGCTTAGAGTAGAATGGGGGGGGGCAAAGACTGTGAAGCTGAGCTGTCCTCCATATTCTGCCCCCTTCCAATATTGGGATAAACTAAATCACTGCATGAAACACAGAGAACACCAAAGGCAGTTAGTAAAGATGGTACTGAATCCTGCATTGCAGGGGCTTGGACTAGAATCTCTCTGGGTCCCTCCCAACTCTAGTTCTATGATTCTGTGTTGTTTTTTTAAAATGGTTATATTTATCTGGAAGCACTGGAAAGAAAACCATCCAGGCCAGGTGAAGAATGCAGCTTCAGAAATCAATTTCCAGCCCAATTCACAAGCCATTTAAACTAATGTGATTCAGTTTAAGTGCTATTTTTTGAATCAAATAAAAATAAGCACTCATTGCGCTTGCCATCTTGCAAGTTTCCAAGAATGAGGAGGCAGAAGCTCTGCCCCTGGTGATAATGACAAGTTAAATATGACCCTGGTCGGATGCAATGCTTGTCATAATGAAAAAGCTAATTCACTTCTTTCTGGCCCATCTAGTGGATCTCAGTGTGGAAATCAGTTCACTCACCTTTGCAGTAAAGGCCAAGGCAGGATGCAGTGTAAAAGCTAAGTCCTCTCCTGCTCTGACAAGCCACTGGCTTTGAAAAGTCACCAGTAAAAACAGCTGGTCATGTTCTGAGAACAGTCACACAAATTATCTTTTGGATGTAAATTAATCCCATGCAGAATCCCATGGGATGTGAATTAATTGCTTCTATTTCAAGGGAGATAGCATCCTATGCAGAATTTAGTTCACAGTGTCAATGGAGCATGTTATTTTGATTGCTCCATTTCTTTTATGGATGCCATGAAGCTTGGCCATCAGTCCTGAGCTGAATCGGGAGCCGCTCTTAAATCTATAAGAAAACTGCAAGTCTGGCTCAGCTGCCCCTTTCTGAAACACAGAGTGGAGTGAAAATGCAACATAGGAACGCTTGGTGTTCCAGGAAGGGGGAGCTGAGCCACACTTTTGCAATTTCCCATCTAGCACAATATTGTAGTATTGTCAACACTGGCTGGCAATAGCTTCCCAGGATTTCAGACCCAAAAATCTTTTCCCAGCCCTATCTTGAGATGCCAGGGATTGAATCTGCAAGCAAAGCACGTGCTCTATTTTATTCATTTTTTATATTTATTATTGCATATACACCCCTTCCTTTTTCTTCAAGGATCTCAAGGTGACATCATCATCAGTTATTATTATTTGTACCCCATCCATCTGATTGGGCTGCCCCAGCCACTCTGGGCAGCTTTCAGCATATAAAAAACATAGTAAAACATTAAATCTTAAAAGGATTCCCTATACAGGGCTGCCTTCAGATGCCTCCTAAAAGTGATATAATTACTTTTCTCCTTGACATTTGAAGGGACGTTATTCCACAAGGTGGGTGCCACTACTGAGAAGGTCCTCTGTCTGGTTCCCTGTACCTTCACATCTCGTCGTGTGGGAACCACCAAAAAGCCCTCAGTGCTGGTTCTCAGTGTTCAGGCTGGAGACATGGTTTGCCCCCTCTTCCGTTAATCCCCCAAACAACCCTATGAGGTAGACCGAGGCTAGGCTGAGAGGCAGCAACAGGCCCAAGGTCACCCAGTGAGCTTCATGGCTGAGTGGGGGATATGAACCCTGGTCTCCCAGGTCTGCGTTTGACACTCTAACCATCACAGCAGGCAGGCTCTCTGATGGGAGCTCCCAAGTTCTTCTGAGGCACATCTAAAAAAATCCACTGCCCACCCTCATGAATGGAGAAAGCTGCCTGTGGTCTACCTTAGTACTGCCTGCACTGACTGCCAGCAGCTCTCCAGGGTATCAGGCAGGGAATCTCTTCCAGGCATATCTGGAGCTGTCATGAATTGAACTTGAGGCCTTCTGTGTGCAAGGAGATGGCCTGCCACTGAGCTACAGTCCCTCTTCTTAAACGAACGGGAGCAAGAGTGCCATTCACAGCCCACAAGGGTGGTCCAGTCCTGCAACTGTGATCAAGCTCAGTTTGGAAGCAGGATCCCACCCCCAAACTGAGAAGGAAAAGGCTCCCTCTGTCTTCCAATCTGTTACACCTCTCCCACCACTAGACTGCCTAATGTTTGCAAAGCACGTGGATCCTTGGACAAAAGGTCTTACTGAACTGTACACAGCAATTGTGTAGCAGGGATCACGTGCACCCAGAGAACTGCGCACGGAGGGGACTGACAATGGGATTTAAAACCCCAGGAATACCTCCCCTCGTGCGCTTTTCATGCACCGGCTTGGCACCCCGCAGCACTCTGAATCACAGAGGCTAAACCCCAAGGAAACTCAAAAGCAATGGCAGAGCTGTGCCGGCTCCCACAGAGAGGTGACAAACACAGCACTTTTTGAATCATCCACATTTTCAGAGCTCTTGCTACTGCTAACCTCCATGGGACTCGATCTTCATTAATGTTGTTAGCCGCTCTGAGCCCGGCTTTGGCTGGGGCGGGTGGGATATAAATAAAATTTTATTATTATTATTATTATTAAACCCATGGCATTCTAGCCTGCACCAAAAATAACTTTATCTTGGAGGCAGAGTAACCAAGCGATTTACTGATCACTTCAACTAGGCTGCACTGGGTCACAGAATCATAGGCTTGGAGGATACCCTAAAGGTCATGTAGTCCCACCCCCTGCAATGCTCAAGAATCCCTGACAGATGGCCATCCAACCTCTGGTTAAAATCTTCCAATGAAGGGGAGTCCACCACCTTCCCAGGTAATCCATTCCACCGTCTAACAGCTCTTGCCCTCAAAAAGCTCTTCCTAATGCTTAGGCGGAATCTCTTTCTTGTCATTTAAATCCATTGGTTCACTTCAAGCTTGCTCCATCTTCCATGTGGCAGCCTTCCAGTATTTGAAGAAGGCTCTCAGTCTTCTCTTCTCTGGGTTAAACATACCCAACTCTCTCCAGCACTCCATGTGAGGCTTGGTTCTCAGACCCTTTATCATCTTGGTTGCCCACCTCTGAACACATTGCAGCTCATCACTGGATGCAATGAAGTTTACGTATTTTGGAGCATGGGGGTGGGGTGGGGAGAGATATCTGCAGCCACACAGAAGTGCCAAAGATAAATAAGCAGGATTCCTAATACATACAAAAAATTAAGGAATAGAAAAAACCCACCAATAGAACATTATAGGGAGGGAAGTACAATGGTCCTGTGCTTTGAAAAACAACTTAAATCTATTTATGATGGGACTATAAACAGTCATTGACAAGTTTCCCCCATGTAGTTCTGGGCTGCTTCATCACCATTCTCCTGATCATTGCAACTCCACGAGATGAGATCTTGTATGGAGCCCCAGACCAAGGGAGGTTGACAGTTATTTTGTGTTTCTTCCATTTGCGAATTCTTGCACCAACTGTTGTCACCTTCTCACCAAGCTGCTTGGCAATAGTCTTGTAGCCCAGTCCAGCCTTGTGCAGGTCTACAATCTTGTCCCTGGCATCCTTGGACAGCTCTTTGGTCTTGGTCATGGTGGCTACTTTGGAATCTGCTGGAATCTGCTTCTGTCGACTGGTGTCTTTTGTACAGGTACTGTAACGAGCTGGGATTGCAGGTAAGACCTCTCCCTTACAGCAGGGGCTTCTAATCTCAGTTCCTTACATACAGTGAAGATACCAGGTAGCCTGACATCTGGCTGGTTGATAGGGGATCAAATACTTATTTCACTCATTATAATGCACATCAATCTCTGACTTTTGTCTTCTGGGTTTCTGGGGTTTTTCCTGTTGGTATTCTGTCTCTCACAGCTACAATAAACCTAACATTAAAATTACGGACTGGTCATTTCTTCGTCAGAGAGCAAACGGGCAAATTTAGCAGGGGATCAAATACTTCCCCCCCCCTCACTGTACAATACTGAGTGGATTTCAGAAAGTCAGTGGGGAACGAGTACCACATGGTCCAGAGAGTGCAATCTTAACTGGTTAATTTTGAAGGCATTTCTTGAAACAAAAACAAACCACTGAACTCTCTGTGGCTGGAAGTTTTTGTTTTGTTTTTTAAGACCCAACCAATTCATGAAAGGTAACGATATCTGCAGATATCTGGCAGGATGGTCTGAACTCCAATAACCCCTTTGGTAGAAACTCTGCAGCAAACCTCCCCTCCTACAAGTATACCTTGCCTTGCCCTCAGGCGCCTAAGATCAGTCATTATATTAAAAACACAGTCTTATAAACAGCAGATAAAAGCAGCCAAGAATCAATAGTCATTCAAGGGGAAAGACTAAAACTATTAAAACAATGAAATGTCATTAAAAGCTTATGTGGATCACATCAAGTTCATATATATCAGCTTAATGTGCTTTGTCCCTGCTTTGTCCCCAAAAGCCATCAGACGAAGGATTTGGAATTGTTTTCAGGAGGGTTTGGTGGCGTGGTGTGACACAGAAGAAGGAAGCAATATTGAATACTGGATATAAAGGGACAAAGTGGCAGGAATCAGGCGGCTGCAGAGGAAGGAAAATGCCTCAGACAATGTGAGCTAGGCTGAGAATGTGGGGATCTTGGAGTTACTGGTTTCAGTATCCAGAGCTGGACAATATAGGAGCAGCAGGACCCATCCCTTGTAAAAACCTATTTAATTCTGGAAGATCAATGTCACAGTTCATGGGGACAAATAAGTTATAAATACAGGTGAAGAGGGAGGGGGGGAAAAAAGAAAATACACCTGAACTGCAAAAATCTATCTAGATGCTAGTCTTTTGGGGGCAACTCACATTCACCAAACATGCTAAAACTTGACAAAGTTGCAGCATGTGATATGCCTGTTTAACTTCTCTCTCTCATGTATATATACCGTATTTTTTGCTCTATAAGACTCACTTTTTCCCTCCTAAAAAGTAAGGGAAAATGTGTGTGCGTCTTATGGAGCGAATGCAGGCTGCGCAGCTATCCCAGAAGCCAGAACAAAAGGGGGATTGCTGCTTTCACTGTGCAGTGATCCCTCTTGCTGTTCTGGCTTCTGAGATTCAGAATATTTTTTTTCTTGTTTTCCTCCTCCAAAAACTAGGTGCGTCTTGTGGTCTGGTGCGTCTTATAGAGCGAAAAATACGGTATTCTATGTACTGCATATGCATTCTATATGCATAGAAATAAGGCTATTGTCATGCTGCAGTTCACATGGCTGCCAACAGGTGGCCACACCAACTGCAGCATGACAAATGGCAAGCAGACAAGCAAGGAAGCAGCATGGGGGCGGGCAGGAGGCTCAGGCGAGCTGTTTAATGGAGGAGGGGGTGCCCTTTGAACAGTGGTTTAGCAAGCCGCTATGTGAAGCCTATCTTCCCTCCATTAAATGCAGGTGCAGCAAGGTTTAATGAAGAGGGTGGAGGCACCACATAAGGGCTAAGCAATTATGTGAAATGCCTCCTCTCTCCTTTAAAAGAATTGGGGTGAGCTGTGAGGAAAGGAGCAGGGAATAGGCAAGAAGGTGGCTGGGGTGTAAAGGGAAAAGGGTTCGGCCAGTTGTGTGGGAAGGGCAAATGGCAAAGCTGTAGGCAGAGTTGGAAAGTGGAGCACGACATTGTAGTGTATCTGTAGTACAATAATATACAGGCAACTCCCCATCTGTGTGTGATCAACATGTGTGCGCCGTTTTTGGCACTGCCAGGGGGCGGAACAGGCTGGCACACATGGTGCCTTGGAATGCAACCTCTGCACAAATGGGGAGTTGCCTGTATTTATTAACCAATTGCCTCTCTCATCACCCCTATCAGATTGGAGATGCTTCAGGGGGCTCTGTGGTTAGATGTGTATTGCTGGGGCTGTAACAGAACCTAAGGCTTCTGCCTGAAGTGAAGCAATGCAAGAAAGCCACTGAGCCACACCACCACCACCACCACCAGGAGTCTTCAGCAGGAGTGTGGGGTGCTTGCCAGTGACCCACAAAAAACTGTACCACTGCAGGAAGCCCATGACGTTGGAGAGAGGTCCACCTAACAACTTCCTTTTTCTTTTAGAAACTCACAGTTTGCACTTCTTTCATCTCACCTTCTTGATACAGCATGTGTAGGGCACCCCACAGGAGAGAGGGCCGCTGCTGTTGCAGGAATGGTATGGATTCACATGCCAGTCTCTGAACTCATCGCCTCCGCAGCAGGAAAACTGGGGGGGGGGGGGGAAGAAAGGAGATAATTGATAAGATCATGTGAAGAGCTCTGAGTGGATCAGACCAAAAGCCCATTCTGCCCTTACAGTGGCCAACCAGGTGTCCACCTTCAGAAGCCCACAAGCAGGGTATGAACACAATGCTCTCCTGACTCACAGAATTTTAGAACTGTGGAGTTAGAAAGGACACCAAGGGTCATCTAGTCCAACCCCCTGCAATGCAGGAACGAAAGCTAAAGAATCCCTGACAGGTCGCTATCCAACCTTTGTTTATAAACCTCCAATGAAGGAGAGCCCACCACCTCCTGAGGCAGCCTGCTCCACTGTCAAACAGCTCATGCTGTTAGAAAGTTATTTCTAATGTTTAATTCCTTCTTGCAATTTGAATCCATTGGTTTGGGTCCTACCCTCCAGAGCAGCAGAAAACTAGCTGGCTCTCTCCCCCAAGTAACAGCCGTTTAGATATTTGAAGAAGGCTATCACATTACCTCTCAGCCTCCTCTTTTCCAGGCTAAACATCCTCAAATCCCTCAACCTTGTAAGGCCTGGTTTGTTTGCGTGCTTCTTTTACATCTCAGGAACAGGAGGACCCAACAAGAAGCTTGGAGCCAGTGCTATTCCCTTGTATTCTACACCCATGTTCAGAGGCAGCTGGCGATTATGAGGAGAGCTTTGTTGCCCTCACCCCCTGCTTGTAGGCTTCCCACCTGCATCTGGTGAGCAACTGTGGGAATCAGGATGCTGCACTAGGTAAGCCTTTTCATCCTCAAGCATCCCATCTCAGCTAACCTTTGCCACTGCTTATTTTATCATCATGGAGACCATAGTGGAATGAAGGCGGCTTTCTTTCTCTTTAGCAAATAGCTGCAAAAATGTGCAGAACTGAATTTAAAATGGGGGGAAATGAGAAACTGAGAGAACTAAAACGACAAAATCCTTCTTTCCATGGTCTCCAGTGAGCTCTTCTCCAAAAGAAGTCTTCTCACCTGCCAAAAGAAGTGGGGAGCATGTAACAGTATAATATATTTCAAGTACCATGGGCATGAATGGTGTTCCCAAGAAGAAATCCACAGCACTTACTTGACTTGGCACTTTATCTGCGCTTCAGTGAGCATGGTTTAGATCAATTATATTCTGTACTGATTGTTTTTCCCTCCCTCCAGTCTTCATATTGCCTATCCCTTGATCTGGGACCCAGTTAAAGCCATTATCTCCTTGCCATATTCAAAAACTTTGCAATGAGGTATAAGGGACCCAGAACTAGGGTTGCCACCCTTGTTCTGGCAAAATATAGGGCCGGGCAGGACGGGGGTTGGGGGCGATTTTTTAAAAAAATCTGATGCTGAAATTACTTCAAAGCAATCTATTACAATCTATTGCTGCCTAACAGGATGGCCTCTCTGGAATTTGTCACATGCACAGACAAATTGGTAAATCTCTGTGCTTCGCCACCCAGAGCTTAAATGCACAATCTTTCACACACATACAGTGGTACCTCTGGTTACGAATGCTTTAGGTTATGAGCTCCACTAACCCAGAAGTAGCTGCTCCTGACTGCGAACTTTGCCCCAGGATGCAAACGGAAATCGCACAGCAGGAGGCCCCATTAGCAAAAGCGCACCTCATGTTAAGAATGGTTTCAGCTTAAGAACAGACCCCCAGAACGAATTAAGTTCGTAACCAGAGGTACCACTGTACATTTGGAGAGGATCCCTAACTTGGCCTAGAAAGTGGGGTGTGTGTGTGTGTATATATGTGTGTGTGTGTGTGTGTGTGTGTGTGTGTGTAGAAGAAATACAGGACAAACTGCATCCTTTATTGAATCAATACAGGATGTAGCGTTTTACATTGAAACACGGATGATTGATCCTCTATTATACAGGACAGGTGGCAAGCCTAAATGGGCAATCATCATCTGAGGCCCTTCTCCGCGTTCCTGCTCCACAAGAGGTTCAGAGGGTGGCAACACAGGAACAGGCCTTTTCTGTGGTGCTTTAGACTGATTAAACAAACAATCTATGGCCTTTTAAATGTGTTTGTGGGAGAGAGCTTATTGGTTTGTTTTTGGTATTTTGCTATGTATTTTGTGTTCTCATTTTGTACTTTTTTTTTGTAAACTGCCTTGTGATCTTTGGATGAAGGGTGGTATACGAATAATAACCCTAACTTGGTCCCCTCCAGACGGCTTGGACTACAACCTCCTTCAGTCTCAAGATTATATAGCTGTGCTGCTTGGGGCTGATGGGAGTCACAGTCCAAAGTAATCTGGAGGGCACCAGGTTGGGGAAGGTTGCCTTGCATCCTAATTTCCTCCTGCCACTCATCATTATGTCTTCACATCTGCAAAAAGAGGGAAATGTTTGCCTTCTCTCCTTTCCCCTCTCACCCCATGAAAATCCACACAAGCTAATAGCATGCAAAATCATTCATACTATATTGGTTCTCTGATTCACAGGGCTGAAATTCAATCTGCTTCATTTGCTTTGAGAATACATTATTTCCGCAGGCAATCAGTGCTGGATGCAGAGACCTATCGCCTTCCACCTGTCTCTGTTCTCATTGGCCAGCGCTTGGGTACATCCATCCTCCCTGCAACTCACCTGCTGGGCTGCATTTAAACACCAGCAGTTTTATGGAGCTCGTGTGTTCTGGCTGCAGCATTTAGTTGGGAAATTAGACTGAACCAGAGGCCTCTAGGGAGTATGTGGGAGATCAGCCACAGAGGTCACAGCAAATGAACAAAATGAGCATCCCTTTCTCCAGGAATGGTTTGTGGCAGGTAGATCCAGTTACCTGTTTCAGTTCTCAAAGACAAACAGCTCACAACAGGAAGCAGACATCGGTGAAGACCAGCCAGTCTCCAAGGCATGTTTCCATGAGTGTCTGAAGAAGTGAACCTATGGGACTGGAACTGCCAGCCTCAATCCACAACTCTGTTTGCAGGTGGTGAACTGGGGCAGCTGCTTCAGCTCCATTTGGGGGGACATGGTTCAACAGCTCTTGGGAAAGGACTGGCAGCTGTGGGCAGGTCTTCTCTATCCTCTTTAAAAAAACAACAACAGCTGTGAAAGCTGCTACCTTCAGTGGTGCAACAGCATGAACAGTGCTATGGCCACAGCCTGCCTGCCTGCCTTCCGTCCTTCCTGAGCAGCTAAAGCTTTGCTGCCACCGCCCCACCCTATCTCTGTAGCCAGTAAGCCCTGTCCTGTCTCCACTGACATTGTTTCAAGGATGGAATTGCAACCCCTGAAACAGTCACCCCAATAGGAAAAATAGGGCAGCAAATTGGGAAATGGCTTTCTCAGCCCACTCCATCCTTGGGCTTAATTCAAGGTGCCAGTACTGACCATTTCAAGCCCTTCACAGCCTGGGTCCCACTTAGAGGCTCTGATGCTCTTCTAACTTTGTGCAAGGTGGAAATTGTCTCAGAGAGAAGCTGGACCTTCATGCCAATTGCCCCAAGGCAGTGAACTGCTTCCTGGAGCACATACCGTATTTTTCGCTCTATAACACGCACCCGACCATAACACGCACATAGTTTTTAGAGGAGGAAAACAAGGAAAAAAAATATTCTAAACGAAACAGTGGATGTATGATTTTTGTGGTTCATGCTGTGGCCACAGACATGTGATTTGACAGTGAGTTTGGGGTAGCCCAATGCAAAAATCCTGAGGATCCATGTGGATCCATGCTTTGTAACCACATTTTTGCACCACTGCGGCCCCAGGCAACAGTGGGTGCGTGATTTTTTTGGTGCAAGCTGTAGCCATGGACATGCTATGTGATCTGATGGTGAATTTGGGGTGACCCAGTGCAAAAATCCATGTGGATCTGTGCTTTGTAACCACGTTTTAAGTGGCTTGCTTTAAAGGAGCCAACCGGACAGGAGCCGCTTACACTCGTGTAAGCGGCTCCTCTCCTCTCCCGCTTTGCTCCTTTAAAGCAATCAGGCTCTCTGTCCCTCTCCTCCCCCCCCCCCACTCAGCGGCTCTTCTCCCGCTTTGCTGTTTCAAAGCGAGCCGCGGAGCAGGGAAGGAAGGGGAACCATGGATCCTCTGCTCACAACTGCAGCAGATCCCCCCCGCCACCCGTAGGCATTCGCTCCATAACTCGCACAGACATTTCCCCTTACTTTCTAGGAGGAAAAAAGTGAGTGTTATGGTGCAAAAAATACGGTAATTCTACTCTTTCTCATTGGGCTTCCACAGGTGTGTGTGTGCAAAGCACATCTCTTCTGCTTGGTTTTTGGTCTGACTGGATGGTTTGCTTAGGTTTTTGTTGGCGGCGGTGCTGCTGCTGTTTTTTTGCTCCTTCTCACTAGTCTGTTGAATTTATTTAAAATTTTTATTTATTTATTATGGTACCCCACCATCAGTGCTGAAAAAGTGGTTGATAAATGTTTTAAATAAATAAAATGGCTGCAGGCTAGTCATCAGGGGTCTGTTATATTGTCCTCTCCCTCAGACTGCACAGCCAAGGAGACATCCCCACAACGCTCTGAAAGGGAGAATTATACAGCACAAACCAGAAAAGCGACACAAGATGGATTTAGGGGTGGAATGAGGAGGGATGTGTTTGACACCCCAATCCTTGCCTCTCAATAAGAAAAGACATTTCAAATTCAGCCTGCTATGGACATGCACTGTGGAGTCTGCCTGATATGCAGATAAGAAGTCAGTCATCAAGGGAGACATCTCCCAAAATTGTAGTCATTAAGCTGTCTGGATAAAATAAGCAGAAATCAAGAAGATTTATGGACTCAAGACAACCACTCTCTCATTGGACTATAATTTGTACTATTTATTGCTTTTGAAATTGGTCTTTTCCTTTCATACTTGGCTCCTCAGTCAAAGGAACTGAAGATGTCCAAGATCCTTTGCAAAAGAATGATCTTAAGAACTGCAAGAACCTGAGAATTTTGGCTCCAGATCTGCACTTTATCTTCTTGGTTTTTCAAACACCCAAATAAACTTTGATCCCTGACCAGTTTTTCCTCAATATTAAGTCTCAACAGGAAAGCAAATATCATTTTGTTGACATAAATCTGCTCACCCCAACCTGTAGCCTTTCAGATATTTTCAGCTACAACTCTCATCTTGGTATATTATTTGCACAAAGTCCTGCAAAAATTGATTGTATACCTATGAGACTTAGCTCCTGCACCTTGTGTTTCAAATCAGGGTATGTTTTCCCATTGATATAAGAAGAATAATAATCTTGATTTATCTTACAAGTAAGCTTGTAAAATGATCTCTCTTCCATAGATGAAAGGATCTATTTAAGCAGAGTAAGCTGAAATGAATAGCAATTGTAAAGGTATTAGCCTTTTAACAGAAAACTAATCAAAGGCTTAAGCTGTTCCATATCAATAAGCACAATTAAAAAGTCCCCAAATTTCCAGTTCTCCCAAATGTTCATTTTCTAAGCTTAAATTAGGAAGCCTGCTCTGCCCCAGAGTTTCTGCAGTACTCCTGTGATCCACACATATCTGGTACCAAAACCAATCTGGTGCCCTGTGATTAATTCCCAGTGTTCCCGGATGTGCTGAGTGAGTGCTGCTAAACAACAGGAGGTCATATTTTAAAAAGCGTATCATCCAGATCCAACTTGCAGCATTTCCTAGCCAACAGCAACTCACACACCTCTGAGAAGTAGCTGCCACTATGGGACTTTCTCACAATGTCCAAAAGATAAGAAGTGGTCTGAACAATATCCCAGAAAAACCAGCTAGCTGGGAAACTAAGAACATACGAGCTATCCTGCTGGGTAAGACTGGGTGGGTATCCTTCATGTCCAACAAGGGCCTGCCAGATTCCTCTAGGGAGCTTATAATATGGACATAAAGGCAAGTACCCTTCCTGTTAGTTCTCTACAGCATCTAATGCTCACTGCCTCTGAATGTGGAAGGCTGCCTTGAGCTATCAGTCCATACTATGAAGCCCTGCACGGCATAGCTCATAGCTTCTCCGAGTTATTCAAGCCCCTTCGCCACGGCAAGGCAGTGATCCATGAAGGATCCTATGGAAGTGAGAGCTGGACCATAAAGAAGGCTGATCGCCAAAGAATTGATGCTTTTGAATTATGGTGCTGGAGGAGACTCTTGAGAGTCCCATGGACTGCAAGAAGATCAAACGCATCCATTCTTAAGGAAATCAGCCCTGAGTGCTCACTGGAAGGACAGATCATGAAGCTGAGGCTCCAATACTTTGGCCACCTCATGAGAAGAGAAGACTCCCTGGAAAAGACCCTGATGTTGGGAAAGATGGAGGGCACAAGAAGGGGACGACAGAGGATGAGATGGTTGGACAGTGTTCTCGAAGCTACAAACATGAGCCTGACCAAACTGCGGGAGACAGTGGAAGACAGAAGTGCCTGGCGTGCTCTGGTCCATGGGGTCACGAAGAGTCGGACACGACTAAATGACTAAACAACAACACTATGAAGCCCATGAATTGTGGGGACCAAGGGAGAAAGACGCCCAAAGTAAATGAGACAGCTAGAGGCAACTTCTAGCCCAGTTCTCCAAGTCATCTCTCAACAAGGAGATTCCCATGATGAACAATGCTATTCCAATTTCTGGTGCAGTCTTGGGGCAATAGCAGGGTCTTCTTCAGCCAGGAGCAGCCGGGATTCATGGCAGTGGCATTGCAGCTGCTTCTTATCTGGATGGGGCAGGGCTGGGGTTGGGCGCCTCTGTGGGAGCACCAGATTGTCTCCACCCTCCACCATTGCTCCCACACACTGTCCTGTCTCCCAGTTGCCGAAGAACAAAGACTAGACAAAAAGTTCTTTCCAAAAGCCTAAATGCTTATATTACTGTGGTACATGGGAACGGTTGGTTTAAAGCCCTTCAGAGGTAATCCTAAATACAGCTACAACAAAGGCAAGTTCTCTAGCTGGCAAGCTCTGAAAGTTGATATGACACTATCACAATCCTTGGCTTTCCTATAGACAGGAACAAGGAGGACTTTTCTTAAGGCTGTAAGCATTTCTGCAATCTCCTGCTACATTTGTGTTCCCTTCTCTTTTGACTCCTTCTCGACCTAGGTGACAGGACAAGTCTCTCTCTCCCCCCCCCCCCCCGAGGTGGCTGGGACCATTGAAACATCCCCCTCTGGGCAGGCAGAGCTACTCCCAGGATAGGATGGTGCTGGAGTGGGCATGCCAGAGAGAGGCTCTGCCAAGGTTGGAGAGGGTGGCAGGAACACAGAGGGAGGTGACACTCATGGCTCCCATTGTGGGGATGTTGGAGGCAAGAGAGCAGTTGAGGAAGGCTGCTCTCTGCCGCAGAATCCTAGCAGATTCTACTCTTGGCCAAACCTCCCTACTCTTGGCCAAACTTCCCTCCGCAGTAGTCTGACTTGGCTAGCCCCTGTCGCGACTGCCAAGGTAAATACCGATGGTGCTGCTGTCACCAGCCCATCCCCCACTCCAGGCTGCCTCCAGCTCCTGTCTCCATTTACATGTCCATGTCCTGTTAAAATAACAAACTCTGCTCACTTCTGGATTCTGTCCCTTGGACATGCCAGAATATGATGGGATGCTGGAGTTGGCTTTTATAAATAGGTTGTCACTGTCAAATTCCTGCATTGAGTTTTTAATGGCTGCCATGGCCGTGACCAGCTGTTTGGAAGATGGAGATGAAACAGAACGAGCCACAAAAGGAGACAGAGGGAGACATGCATTCTGCTAGCTGGACCGTAAGAGAATCATCTGGGTTGTGTGTTAAGGATGCATTTCAATTATATTCCCGAGGAAAATTCTCCTGTAAAATGCAGAGCTCCAGAGGTGAACCTATTGTCAAAGCAGTTTATATTTATGAGATACAGCAAAATAGTTTACTCAATTCAAAGGGTAGAACTGAATGCCGTTCTATTACCATTGTTCCATTACTGATAGAATGTCAGTTTGCCAGACTGAAACATCTCATTGCACTGGTTCCTGCTAGCACAACAGTTTACTTGAATCTGACCCAAAGTTTTAAAAATAATGGGTGGTATTCAATAGGTTTTACTCCAGGTAGACCCACTGAAATGAATATGACTTAATTAGGTCCATTCATTTCAATGGGTCTACTCTGAGTAAATCTTAGTTGACTACCACTCATTATTTATTTTTTTGCAAGGAGGCATCCCCACTCCTTTGATTTGTTAAGAAATGAGTTTTGGAATGTAAAGTAATGAATAAGCATCATAAAGGGAAAATGTGTGTGTGGAATAAAATTTATTTCATTTCATTTATGAATCTCTTCCCATTAAATATCCTGAACTGATTTAACAGTAAAAACCATCAAAACAAAACCGATTTCAAATCCAATACATATACAAACGGGAATAATAAAATCTCCCCTTAAAAAAAACTCTCTTCAAGAGAGTCTGAAAAGAAAACAGAGACAGCATGATAGGGAGTTTCAAGATGGTGTATACATCCATTCAAGGAGGAACCTGGCCTGTCTCCACACCAAAACAAAACTGTGGCAGATCCTTATCTAAGAGAAAACATTTGCAGATGACACAGCCATAACAGCGCACTCCGAGGAAGCTGTACAGAGACTCATCAACCATTTTGCCCAAGCCTGCATGGAGTTCAGCCTTACAATCTGCCTTACGTAGAGCAACATCCTGGGTCAGAACAGCACCAGCACTCCATGCATCAGCATGATGACCACATGCTTGAGGTGGTAGCTCCACCACAAACAGCAACTCCTCCATCGATACTGAGCTGGACAAGCATATTAGCAAGGCTGCTATGGCAATGGCTTGCCTCTCCAAAAGGGAGAATCTGATGCTAATATCCCATACCAAGATGAAGGTCTTGCAGGCTTACCTGATGAGCATGCTGCTTTATGGAAGCGAGTCCTGGGCAACTTCCAACCCTCAGGAGTGACACCTCAATGCCTTCTACATGCGCTGTGTCAGGAAGAATTGGGGTATCACATGGCAGGACAGAGGTTCAAACAAAGATGTGCTCTCCCAAGCCCACATTCCCAGCACGTTCACACTCTTGTCTCAGTGAGGTCTACTCTGGCTTGGTCATGTCTACAGAAAGGAAGATGGCAGGATCCCCAAGAATGGGCTTTACAGGGAGATAGTTTCAGGCACAGACCAACTCTGAGTTATAAAGATGTCTGCAAATCTGACATGAAGGTTGGCAACATTAACCCCTTGCAGACAACTGCAGCACCTGGAGACGATCAGGTTGTGTATCCACAGCAGTGACCAGAGAAGGAATAACTGTTGGGAGGGGTGCGGAAAGAAGAAATGCCATGGTGCATCTGTAACAGCAAAACTGGATCCCTTCACCTACCCCAGGTGTGACAAAACACGTCTCTCTCATATCAGTCTTTACAGCCAGAGCAGGCGCTGTTAACTCTCCAATGGTTTGACTTCACCCCCTAAGGCACAGTCCATAATATAACATGATGGACTTCTTGATGAGATGTTATTTGCAGGACCTTTTCTTCTGCAGAGTACAGTGACCAGTTGGGTATATAAGGGATTATTCCTACATTGCAGGGGTCAGCAAACTTTTCCAGCAGGGGGCTGGTCCACTGTCCCTCAGACCTTGTGGGGGGCCGGACTATATTTTGGAGAGAAAAAATGAACGAATGCCTAGGCCCCACAATTTAGAAGGCGATTGGGCCGGATCCAGCCCCCAGGCCTTAGTTTGCCTACCCATGCACTAGATGATCCTTTGGTTCTCTTCCAACTCTGCAATCCTATTATTCCATGAGAATCTTCTAGGTATCCAGGTAACAAGCTGGTAACAAGCTTTGTACACCAGCACCTTGAACTTAAGCCCAGTAGCTAACAGGTAGCCTGTGCAAATCTTTCAGTAGTGGTGTGACACTTAAAGGATTACTGAGAAGCAAATTGAGATTTCTAGTAAACGGCCTTGTTTTAGGAAGGCAGATTACCTCATCATCATCATCACTTTTAATTTGTATACCATCTTTCTATTTCACAATACCCAAGGCAGTTTACAAGCTGAAGAAATGAAGAATGTACACCTTATAACAATCTAATCCAATACAAAAAGGTGATAATAAAACATACCTTTAAAATAAGCAACTTATATCAAATAAAGAAATATTCAACAATCCATTAGAATAGCATAGAATAATATTAAATATCAGCATATAAAAAATTAAACAGAAATCCACTCTTAACAATTATAATAAATAATTTCTAAACTATAATCAATAAAACAACGGCAAGTCACAGTGCATAAAATATACAATACAAATTGAGAAGCAGAGACTGGAGGGTGGCGCAAGGCAGGTGGAAGAATTCAAATTCTGCTCATTTGAAAAGAAGAAACACCTCACACTGCAAGAAGATCAAACCTCTCCATTCTGAAGGAAATCGGCCTTGAGTGCTCACTGGAAGGACAGATCGTGAAGCTGAGGCTCCAGTACTTTGGCCACCTCATGAGAAGAGAAGACCCCCTGGAAAAGACCCTGATGTTGGGAAAGATGGAGGGCACAAGGAGAAGGGGACGACAGAGGACGAGATGGTGGGACAGTGTACTCGAAGCTACAAACATGAGTCTGACCAAACTGCAGGAGGTAGTGGAAGATAGGAGTGCCTGGCGTGCTCTGGTCCAGGGGGTCACGAAGAGTCGGACACGACTAAACAACAACAACAACAACAACAACAACAACAACACACACACACACACACACACACACACACACACATGCATTGGCAATCACAGGACTTTGTTTTTCCACAATATTTGCTCTACTGATGAAAGATGAAGATGTCAAACTTTATCATGTACTCAAGTGGTAATTAATGATATACACAAGAGCAAAACAAAGCATAATGTTTGCTTAGTTTTGAACACAGCAGCAATTTGCAGCTGCAAAAAACATTGTTGGAGTAATCTGGAACATTTCCTCCCAAAATGCTTGATTGGCTTATCTCTTTGTAAAAGAGTGAAGGAATAGTCACTGGGAGTTGGGATGGAGAAATCGGTCAATTTCAGTTTCTCTTGGTTTCTACTTTCCCCAGTTTTTAAGTCTGTTCCCTGAATTTCCATGTCAGCTTCCAATTTATGCTTTTGGAAATACCTGTCAGCATTCTAGTGCGCATCTTTCCTACTGTATACATTTCTGTGGATAATCTTGCAAGCAATTCCCCCAACAATGTTTTTGTATGTTATTTGGATGCGGAGTGTAAGGCAAGGCTTAGTGTGGGCCCAGAGAAGTCCCCAGTTCACCTAATACACCCCTGGTGTGTGCACAGTTGACTACAACAACCTGGCACTGGGCTTAGAGGCCTCTAAGCATGAGTGGAAAACTGTGCACATCCCTGCCTCACCACACAACATTTGACACCGCCTCTGTTATACCTGTGCTGGATACTCTACATGTGCAGAAAGCATTTCAGAGCCCAGAATGAATGTCAGAATCCATCCTAGATTGTACAGTCCACTCTAGAGGAACCAGCAGGTCAATCTCCATTTGTTCTGAGGTCAGTCAAAACACCTTGTACACAGCCTGCTAATAACAGAATTGTTATTAGTTATCTATTCTAACCTCATGTGATGACGGAAACATAGCTAAGGTTGGTAGATGGCCTTCCAACCTCTGTTTAAAAACTTCTAATGAAGGACAGTCCACCACCTTCCCAGGTCATCTGTTCCACTGTTGAACAGTTATTGCCGTCAGAAAGTTTCTCCTAATGTTTATTTGGAATCTCCTTTCTTGCAACTTAAATCCAGTTGTTCAGGTCCTACCCTCTGGGGAGCAGCAGAAAACAAGCTTGTTCCTTCAATGTGACAGCCCTTTAGAAATCAGAGGGTGGCTCTCCTATCACCTCCCAGTCTCCTCTTCACCAGCTAAACATACCCAACTCCCTCACCAGCCTTGGTTCCCAGACCCCACCCTACCCAGACCCACCAATACTTTATGCTCATACTGAGAAAAACAAAAACTTACCTTTTGCTGGACAAAGTCCAAAATATTCTTGAAGTCCAAATCATCATAGTAGTGTCTTATCCCATCCTGCACAGTGGAATGGAAAACTGCATTCATCTGGAAAGAAGCAGAGTCCCAAATGTGAGAGAAATGCTCTCCAACAACAGATAGGAGGTTAGCAAGGAAAGGCCTTCACACAACATTGCAAGGCTTGGTGCAATCTCCCTTGCAGGGACAACAAATGATGTGCTGTCAGAGCATCAGTTGCTAAACAACTCCCACCCTCAGAAAGCAGTAGTGCAGTGGTACCTTGGTTTAAGAACAGCCCCGTTTACGAACTATTCGGTATATGAACTCTGCAAAACCGGAAGTAGTGTTCCGGTTAGCAAACTCTATCTTGTCTATGAACGGAATCCGAACGGTGGAAGGGCCCTGGCGGTGGGAGGCCTCATTAGGGAAAGCGCACCTTAGTTTAAGAATGGCTTTGGTTTAATCCGTCTGGAACGGATTAAGTTCGTAAACCATGGTACCACTGTACTGGCTATAGAAAGGCAGTGCTTTGAAATAATCACGGTCCATTTCTCTTTGACCTTTTAGACAACAAGCATTTTCATAAACACGACAGGAAGAGATTTGGCACTTTCTACAGAGACGGGACGTGGGTGGCGCTGTGGGTTAAACCACAGAGCCTAGGGCTTGCTGATCAGAAGGTCAGCGGTTTGAATCCCCACGACGGGGTGAGCTTCCATTGCTCGGTCCCAGCTCCTGCCAACCTAGCAGTTTGAAAGCACGTCAAAGTGCAAGTAGATAAATAGGTACTGCTCCGGCGGAAAGGTAAACGGTGTTTCCATGTACTGCTCTGGTTCGCCAAAAAGCGGCTTAGTCATGCTGGCCACATGACCTGGAAGCTGAACGCCGGCTCCCTTGGCCAATAAAGCGAGATGAGCGCTGCAACCCCAGAGTCGGCCACGACTGGACCTAATGGTCAGGGGTCCCTTTACTTTTACCTTTACAGAGATGGTGCCCCGAAGCCATCAGGGTGTATTCTTGGACAATGTATTCTTGGCAATGGACAAGTGCTGGAGTTGCAAGTGCTCAGCACAGCTCCTCTTCTGACCAGGCAGAGACTTTGTTATGTGCCCAGTGAGATTTGTGGGGAACAGAGCCTGGAACCGAGGACAGACAACTAGAGGCAGGTAGCCTGCTGCCATTCTGCCACTGACGAGGGTCAGCATCAGAGGACCTGGGAAAGGTCTCAGTACAGAGAGCTGGACTTGTTCCCATGAAGCCCAAAGCCCAGCTGAGCTCTTATATTCCAAAACATGCCAGAGCCCCACCCAAAGAACTTAAAGCAGGGAAAGCTCTTTGGCCTGGAGCAATATATTTATGGTGCTGTTTCCTTCAAAAACGGAAACACCTGAAAGCTTTTCCTTTGTGAAGGGGTCTCCTTTGTGTTTGAAAAATGGGTCACAGGACACAGTGCCTCTGAAGAAAGCAAAGGGTCTCTCCTGTAACTGGGCACAACTAAGCAACTAAAACTCAGTCCCTCAAAGTTCTCATGTGAAGGACACCATCTTTTTTTCTAAAAAAAGACACCCCCATTCTTTCAACAGCCTTGATTCTGCAAAAGAGCCCCCTCTTTCCATGACATCCATGAACACATTTGTAAAAATCCACACACTGTAGATCCTGTGCTGCATTTTGTGTCCTGAATCCAACCTTGAAAATTAAGAAAAATATGCAAATGAATAAGCAAAAGGAGGGTTGGGAGGAAGGCTGCTCTGCGTGGGGCACTGACATTGCTTTTCAATTTTTAAGCAGTTGCTTTTGATAAATTTAATTATGCACATAGCAAAGTTTACTAGAAAAAAGATACATATATAGAGAAAAACCCAAGATGGGTGCAATCAAAGATTCTTCCCATATATTCCTAGAGAACATACCCTTGGGGTTATTTTGACACGGCAGATGCTTCAAATTAAGCAGTAATTGAATCTAAAATGCATTTCACAAATACTTCAGAAGGTTCCTGCATCCCTCAAAGCTGAGCCCCTAATGCCTGAGGAGTTACCTTCTAAAGGAACATTTGCCATCTGACTTCTGACAAAGCCCCACCAGACACAAACCCCGAGAAATATTAATGAAAAGAAGCTGTTTGGGGTTTTTTTTTGCTTAAACACACAAACTCACCAACTTACTTGGCCTAATTAATTCTGACATGAAAATTACAGAGGTTGGGTGAGCTGGAGAATAAATGTGAATACAAAGAAGAGGAATCTGACAGAGCAAAGAAGGCAGAGCCAGGGAGAAGTGAAGGCATGTCAAGGTGTAAACACAAAGAATATTTTTTTTATGACCCCCCCCCCCCAAAAAACCCCTGTATCCCAAACACAAAACACAAAATGTCAGTTTCAACACTTCCATACCTAAGATGAGGCTGACAGGTATTTCCCCCCCTTAAATCCCCAACATTAACTTAAAGGAAAACCACATACAAAAAAATTCAGTTGTCTCATAGCTGACAACCTTGCCAACCTTCTAAAAAGACAGTCAATCTCCTGCCCAAGCAGTTGACTCCCCCTGGCAGTTCCTACATTCATCTGGAGAACAGAGCCATCACACATTTTGTTTCCTAGTCAGGCATGAACAGTGGGCAGCACAAAAAGCTCAGTTGCAAATACAGGTTAGAAATCTGGATGGATGAGATTTAAAAACACAAGAACCTAAGTTGAGTCTGCTGAATCAGGACGGTGGCCAGTCTAGTCCAGCATCCTTTTCTCACAGCAGCCAACCAGATCTGAGCCCAAGAGCCCTCTCACTTGCTGTGGCTTCCGGCACCTGGTATTCAGAAGCACTGCTGCCTCCAGCCGCAGAGGCAGATCACAGCCATTGTGGCCAGTAGCTATCTGCATGGGGGAAACCCTCCTTGCTGCCTTTCTAGATGTGTATTCCCAACATGCCGGGGCTTCCGAACATGGGAAGAGGAGCTGGTGGGTGTCTGCGCATGAACATGAGCAGAGGAGAGAGCTGGCACCCTCCCACACTGCTTGCCTCACCTGAAGCAGAGCAGCTAGACACTGGACTCCTGGACTTGTTTGCCACAAAATATGTCAGCTACCTAGAGCTATGAGGGGCTGGCTCTTAGTGCTGCTGCTTCCCCTCTCTGAGACTATGTTTGTCATTAAAAATAAATAAATGCTGGTTAGGTAAAGGTAAAGGGACCCCTGACCATTAGGTCCAGTCGTGACCGACTCTGGGGTTGCGGCGCTCATCTTGCCTTATTGGCTGAGGGAGCCGGCATACAGCTTCCAGGTCATGTGGCCAGCATGACTAAGCCACTTCTGGTGAACCAGAGCAGAGCACGGAAACGCCGTTTACCTTCCCACTGGAGCGGTACCTATTTATCTACTTGCACTTTGATGTGCTTTCAAACTGCTAGGTGGGCAGGAGCAGGGACCGAGCAACGGGAGCTCACCCTGTCGCAGGGATTTGAACCGCCGACCTTCCGTCAGCAAGTCCTAGGCTCTGTGGTTTAACCCACAGCGCCACCCGCGTCCCAAATGGTTAGATTTACATTATTTAATTCAGTTAGAAAGCTAGGGTCTGGAAGGCAAATTAAAAGGTGGGGGGAGAAGTACCACCTTTAAATAAATGATATTAATTGGAGAGAAAGTGTCAATGGGATGCTAACCAGTAAGACTGGTCTACCTGGCAAAATAGTGTGTGCCTTGCACCTCTGTTTCTACAAAGGCAAGATGCTTCTAAAAACAACGAAAACCATCTAACGCCCTAAATAGGCACCAGAGAGCATGTCCAGAATCTGACCAAATTAATCTAACAACCCTAACCTGCAGATTCTGCTATTCAGTGCTCACCTCTGCTCTAGGCAAATAGATATAAAACAAGCCATGTAATTTACAGAACTGTGAGGGGGGAGACTCCATCAGGCAAGGCCTCTTTCCACCTGCCTTGCCCCACCCTCTAGCCCTGGGTCTCCTCATAAGGAAGCTGTGCCTGGAGGAAGAACTGTGAGGGGAGAGACTCCATCAGGCAAGGCCTCCTTCCACATGTCTTACTCCACCCTCCAATCTCTGCTTCTCATTTTGTATTGTATTATGTTGTGCACTGTGGTTTGCTGTTGTTTTATTGATTGGAGTTTAGAAATTACTTATTGTAATTGTTGAGTGGATTTCTGTTTAATTTTGAAATGCTGATATTTAATATTATTTTATATTATTTTACTGAATGTTGAATGTTATTTTATTTGCATATTGTATATTGTATTATGCATATTGTCTTATTTATATGATGTTAGCCGCTCTGAGCCTGGCTTTGGCTGGGGAGAGCGGGATACAAATAAAATTTATTATTATTATTATATTATTATTATTATTATTATTATTATTATTATTATTATTACAGAATTATTAAGGACTTGAGAGTGAAAAGCAGCCTGTGATTGTTGCGGTCTCAGTATTTGTTACACACTTTGCATCCATGAGAAGCTGAAGCTCCTTGAGAAGAACACAAGCAGGGTCTGGTGGATCAGGCCAGTGGCTCATCTAGTCCAGCATCCGCTTCTCACAGTGGCTGACCAGATGCCTGGGGGAAACCAGCAAGAAGGATTTGAGCGCAAGAGCCCTCTCCCCTCCTGGGGTTTCCAGCAACTGGGGTTCAGAAGAACTGCTGCCTCTGAATGTGGAGGGCAGAGTGTAGCCATCATGGCTAGTAGCTACCAGTAGCCCTCTCCTCCATGAATTTGTCTTATCCTCTTTTAAGTCTGAAAGAAGAGGAGAATAAAGTGTGGAGAAAAGAGCTCAGCATTCAATCATACACCTAATTGCTCTGGCATGGCTGTTAAGTTATGCACACACAGAAAAATTACTTGGGTAAAAAAACAAACCTGCCAGTCCTTCTGAACATTCACAGTCCACTGAACAAGACGATCTCCAGTCTCTCCCAAAGGGGTCAAAACACACATTGTAATTACTTGTGTGGGAGGCTCACCTGCTTTTCAAAGATTATTTCGATACACAGCAGCAGCAGCTCAGTAATAAAGATGGCCAGCAGGACCCAGAAGAACTAGGCAGAAAAGAGAGAAGGGTGGGGAAGAGAAGGGGATTTTGTATTTCTTTAAAGGTAAAGGTAAAGGTACCCCTGACCGTTAGTCCGGTCGCGGACGCTTTAAGAGGTGACAAAAAACCATGAATAATTACCGCCCCCCCCGGCTTCTATAAGTCAGGCCAACACCAAACTGGATGTCCATCAGTCCTAGCTGGCAGGACTCTGCTCTCCCACCTGGCATCCTGTGGCTGTGCTGAAATATGAACTAGACACAGAACATTCTTCCCATCCCCCCTCCCCCCTGGGCAGTTCAGCTCCACACATTTCCCCTCCTACCCACCCTTGGCTTTTAAATCAGGTGACAGTAGAATAAGATAATTCAGCACGCAGTGTCAAGCCTTCATCAATGTGAAATAGGAGAGAGAGGGACTCAGGCAGTGATGCCTGGTATGAAAACTGGGGTGAAGGTAGGTCCACTTTCACCTGTGCAATGTTGGAGGACAGGGTTGTATCATCATCGTCACCCACCCAACCTGTACCAGCAGGTACAAGGGCATCTTACAACAATTTAAAATTCAGGATTAAAAACCGTTAAAACAGATTACAGTCATGGGAATATGATGGGCTGCAAAAGCTCTCATCGTGGGAGTCAAAGGCCAAGGAAAAGAGGTTCAGCACCCCTAAACTCCTCAAGAAGGAACTGGTTCCGCCTTCTTATTTCATCCTTGTCAACCCATCCCAAACATGTTGCTTCCCTGCCCCCCCAATCCTTCCTGGGCACAGGCGGGGACATCATTTTATTTGTGTCTCGGGCAATGCCTGGGGCTTCTATCCTCCCACCAGCAGAGGAGGATTTAGGAGAGCACAACCATTTTGGTCCACCTGGCACAGAGCCTCAGGGGCACTGCAATTATGATGCAGATTGAAAGGCAAGAGGTGGAGGGGGCAAATTTTGGCACTGCACAGGGTGCCACTGAAATTTAAGACCCCCAAGGACTGCCACTGCCATCAGCCCCAGCATTCTATGGTCATCCTGGTTGGGGTTGCTGGGAGTTGCAGTGCAAAGGATCCAGCAGGGATCCAGGATGGGTATAAACTGGATATAAACAGATTAAGACAAACCAAATTGGTCACATTTTTCTTCTGCTTACATCAGACTAACATTCCTAAGACAATGCAAACATTAGCACAAGCCAAAACACATAAATTAGGGCACTCCCAAGTTACCTTTCCATTACTGCAAATTCAGCATGCTGTGGAATGAAAAGAAGCCTCCTACATAAAACCACAAAATGAGATGTTGAAGCACCAAATTGCCAGATGACACCAAACTGGGAGGGGCGGCTAATGCTGCTTAAGACAGAATCAGGATTCAAAATCACACTTTCTGACAGTGAGAGCTGATTGACAGTGGAACAGTTTCCCGCAGAAGGTGGTGGACTCTCCTTTGTAGGTTTATAAACAGAGGTGCCCAGGGGGTAGATCCGGCCCAATGGCCTTCTAAATCCGGCCCACGGATGGTCCGGGAATCAGCATGTTTTTACATGAGTAGAATGTGTCCTTTTATTTTAAATGCATCTCTGGGTTATTTGTGGGGCCTGCCAGGTGTTTTTACATAAGTAGAATGTGTGCTTTTATTTAGAATGCATCTCTGGGTTTTTTGCGGGGCACAGGAATTCATTCTCCACCCCACCCCCCAAATATAGTCCAGCTCCCACATGGTCTAAGGGACAGTTGACTGGCCCCCTGCTGAAAAAGTTTGCTGACCCCTGGACTAGATGATCATCAGGGTTCCTTCCAACTCTACAATTCTATGGTTCAAATGTTGTTTTAAACTGCATTGCCTTTGCCTGAGGAAACCTTTTACTCTTCACTAGCTGAATTCTAGCATTATCATGGTCGGAACAGGGAGAGCTGAAAACATTCTTGTCTTCATAAGGCCATAGCTATAACTTGGGCTCCAGCTTCTTCCTGGACTTGACATAGTTTACTAACTGAGAACTAGTCTTGAAAGCAGACTCCCTCATCCTTTTCCTTCCCCTCCTCCGGCATTGAGTCACATTGCATGATGTGCACCAATCACAAATCACAGCTCCCCTCAAAGCCACAGATCCGAACCATGTTTTGAAGAGAGTTTGCAAACTATGGTTATGAGGAAACAAGGTATCTGTAACAAAATAGCTTGTTAACATGTACAGTTATACCTTGGTTTTTGAACAGCTTAGTTCTCGAACATTTTGACTCCTGAACGCCACAAGCCCGGAAGTGACTGTTCCGGTTTGCGAACTATTTTTGGAAGCTGAATGTCCGACAGGGCTTCAGCGGCTTCCAATTGGCTGCAGGAGCTTCTTGCAGCCAATCAGCAGCTGTGCTCTGGTTTCCAAATGTTTTGGAAGTCAAACAGACTTCCGGAACGGATTCCATTCAACTTCCGACTGTACTGGAAAGCTGTACTTAACGCTGGACCAAGAAAGAGGGTAAAGAGAGTACATGTTCATTAGGCTGATTCTTAATTGTTATTTGCTCCAACCCCACTTGACAGTGATCCTGGCGTGACCTTCATATTTGGCTGGAACCCTCTAATCTTTGCATTCTTTTGTGACAAGAGACATCATCTTCTATTTGCTAAGGGGGCCAAATTCAACTGAGCTTCTTGGAGGATTAATTTGGCTCAAGTGCCTGGCAATAACGTCAGCTGCTAAGTAAGGAAAAGAAATTTGGCTCAAGTTCAAAACAGACGAGATAGTTAATAAAGGGTTCAGCTATCAATTTATCACATTCTCAATGGGACAGGAGAACAGGAACAAATCCCTCATTCCATTAAACACAAACTGCCATCAGCCATCCTTAAGAAGCCCATCAGTTCCAGATTCGACAATAAATTACTGTTCCAGCACCGAGTTCGGGGCCAAAATTAATCACTTTGTGGTGCCTGCTTCCACAATAACCCAGAGACTATTTAACTGCTTGCTTTTAATTTCATTTAACTTGGATGGGTTTACCACAGGAGAAAAGAATTCAGCAACAGGGAGAGAAGCTTGTTGTCAGTCAGAGATGCAACTGAACATGGCTCAAATAACATTTTGATATGAGAGTAGAAGCTGTTGCTTAGCCTTGGAAAAGCATTTGTGTAAAGAACAGCAGGGGATGGTCCCTTTACAGAACCTTCAGCTAGAAGCAAACTGGATGAAGGGCCTTGGCAGTCCCCAGTTCACCTCCAGCCTCCATTGGAGCAAGTTGCTCACTGTGGAGCTGCAAGCACCAGCCTGTCTTGCTGTGTAGGCACATGCAAAAGCCAAATCAGAACAGCACATTCCTTTGTGGGTGAAGTTTGATACCATGGAAGCAAAGGCGGTTGGGGGACACAGAGACATACAGGGGACTTCAAAGTCTTTCTGAAGATACATTTTATTAAAACAAGGAATAGATGCGAGTCTGGAGGAGGGCTTAGCTGTTGGCAACTCAATGCCTTTAGTGGTGTTGCGTACAAGGTGCTCTACATCCGGCAGACACAATGTCACACTGTGTTGCTGCTGTTGGTGCTTGATTAGATTGGTGTTCTTTTAAAGTAAATATTGTAAGTTTTCTAGTTCAGTTTGTCCCATTATACAGGCTGTGCTGTTTTGTTCTGTTTGGATCTTCATGAAGGCTTCTGACACTATCATTTAAAGTGGTCTTTTCAACTTATTAAATGGATTCTGTAAATTTTTTACAGTGTCCCTGCAGAGTCTTCAACTCAGAATGTGTGCATCTGGGAACCTTAAAAGCACCCATTCCACAGCCTTCCCCAAACCTGAAGCCCTTCGGCTGTTTTGTGCTATGACTGCCATTATCAGCACCAGCCAGCTAGAGATCTGCAGAGCAAACAGAAGGCAATAAGGGGAGGACAGCCAAGGCAATGCTTTGGGATGCCTTTTCTAGCCCTCTCAAGTCAAGTCACAGGCAACAAAGGCTCTGTGCCAGCAAGGAAGACCCACAGCCATGGATTGCCCTCTTCAGTTCCACCCACTGCTTTCAAGAGGAGAGCTGGACTGCTCAGTCTTCATTCAGCTGGAGGGAATCAGACATGCTGCTGCCACTTTGGCTGTTGGAACTCATATACGAAGCTGCCATTGGTCCATCTTGCCGAGCACGGCCTCCACTGATGAAAAGAAATTCTCCAGGGTCTCAGGAAGGGATCACAGATACATCAACAAAGGGGAGCCTAACTCATTGGTCACCCGTGTGGCCCCTGCAAGCACAAAAGCGCCCTCAGAGACCTGAACTGGTGTAAATGATATACAGCTTTTTTCAAGTCTGATTTGGTGGGACGGGTGTGTGAGAGATTGAGTGTGTGTGTGTGTGTGTGTGAGAGAGAGAGAGAGAGAGAGAGAGAGAGAGGGTGGGGTGGGGTGGGAGAGAGAGACGCTCTGTGCTTGTTGGTTGTACCTGTGTGCATGGTACCCACAACAGCTCCTTCAGTTTGCAAATGTGCCCCAGAAGGTTGACCTCTCAGATTGCAAACCTCACTCTGCACTGACTTCAGGCCCTTAACCTTGGCACTTCTCACTTATTATTTGCCCCCTGCAACCACTTGTATGTTACATGATTATATGTGTACTCAATTTGAATTGCTTTATTCTAGCTTCTTTGCTAAACAGATACAGATCCTATCTTTTTTCAAAAGTGGTGGAGTACTTGTTTTGTACACAAAGGTGCCAGTCTCCAAAATCTCCAGATATGGGTCAAATTCAAGGGCAGGCTGTTTCACCCTGCTGAAAATTGGGGCATAATTTCAGGAGGGTTGACTCCATGGACTATTTCATGATGCCTCCTTGGAAAGAAGTGCTTATGGCAGTGACAGGGGCCACTCTTTCCCCACCTGGCATGTTCTCTGGCCTCAGAAGGGGGGGGGGGAGGGAGGTTTTGCCTGGTGAGCCACCATCCCCCATCCCTGGACCATCCAGGTCAGAAGTTGGGCCTGGGCGATACCTGGTTTTCAACATAATGATTTTTCACCAGCTAACCATCATGATATACCAGCAGTATATCTTGATGTCTGAAATAAGGAGTGGTGGCTGGGCTGTCCTTCCCAGCAGCGTGCAGGATTGCGGTGCCTCAGCTGAGGAGGGAGGGAGAGAAGGAGCAACCAGGAGAAGGAAGGAAGGAAGGAAGGAAGGAAGGAAGGCACAGACAGAGAGGCAGCACTCTTTCTTAAAGCACCAATACTGTGGTTTAGGGGAGGTGCTGAAGCTGGCACTGTTCCGCCACAGGAGGGATTGGGGAGGGGAAATGCAGCTGAAAGGGAAGGCAGCCAGCCAGCCAGCCAGAGGGAGCCAGCTGTGACAGAGCATGGTCCATCTCAGCACTTCCCGCTCTCTTCTTCTTCCTGCCGGTTGGAAGGAAGGAGCCAGCCAGTCTCACTTTGGGGGAGGCAAAATGGTTTTTGGAAGGCGGCAGCCAGCAATCAGCACACACAGGGACAGGACTTCTCAAATTGCTTGCAATTATACCACCCTGTGGCGTTTTGAAGGCTGTTCACAATTCATTGCCGGTTAAATATAATGAAACGGTTATCATGACATGGGCTTCAAACTGGTTTTGAATGATGCCTGCACAGGCCTAGCTGGGGCTTTGCTCAAGTCCTCTGACCATACACTCCTCACTGCCCCCTGCCACAAGAATGAATGGCTGCAGACCTGAGCAATGTCCCTCGAAAAAACAGGCAGCCTCTCCCCAGGGGAAGGTGTAACAACAGGTCCAGACCAGCCAGTCTTCAGAAGGCCTCAGGATGCCTCACGGTGCCCCTTGGGTGAGTACCAGCAGCATCTGCCAGAGTACCCAGTGCCTGCTGTTATCTGGCATGACCTACACTGACTTAACGTATTAGGCTCAAGCTGAATTAAGGCCACATTCACACCATACATATATGGTGCCACTTTAAATAGTCATGGCTTCACCCAAAGAGTTATGGGAGCTGTAGTTTAAAGGTGCTGTGAGTCATCAGGAGACCCCTAGTTCCTTCCCAGAGCTATGGTTCCTAGAGTTTCCTTTGATGTACGGTTAGTTGTCAGACGCTGGGAACTGTAGCTCGGGGAGCAGAATTAGGAGTTTCCTAATAACTCTCAGCATTCTTAACACACTACAGCTCCCAGAATTCTTTGAGGGAAGCCATGACTGTTTAAAGCGGTATAATGGCAGGAGTGCTGGAATGGCTCTGCTGGTGTGTTTGCACAGAGCCAGCCTCACCCTGCCTTAAGCAGGAGTTGCATTTCTTGTGGGAGACTATTGATGTGGCTCCATCACACCATTTCTGCCATTTCCACCATCAACATGGTAAGCACAGTTGGGGGCCAAAACAGTGGGCTGACTTGAAACACGCACACACACTTTCTCAATTCACCACTGAAGAACTGGGTAGCAATTTGGGCAGGTTCTTCTCTCAAACGCACATCCCTTTCATGCCCTCCGTAGGAGCACATGGCAGCACTCACTTCATGAAAAAACAACTTCAATCCAAGGAAACTGAAGCTGAGTAAATTCCTGTAACCCCTGGAGTCTCTCACCACTTGGAGGTTGGGGTGATGTGTAACAACACTAATATGAGAAGCCCAAGAGACATCATCTGAGACTGATGACAATAAGGTACAAATTCAAATGTGGATGTGGAAAGGGAAGTGAGATCTTTCCACAACCAAGCAGAGAACGATGGGTGTTTATACTTTCAGCTGCCTTGAAGGATCAGAATCCTGTCTCCAAGATGTGCTTTAGGTTTGAAAAGGTGCCTATCACCAGCTCATTTCTGTCAGGCTTGTCTGTTGCTACACTTGACTTGGCTGTTGCAGCCTTTAGAAGGAATATTTGAGAGTGAAGGGAGAGAGGCAGGCTGCTGCCCATTTGCATCTCACAGATCTCCACACTGAAATAAGGAGTGAGGAACACTTTTTTCCTTCATTACACATTTGCAGCTGGAGGCCAGCTAGAATGAAGGAGGCGGGCCACACCAGACTGACACCAAGGACAAGCAATGGAACTCTAAAATCCATTATTTATGAACAAGACACTGTGCTGCTGTGAGAAGCCAGATTCTCAAAAGGGAGGAGCAATCCCATGACTTTACAAAGATCAACCAACTCTGAGATTTAACTACAAGATCAACTAAGAAAAGCATCTTGTGCTTTTTCACGCTGTCCTCCCGTGTGTTGGAAAGGATTGCTTCACACAAAGTAAGAGCGAACTCTAAAGAAGGAGTGGGAAAACTAGGGGCCCTCTGGGTATCGCTGGACTACAGTTCCCATCATCTCTGAGTGCAGGCCATGCTGGCTGGGGCTGGTGGGAGCTGGAGTCAAAATCTTCTGAAGGGCACCAACCTGGTTGGTGAAGGCTGTTGCCCTGCATCATAAATCAAGAGACCCGAGGAAGCTGAGGCCGCCTTGACACGTACCCAGAGAGATGGAAGTTACTTAAGAACATAAGAAGAGCTTGTTGGTTTCGGCCATCTTGTTCAGCACCCTGTTCTCTCAGTAGCCAGTCAGATGCCTGTGGGAAACTCCCAAGCAGAACCTGAGAACAAGAGTGCTTTCCCTTCCTCTCTTGTGGCTTCCAGTTACTGGTATTCAGACGCATTACTGCCTCTAACTGCAGGGGCAGAGCATAATAATCCTGGCTAGCAGCCACCAAGAGCCCTCTCCTCCATGAATTTGTCTACAGTGGCACCTCAGGTTACAGACGCTTCAGGTTACATACTCTGCTAACCCAGAAATAGTACCTCGGGTTAAGAACTTTGCTTCAGGATGAGAACAGAAATTGTGCGGCGGCAGTGGGAGGCCCCATTAGCTAAAGTGGTGCTTCAGGTTAAGAACAGTTTCAGGTTAAGAATGGACCTCTGGAATGAATTAAGTACGTAACCAGAGGTACCACTCTAATCCTCTTTTAATTCCAAGCTGAAGGGCACCAGTGTCTCCTGTGGAAGTAGCACCTTAGAAACCAACTAGGTTTGTTCTTGGTATAAGCTTTCGTGTTCATGCACACTTCTTCAGATACACTGAAACTGATTGGCTGCATGAAGAAGTACTTTATTTTATCTGTCCAGAATCTTCCAGCATTCAGTTTCATTCCATGTCCACGAGTTCTAGCATTATGAGAGAGGCAGAACAACTATCCACTTTTCTCATGTCATTGATAATTATCTAAACTTCTATCATGTCACCTCTTACTCACCTTTCCTCTAAACTAACAAGTCTCAAACACTGCACCCTTTCTTCACAGGGGAGTTGCTCCACCCTCCTTATCATTTTGGTTGCCCTTTTCTGAACACTTCCCCAACTCTGCAACAGTGCGGTGACCAGAACTGTTGTTCAAGTGCAGCTAAAGCACGGATTTGTATAATGACATTATGATACTGGCAGTACCTTTCCTAATGATCCCTAGCACAGAATTTGCTCCCCTCACTTCTTCTCACTGACCAAATTTCCACCTAACCCCAAACTGTCATCCTTTGTTACATTAAACTGCCCCTCCTGCTTGGCACACCTCCTTCCTCCCAAATCTGGTTCACTCCAACTGGACCGCAAGGGGCACAAGAGAAAGATCAGCTGGAGGCAAGCAAGGCAAACACAAGGCAGTTCCTGAAGCCTGCCAGCTGCTAAACAGCAAGAGCATCTTCCATCTCATCAGTTCTCCAGAAGAACACAGTGACAAAACATGTCACACACAGCTCTCCTGCGGCTGCCGGGAGATGCAGTCACATCATCTCCACAGCATGTCAACAAAACCAACTCAAGGAACCCAGTCCGCCCCACCCAACACAACTGAAAGCAGAGATTTGCAGTGTATACAAACACAACTCAGCTTACAGTGGAGCAGGGATGCTAGGAGACAGGAGGTGAAACAACCTGATAGCATTGCTTACCAAAAAAAAAAAAAAAAAGGAAAAGCAACAGCACAGAAATTGCAAAGCACAAAACACATTTTCAGCATTTTTTAAACCTGGGATCTGGTGCTGGTCACTTTTCACTAGCATTGCTGAAAATTTCTCCTGTGTTTCCTCCTCCCACCCCTGACCATTCTTCATCATTTAATGAGAACATAAATTTAATTCAAAAATAATCAAAGGGGAGAGAGATTGCAGTGTTTTTGTTTTGAGGTGGCCAAGAACTGTAGTGTTGGAAGGGACCCAAGGGTCATCTAGTCCAACCCCCTGCAATGCAGAGATCACAGCTAGATGTTCTTCTAGAAGTGAAGCAAGTCCCCAAAGTGTTATGTCTCCAATATTCTCCCCCCACCACCCCAGGCCTTCTCCAATTGGTCCATTTCAATGCTGCAGCTTTTAATTATTGTTGACTTCACGTTTTTAACACTGTTTATTATTTGTAGTATGATTTATATCCAATTTTTGTACACTCAGTAGGTATTCTTTAAATGCAAAGTGATTCATAAATTCTGAAATAAACAGACTCTCTCACACACTGGCTTTTTTTGCTGCTGCAGAGACTGGGCAGTCTGGAGGACTTCCTAAGGCAGAGCAAGGATGTTGCAAGTGGAGATAGATAGCAGCCGTTTCCCAAATAATGCAAAATACTTCACCTAATTACAAGTAGGTGCTGCTGATGGGGTTGGTGGGGGAGGGGAACGGCTGGTTATCGCCAGATATTGTTAATGATGTTTGTCTTAGACATGACAAAAATTCCAGGAGCTAGTCCTTGTTCAGCAGTGTTAGTCATATTCAACTGCTCAGCAGCGTGGGTACCAAACAAGATCTACATCAGTCATATACTGGCTGTGGAGGGGATTGTGGTGATCTAGGGAGCAGGGCTATCTGGAAGCGTTCTAGAGAACTCACTCACGCATTTGGTATCCATGGGTACTGAGTGGCCAAACAAGGCAATCATGTTCTCTGGATCCTAACAATAAATGGAATTGACAACCTCAGCAGGTGGTGGACTCCCTTTCACTGGAGGTTTTCAAAGAGAGACTGGATAGCCATTTGTCAGGGCTTCTTTAGCTGTGATTTCTGCATTGCAGGGGGTTGGATTAGATGACCTTTGAGTCTACAATTCTATGAAACTATCAGCATCAATATGTCACAAGGACTGATGTGGCTACTGGCATTTCGTTCGTCACCATATGCATATGTTTGCCTTCTATAATATTGCTATAAGAAAACCCCAAGCTGAGTAGTCCAAAAATTGAAATACCAGACACGGCAATCTTAAAGAGTTTTGTCAGATAGGCACAGAATATAATATTAAAGAGAACATGACAAATGCCAGTGTCATTCATAGAATTGCTCAGGCTGTTCCAGCAGCGCTGACAAAAGGAGAAACAGCAATACCCTAAAAAAAATTCAGTTTGGAAGTTCAATCTTATTTTGTAATGTCAGAACAGATCTTGTAAAAACACTGGATGAAATGGAAAGCCTCCCCTGGGAGACTGCATTCCAGCATTTCATTTGCAAGGTTTGGAACTGAGAGTGGATTTAGCCTAATCAAAAACAGCCCACGTTTGAGATGTGGCAGGTGTGGATCTAGCCTTAACCAAACACAACCTAGGTGTGAGGGATGCCAGGTGTAACTTCACTCACCACTAATGGATCACTCACCTCTCTCATGCAGCCACAGTATGGCTCACCAGTTTCAAAACTGCCGGAGGTGTGTGTGGACACAAGCAAGAGAATATCACACATTTGTCATTGAACTGACAAAAACTTTCAGGTCTTTCTGACATGTTAGAAGATGTGACTCAGAACAGCCAAGAAAGATCACCATAAGAACATAAAGTGAGCCATTTGGATAAGGCCAATGACCCATCTAGTTCAGCATCCTGTTCTCAATGGCCAACCAGCTGCCTGTGTGAAACCCTCAGGCAGGACCCAAGCCCAAGAGCGCTCTCCCTTCCTGTGGTTTCCAGCAACTGGAATCCAGAAGCGCTGCTACCTCTGACACTGGTGGCAGAGTACACCTGTAGTGGCTAGTATCCCTCAATAGCCCTCTCCTCCATGAATTTGCCCCATCGCCTTTTTAAGCCACCTAAGTTGGTGGCCATCACTGCCTCCTGCTGGAGCGAGTTCCATATTTTAACTATTTGCTGAGTGACAAGAGAAGCTTTCCAACTATTTTCCACAGCAGTGTTTTCCGCTCCCTTCATGCACCCTGTTTACTAAGTAGCACCCAGACAGTGCTCCGAATGCTGGAAACTCCAGAAGAGGAGAGGGCTGTTGCACTCAGGTCCTGATTTCAGGCTTCCCATGAGCATCTGGTTGGCCGCCATAACAACTGGATGCTGGACCTGACGGGCCACTGACCTGACCCAGCAGATACTTGTGGAGTAACTCTACATTATACCAGGAGTGGTGGGTATTAGACCCTGGGGCTGAAATCAGGGCAGGGTTTCAGAACTAGCCTGCTCCTCCTCCGGACAAATGGTCAAAAGAGGGGACACGGAAGAAGTTTATAAAATTATGCATGGCGTGGAGAAAGTGGACACAGAAAAGCTTTTCTCCTTCTCTTGTTAACACTAGAATTTGTGAACATGAAGCTGAAGGTTGGAAGATTCAGGAGACAGAGCTAATTTATGGAACTCACTCTCACAGGAGGCAGTAATGGCCACTAGCTCAGATGGCTTTAAAAGAGGATTAGTCAAATTGATGGAGAAGGAGAGGGCTATTGATGAGTATTAGCCAGGATGGCTCTGCCTCCACGGCTGGTGGAAGCACTGCTTCTGAATCCCAGTTGCTGGAAACCACAGAGGGAAGAGGGCTCATGGGGTCAAATCCTGCTTACTGGTTTCTCACAGGCATCTGGTCGTCCAATGTGAGAGCAGGATGCTAGACTAGATGGGCCACTGGCCTGATCTAGAAGGCTCTTCTTTTGTTCTTATGAGAAAGATACTGGGAAGAGAAGGACTCTGTTGTCCAGAGGAAGTTGTCCTAACTGGTGGAATCCACACCGATCACAGTAGCCAGAGCAAACAACTGGGGAAAGCCACCTCCCACTTGAGAAAGTCTTCAACCCCACAATCCCTGTGCGGCAAAAACAAAGGCCACCTATGGAGTCCCGAAGGATTTGCTGTTCCTGAATGAGTTCTGGACCATGCCTCCTCTCAATAAACCTAAAATACAGAGGTGCTGAATATCCATTGGAGAGTGCCCTTTGCCTCTCTGCTCCGGGTTCACCTTCTTCCAGTCATAACATACGGGAGGGCAAGAGCTGAGGTCTCCATGACATGGCAAAAGAATCCTGCTCAGCAGAAGAACAATCAGACTTGTGTAATGAAGACAATAAATTGAGAACAGAATTAATTTGAGAGGACCACATCTAGGGTTGAGCATCATCCACTGATGCCCCCATCAGGTTTCATTTTTGAAAACACAAGGCCTTGCTATTCCCTAAACATATCCATTTCATAACCTGGAACTATGAATACCCTGGTTCCCCACCTGCACCTAACCAAAGCATCCTGGAATTATAATTTGACAGAGAGCTCCCAGAACTGCAGAGTAACAGTTTCAGGGATTGGGGGGAGGAAGAGGAGGGGAATAGCTATTAAACCCTTCATGTAAGTTTTCATTCAGGCTTATAGGAAATGACAGAAAGGAAGCACTTCCTTTTCTCACAGCTATTGTAACGTGTGGGGGGGGGGGAATCTGCACCTGCCCACAAAAGAACATCAGGCTGCATCTATCTGTCTGATTTCGCTCACCAGTTCCCAAACTGTGTCAAAACAGCCCCGAATTCTGCCACTTAGCCCTGGAGCGGCATTTGTCATCACCCGCTATCTTGGTTATGAAACAGTTTTATTAAACCGAAGACCTCCCACAAAGACCACTGAGAAATGCTACCCTTCCATCCTCAGCCAGACAAATGCTTTTGTCCCTGTTGTTTAACTACGAAGCATCTGCCAGCTGTTTCATTCAACATCCTATTACACAGAGCAGACAGGAGCCAAACCAAAGGGTGTGTGTGTGTGTGTGTGTGTGTGTGCCAGTTGTTCTGAAATGCCTGCATGCAGAACAAAGACACCATAAGAATGGGAAGAGGGAGGAAGCATCTTTCTCCAGCTGCAATCTGAAGAAAGGCCAGCAAGAAGACTCCATTGCCTGGGCTTATACTTCTAGGGCTGAGGAAACAAGGCCCTCTCACCTCGTCTGCTGGTGGCAAAATGGAAGGAATTTGGGGGCAACTTTTTCACTGGTGGTGATGGAGTGGGAGGACAGGAAGAAGTCAACGTTTGGGGGTTGGGTGCTTCCTGGTAAACGTGGGGGCACTCTCCCACTTCTCACTTTAAAGCAAAATTCCCGCCCCCGCCCCCGGCTCAAGTGGGCAGGAGCCACCAAGTTCCCTCACAATGTCTCACCTGAACAGCATTTCAACATGGAACAGCCATGCTCCAGCTGAGACTTTGCAGGGGGAATATGGCGGCCTGCCTGGTTTCCAGTTGCAGCAGCCCCCAGCCCATTGAAGGGGGGAGGACTTTGTTGCAAAGCAAACAGGGCCAGAAAAGAGTTTGTAGGATGAGAAGGGAGAAGATGGAGCCACTACAGGCTGGGGGTTTTTTTTGTGTGTGTGTGAGTATTCTGCAAAATTTTATTGATGCAGTTATTGGTGAAGTGCAATAGAGCTGGATGTATACTGAACAGTTCAGAAATTATTCCACTAACTAATTGTTTTGTCCCTAATGCATTATTATTGCATCAACAAGAAGTTGCAGAATATACCCGCAAAAAAAACCCCAACACTCTGGAGGGGCTTCTTGTTCTTCCTGAAAAATCATAAGAATAGAACAGTTGGAAGGGACCATGAGGGTCATCTAGTCTAACTCCATGCAATGCAGGGTTTGTTTTGCCCAAAGTGGGGCTCGAACCCACACCCTGAGATTAAGTTTCTTGTTTTATCAACTTCAGTCTCTCTCTCTTCTCCAGACCACCCCTATCTTCCCGAGGAGTCAGAAAACAGTTCTGAAGGATGAGAAGGGAGGAGATGGAGAAAGAAGCCCTCATTCTGTCCAATTCTTGAAATTAAATTTCTTTAAAATTAAAATATTTTTCTCTGCACTTCATATGCAAAAATCATTTAAGAAACCCCACAGATGTTTATCCAAGAGTCATCCCTTGCACCCAAAAAGCAATTTGGAGTGAAAATAAATTAAGATTCACATCAAATGATGTTTACGTGGGCAATGAAGCAACCCCTATAGATGCTTCCCATCGTTTAGAGGTGCTCCTGTTGTGAGGCAATTTAGCAGCACATTTGGGGCTCTCAAAATAACTATCTGAAGCAAACAGAATAGGGTGGCATGCATATTCCACAGCAACTGGGGCATCTTAGAGGTCCACCATATCAAATCAATCACACAAGTTACTTAAATCCACCCATTACAGTGGATCTACTTGGAGTATGACATGTCACCCCAAATCTTCCCATGTATAAAACCATATAAAATAGCAACCAACACAATAATAATAAAATAGCAACAGTAAAACATTTCACTTCCAAAACCCAGTTCTGTCTTTTCCCACACCTTTGCTAAAAGCAGTAATGAATAGAAACATTGTTAGAGCCCACCTAAACAACAGCACTCCTGCCAACCTAGCAGTTCGAAAGCACGTCAAAGTGCAAGTAGATAGGTATCGCTCTGGCGGGAAGGTAAACGCCTTTTCCGTGTGCTGCTCTGATTCGCCAGAAGCGGCTTAGTCATGCTGGCCACATGACTCGGAAGCTGTATGCCGGCTCCCTCGGCCAGTAAAGCAAGATGAGCACCGCAACCCCAGAGTTGGCCACGACTGGACCTAATGGTCAGGGGTCCCTTTACCTTTACCTTTAAACAACAGCAAGGAGGAGGCAAGGCGCTCCACAGCCATGGGGCCACCACAGAAAAGGCTGAATCTCTCGTGCCCAACAGCCTGACTTCTCCCTCCCTCCCTCCCCACATCACCCATCTTGGCAGGTTTAACATGGGTGAAGGTGGTCCTTCAAGTAACTTGACTCCAAACTGTTAGGGGCCATAAATGTAACCAGCAGAACTATGAATTGGACCTGGAAGGATACAGATAGCCTCTTATACAAACAGAATTGGTGTAATAATGTCTGAGCATTTGGCGCCTGTCGACACCTGGGCCATGCAGACCCTCTCTGTGCCCACAGAACTGCCATATATCAGAAGGAAGGAGCAGTAGTAAATTCTCAACACTTCGAGAACTACTAACTGTTGAGGGAGTTGGATATGTTTAGTCTGGAGCAGACTGAGATGACAGCCACCATGAAATATCTAAAGGGCTGTTACTTGGGAGAGAGTGCCAGCTAATTTTCTGCTGCTCCAGAGGGGAGGACCCAAACCAACGGATTCAAATGACAAGAAGGCAGATTCTGACTGAATCTTAGGAAGACGTTTCTGATGGCAAGAGCTGTTTGGCAGTGGAACAGAATCCCATGGAAAGTGGTGGACTCTCCTTCATTGGAGGTTTTTAAGCAGAGGTTGGATGGCCATCAATAATTATTTAGCTGTGACTCCTGCACTGCAGTGGGTTGGACTGGATGACCCTTGGGGTCCCTTCCACCTCTGCAATTCTATGATTCTATGAATTTTGGAGCTGGGAGAGTTCCAGGAAGGGGGGAAGCAGCCTTACTGTTTTCAGCAGCGTCCGGTTGTCTCGGAGGGAGCCTACCATCCCAATGAAGGAAACAGCAAACATTGTTATACCGAGGAGGAGGAGAATCAGCGCTGGTGCAAGGAAGATCCCTTCCAGGGTCCGGTGCTTCTGCCTTTCCACTTCGGCATAGATGCCAATGCACAATATCACGAGGCCAATGATCTGCAAAGAGGAAGGAAGGGGAAACATCTGTCACAAGGTTGCAGGGCTTCGGGAGTGGATGCCATTAAGAACAGCAGAAGAGTCTGCAGGATCAGGCCATCGCTGCGTCTGACTGTGGAGGCAGAGCAGAGCCACTGTGGCTAGTAGCCATCGATAGCTTTGCCCTCCATAGGTTTGTCTAATCCTCTTTTAAAGTCATCTAAGTTGGTGGTCATCACTGCCTCCTGTGGGAGTGAGTTCCATAGTTCAGCAAGGTCTATTTTATCTGTCCCAAATCTTCCAACATTCACCTTCATTGGGTTTCCACAAGTTCTAGCATTATGAGAGAGGAAGAAGAACTTTGCTCTGTCTGCATCATTTCATAAACTTCTATCATGCTGCCTTATTCTCCTTGTCTTTAAACCTAAAAACCAAAAAGGCTGCAACCCTTCCTCATAGGGGAGACTTTCCACCCTCAATCATTTGGCTGCTCTTTTCCGAACCTTTTCCAACTCAGTGGCAGACCTTGGGGTCTCAGATTTCAGCGGCCCCTGTGTGATGCCATACTTAGCTGCTCCCTGCATCTCACGCTCCATTCTGAATCATCGTTGTGACATCCCCTGTGGCGTCAGTGTGACCAAACCAGTCACGGTCCCCTAAATCTGCCTCTGTCCAACTCTACAACTTCCATTTTAAGGTGAGGAAGCCATAACGGTACATGTTCTGGAACCAAGACAAAATCGCCAAGTTTGCTGTTCTTGTTGCCCAGCGCAGTTCCACTTCCTCTTACATCCTGACCTGCCTAAACAGAGCAAGAGAGGGAGGCAGAGAAAAGGTTCAGAACAGGGTGGATTTGATTTAAATCACTAGTCAGTAAGACTTGACTTAAATCTTTTTCTTTTCTTTCTTTACAGAAAGATTCATTCTTACTGGTATATTCTTAATATTTACAACCAGATCAAGGTTTCATTTTTGGAATAATAAATTTTCAAAGTAGTTTTTACAGTTATATCAAAAATTACTGATTTGGTTATAATACTAGAAATACATAGACAGATAATTATGAAATTATTGTGAGGTTTAATAAGTTAACTGTTTGTATTTGGACAACTTTTCTGCTGTACAGTGGTACCTGTTACCATAAAGCACCAATGCTGCAGCAAGCAAAGGCTCTAGCAGCTCAGCCAGCTGCTTGTGGCTGGAAAGCCAGGCAGGATGTTTGTGACTGTTGCCATGGGAACAAAGGGGCAGTCCATTCTGTACTGAGCACCGGATGTTAGCTCTGTGTGTGTGTGTCATATGACCCGTACTGGAAGTACTTGGGAGGAGTTTCTTCTTGCTGTTGTTGAGTGCAGACATGATTCTCTGTACTGATGTAAGAGGCAGAAATAAATGATGTAAATAGTTTTCTGTCTGCTTCTTTCCCTCCCTGGGGACACCAAAGGGGAGAGAGGAAGAACGGTGTGTTCCTCTCATACATCTGAGAAGAATCGCCGGACCTCGCCTGCTTATCAGCAGAGTGGAGACGCGGGGAGGTCGACAGGAATATCTGCCGGTGCCTACGCTGTGGCACATTCCTCTGACCCAGGCAGAATTCCAACATTGGTAGCAGAGGATGGTTGCGATTCATCGGACATCTGTATGAGAGGCTGGTGGATTGTCCTCCACTGCTTCAAGGAGGAATAGAAGCGTCTGAAGAAGCCGGAGGCTCCACAGACAGCTGATGGAAAGAAGAGGTGTTTTCCAGAGCAACAAAGTTCAAGGTATGCTGCATTTCGGGCTAAAAGTGTGAACGCAGGAAGATTAATTCCCTGGTTCACGGAGCTGCGTTTCAAAGAAAACAAAAGCTCCGAGAGGAAGAGGCCTGCAGCTTGAAGGCTGAAGCCTGCATTCCACAAATTTTTGTGGTAGATAAGACGTCCTATTGAAATGCATTGTTGCTAGGTAACGGTCCTGGAAAGTTACTGGCAAAGGGGCTGGACTCTGAGTGTAAGCCTGGGAAAGCGAAACAAAACCAGAGAATGTTTTGGCTACAAGGTTTACGAGCTCTTGGAAGGGACTTTTCAATAGCAGCCTGCGTTTAGCTGCCAGGTGCAAAGAGCGTAAACAATTTGCAGTTTGCTGCGTGAGAAAAGAAAAAACAACTGTTGGATTTTACAGTTTGTTTGACATTGTGAGCTGGAGGCTTGGCTTCAAGATGGATGCCAAGAAAGGGGAGGTTTGCCTTGCCCACCTCCCTTGACCAATGACAATTATTCATCTTGGTCTGTAAAGATGAAGGCCCTGCTGCAGAATCAGAGGCTTTTTGATGTAATTGAAAACCCCATCCCTGCAGCACCAACCAGAGGTTGGGAGTCACAGAATGTAAGGGCCAGGACTGCTATAATTCTGTGTGTCTCAGATGATCAGTTGGTGCATGTTCAGCATTTAGAAAATGCGAAAGAGGTATGGGACACGCTGCGTACAACGCATCAGAGAGATGCTGGTTCTTCAGCGTTGCTGTATTTTGAGAAATTGACCAATCTGAGACTTGCGCCTGATGGAGATGTTCAAGCGCACCTGACAGAAATGAAGTTTCTGCGTCAACAGATGGTGGAACGCAATTTTCGTCTTCAGGAGGAAGTGTTTTGCTTCATGATGATAAACAGCCTTAGCCGCACCTACAAGGTTGTTGCCAGTCAGCTTGGTTCCCTACCGGCCGCGCAGCTGACCGCGGAGAGAGTTTGTGCTGTGGTCCTGAATGAACACGACAGACTTGCTGCACTGGAAGAAAAAGACAGGGGGAGGGAAGAACAGAGTTCTAATTCCCCCACTGCTGATGCTACTGGAGAGCATGGTGTAGCATTAAGTGCTGTCCGATGCTACAATTGTGGACAGACTGGGCATCTACAGCGGAACTGTAAGAAGCCGCGCCAGTCAAGAGGAGCAAAGAGCAGCTCTACGAAGCCTCAGGCGTTAGGCAAAAGCCGTTCCAAGTGCCAGGTGAAACCTGCAAAGGCTATGATGGCGAAAGGAACCACGCCAGATGTTGGCAACTCGTTCATAATTGACACGGGCGCAACGGTTCACATGTGCCCGCACAGAGGACTATTTTCGACGTTGAAGAAGCAAAGCTTCACTGTGAAACAGGCCAACGGTCAGGAGCTGGAAGCGACTGGAATTGGGACTGTGTATCTTGAGAGTCTGAACTTGACTATAAGCAATGTTTACCTGGTTCCAGAACTGAGATGTAATCTGCTGAGCGTGTCGCAGATTGCAAAGAAAGGACTGAAACTGTCCTATGATGCTAAAAGCTGCAAGATCTACAAAGATGGAGAACTGTTTCTTACTGCCAAAGAGAAAGATGGACTGTATTTGTTGACTTTTGATCAAAGTGATTACATGAAATGTAATTCTTCTGATTCTAACAAAATCTCTCTTGCAGGCATGACCAGTGTGAGCACCAGGAAGGTGACTAAGACGAAGAAGGTCAACAGAGCATTTCAGCGGGTGTATGCTGATGTGATTGGTCCTCTAGAACCATCTAGAGGCGGTGCACGATTTTACCTTTTGTGTGTGGATTGTTTCACTAATTATTCTTGGGTTTATATGATGGAGAAACCGCAAGAAACTTTAGAAAAGTTTCAGGAGTTTTGTGACAAGGTTAAAAGTATGCATGATGCTAACATTGATTGTCTTTTCACAGATGAGAAGCAAATTTTTCTGTTACAGAAGTTTCAGAAGTTCCTGGATGGAAAAGGGATAGACCACAAAGTTGCAGTCTCGCAAGAAGCGTGGAACAGGGGGGTCTCATGTGAGAACAGAAGCTCCAGGTGGTGTAAAGAATGCCAGAGGCATTTTTGTGGGTTATGAAAAAGGTCTCTACAGAGTAATTTTGTCTGAATCTGGTCAGGTGATTCTCACAAAGTTCCTAGAGAGTGCTCCAAAGCAAGAGCGGATAGTACAGACATTTCCCACAGGAAACGATTCTGATGATGATGATGATGATGAGTTTGATCTTATTGAGTTCAGTAGTACTGATGATGACAGCGATAACTCAGACAGCTCAGTTGTCACAGTCATTGAGAGAAAATCTCACACAATGGATAGACCTTCACAGGTGAAGGAAGAACCACTGATTGCTACTGGTTCTCAACAGAGTCCAAAGGTTGAACCAGTGAGCACAGAAGATCAGAACCTCATACGCAGGTCTGAGAGAGTTACAAAGGGTGTACCACCAAAGAGGTACTCAAAAGAGTTTGCTAACTTAGCTGTTACATGTGTTGCTATTGTTAACAACTCAAAGCAGGTTGAAGCAGTGTCTACGTCAGAGACAAAGACACAACAGAGGGTAGCTAGCCAAGGTAATGCAGAAGCACTCATTCCTTGGAAGCCAGACAACCAGAGAGGTACATTGGTTAAACCAGTGGCGGGTAGTTCCAAGGGTGGAACTGAAACAACAGGGGAATGTTATAAATATAACAACTGTTTGTTTTCTTCTCTGGATGACGCTTTGCTCGCGGCACACATTGATACTTTAGGGGGGTATGTTACCATAAAGCACCAATGCTGCAGCAAGCAAAGGCTCTAGCAGCTCAGCCAGCTGCTTGTGGCTGGAAAGCCAGGCAGGATGTTTGTGACTGTTGCCATGGGAACAAAGGGGCAGTCCATTCTGTACTGAGCACCGGATGTTAGCTCTGTGTGTGTGTGTCATATGACCCGTACTGGAAGTACTTGGGAGGAGTTTCTTCTTGCTGTTGTTGAGTGCAGACATGATTCTCTGTACTGATGTAAGAGGCAGAAATAAATGATGTAAATAGTTTTCTGTCTGCTTCTTTCCCCTCCCTGGGGACACCAAAGGGGAGAGAGGAAGAACGGTGTGTTCCTCTCATACATCTGAGAAGAATCGCCGGACCTCGCCTGCTTATCAGCAGAGTGGAGACGCGGGGAGGTCGACAGGAATATCTGCCGGTGCCTACGCTGTGGCACATTCCTCTGACCCAGGCAGAATTCCAACAGTACCTTGGGTTAAGTACTTAATTCGTTCTGGAGGTCTGTTCTTAACCTGAAACTGTTCTTAACCTGAAGCACCACTTTAGCTAATGGGGTCTCCTGCTGCTGCCGCGCCGCTGGAGCACGATTTCTGTTCTTCTCCTGAAGCAAATTTCTTAACCTGAAGCACTATTTCTGGGTTAGCGGAGTGTGTAACCTGAAGCGTATGTAACCTGAAGCGTATGTAACCCGAGGTACCACTGTACTTTATTGGAAGGAGAAAAATAATCATTTCCTTAATAACAATTTAAACAATTTATTTAACTAAAACAATAACATTATAGCATATGTATCCATGTTTGTTAACTGATGTGGTTAAACAGTTTAAAAAACAACAATATACTTTGAGTTTTAGCACACATGAAAAACGTAAAACAAATCCTTATTTCCTGATGAATAGCCTTTGGACTATAATGTAACTTAAATAGAAAACTATCTTTAGAAAGATTCCCCCCCCCAAAGCATTTTATTTTAAAAATCCAATTTAAATGAAAAAAAAAATCTGATTTAAATTTAAAAAATCTGATTTTTTTATTTTGATTTTTTAAAATCATTGATTTTTATCCACCCTGGTTCAGAAACATCATGAAGGGAGGAGGAAGCAGGTGCCCATGTGACCGACTAGGCATGCTGAACCCTGGTCCCACTGCGGAGACGCTGCAGGTTCCCTTGCACCCACCCTGCCAAGATGGCTGCTATAGGGGTACAAGATGGCAGTTGCTTTGCCTTTTGCCTCAGCACCACAAGCAGCTGGTGTTGCAGAAAGGGCCTGAAGTGCCACCGAGTTGCCTCAGCGCTCTCAGTCTGTTTGGGAATCTCGGGGAGATGTTGGAAAGCTTTTCCCCCCCTAGGTTGCATGAATTAATATTTTAAATGCTAGAGACTGTGCGGCTGAAACTCGAAGCTACAGGGGCTGACAATGGAGATTTAGCTGGGATGGGCTACCGGGAACTATCTGGAATCAAAGTCATTTTTAGCTTGGCCACCTGGGGAAAAAAATAGAGGGGCACAGGAGGAGGAAAGTGCCTCACTTGGGAAGTTCTAGGTACCAAAGCATCTTTTGGGTCAAGCTGGATGCACAGTTCCATTAAATGCCTCTAGGCTCTGCCCCGTTTCTAAACAGGGATACCCAATTAGGGCTGATGCCATTATGCATGGGAAAGGGGGTGTCAATCCTTTTCCCTACAGTACTGATGAAGCCCCCTTCCCAATGGTATCGGCCCTGCAAGGGAGGCTCCAGAAAGCAGCTGTTTAAGGCAAGCAGCTGCAGGAGTAGAGGAAGCAGCAGAGAGGGAGAGACCTCATTCAACGCAGTTTGCACTGGGACATTCTCCTGTAAAACCTGAGTCACACTGCACAACGAGAACCTGCCCACCCGCCCAAACAACCCTGCAGCCTTAATGTGCATCTGCACTAGCTTTTTGTTCAACACTTTGCATGACCTATTGGAGCTGCAACATTGAGCATGGAAGAGTTCCAGCAAGGTTGGAAACAAAATATTTTAAAAGGATAAACCAGAAGGTTAATGAAGTAATTGTTTTAATAAAAAAATTGAGATGAACAAAGAAGAGTTAATTAGCTTCCAAAAGGCTACAGCCGTTACTCTTATTCATGGCATATTCACAGCTCGCCTGCTGCCCAGTTCTCAAAAGCAAAGCAAAAATTATTGCCCAGTTTAAGAGATGGCAGGACATCCCCAGCTCCTGGATATTGCAACTGGCACTCAGGAACAGTCATCAGCTTCATCAACAATGTGTGACACATTTTTCATTCTGTCCCTTTTTCTGGATTACTCTGTCTCCCTTGCCGAAACCCTCAAATTTGTAATGGCTTGGAGCCTGGAGTGCCAGAGTTGCAAAGGCAGTGCTGGGACACCCTCAGTCACTTACAGCAATGAGAGAACTTTTTGAATTTGGGAAATATTAAGTGGAGTGCAAACAATTTGAGGTGCTTGCAAAACACTCACACAGCCTGCTTGGGGATGGGCACCTTGGAGAGAGCTCTATGATAAGCTCTACATCGGGAGCACCAACATTATCCCATTTCAATTAAAGGCATGGAACTACAATTGTTCATTAACAAGAATACAAAAGGAAGATTGTTTGAAAACTTGGAATGGATGGAACTGACTCCTCTGAGATCATACACATCAAGCTGCTCTTTGAGAAAATGTTATTTACAAGAATAATTATACCATAGCCACCATTATTGGAATAACAGGCCTCTCTTGACTTGAATAAGGCATATTTTGAAGCAATTTGTTACAATCTGATGTGTTGCCTGCACATCTGTCAAGTCTGCTTAAATCTACCCCTGTATGTTGGCACCAACTGAAGCTGAAAAAATTGTCTCTCGCGTGCCTTACCCATTTGTCCTAGCCTGAATTATCAGGAAGATGCTCTAAATCAACCTTCCCTGGTGCCCTCCAGATGCTGGCTGGGGCAGATGGGAAGAGAGAGTCCAAAACCTCTGGAGGGCACCAGGTTGGGGAAGGCTATTCTAAAGCCTGGCACGGTCACCCTCAAGGATGCATTTGATCCAACACTCTGCTTCCCACAGCAGTGAATCAGATGCACACTCAGGAAGTAGATGATGGCTTGCCTGGTTTGTACCCATCACCTGGCTCCCAGATGTGAGGGAAGTTGCATGTCATAGCTGCCAAGATGATTTTTTTTTTGCTTCATCATACCCCATGTTGAGTAGGATCTGCAAGGTGAAGCCTAGGGTTGTCATAATCTTTATCACTGTGCATTTACATGTCACTTGGAAACCGTCCTTAATAGTTAAGGGAGCAAGGCCACACGGGACAAAGCATAGTCTTAGCCAGTAATTTAGTGTGGTGATCCATACTCTGGCCTCAATTCTTACAAATCCAGTTTTGAGACGCATGGTAGCATTGGAGACGTGTTTAGGAACTTCAGATATTTGTCCACTTTTCTTAAAGGCATAGTAGATGGAAAGAATGCAAGTTCCACAAATTTCTGTTCAAGAATTAGTTCTCAAAGCAGTTCACATAGGAAAACTGAGCAACAATCAAAACCTCCTTAACAATCACGGTTCTAAGTTTCCACCTCAGTGACCTCTGAACTCTTCCTTGAGTGTTTAGCACTGGGATTAGTAACTGCTCTACAGAACTTGGCTTTTGGATCTTTTTGTGGCTGGCTGTTGAAGCCCTGGGAGGAATGCTGGGATGCACAATACCCCACCACCACCCTCTTGTTGCCCTGCTAGGCTCATAGTGCTCACAGAGGAGTAGCTCTGTAGGTACACTCATGAGCACCAAGCCCATATAAGAAGACTATGGTGCCATAAGAGGGCAAAGGGATTTTCTTCTGGTGGGCAGATACTATCAATTGATTTTGGCTCTCAGAAGGCAACATGTGGGGTGTTCTTGAGATGGCCAGGAAGCTAGAAGAGCAACTGGGCTGGGGGTGTCTGGGGTGAATACCAGACCTTCATGGATAAGCTAGAACTCTCTTCCCAGTGCATCTGGATTGTACCAACTCTCTCTCTTCCTCATTGTACCTTCTGAAATGTCACTACTTCCTTGCTTTCTTTAGCTCAACCTTAACTACACTTTTCTTCTCATCTTCAATTGAGATGAAGCTCAAGTAGGTACAAATTGATTAATTCATCACATCCACACACACACACACAGAGAGAGAGAGAGAGAGAGAGAGAGAGAGAGAAGTTTGGATAAAAAGATTTTCAAGACAGGAACGTTGGAGGAAGACTTTTCTCCATTTGCTACATCTACAGCATTTGCTCTCGACTCTCATCCCAATAGCGATTAAGTTGATGGACGACAATTGGCCTCCTTCACTTGCATACATCTGCCTGAAACTGGCAATTTGCTCTGAAGTGCCGTGCACTGTCAAAAAACCATGTACTTTATGTCTATCATCTCTGAACTGTGGTAATGAAGAAGGGCAAATGGGTTGCCTTTCAGCCATCTTAATCCAGCAAAGAAACAAACAAAGCAATGGAGCTTTGGACAAACAGCTTTCTAAGGCTTCCACAAGCACTGCAAGAAAGAACCTCAAAGTAAATTCCAACACTCCCTCAGCATCTTGTATACAATTTGGCTAGTATTTCTAACAAACCTGTTCAATTTCACAAGGCCTGGAACATCATCTGCTCCAGGAAGGTCAACACCAATAAAGACTTTGTGAACATGTGTCTGCCACCAGATTAGCTATCAGAGGCTCACAGGACACTTGTAGGCTGTCAGTATTTGCAGAGGGGACCCACAAATGCACATTGTGCAATTGAAGTGGATTTTTTGAAATGGATTTTCAAAATGGAATTGAAATGGATTTTCTTGCACAACCAACCTGCTTCCAAAAGCAAACAAAACAAAACATTTTGCAGGAAGGAGAGTGACAGAAAAGTGCACTGGAAAGTGTGGGGTGATAATGGCTGGACACGAAGCTCACCATAAAACAAACCAGGATGCATACTCAATAAAACAGTGGATGTCCTTTAACCCCTTCAGACATTTTGTGCAAACAAAAGTGGATGAATCAGTTGTCTGGATGCAACCACAGAGGCAAGTAGCCAAGTAGGACTAGTCCCACCTCACTATCAGTTCTGCCTCTCAAGAAGAAACAGTTTGACAATGGAGTTCTGGCCAGTGAAGAAATAAGAGGGTGTTTTTTTACAAGCTGTGTCTGCAGTGAGAGAGCATCTGTTCTGCTTATGAAAGGCCCTAGATTTAGCCCCCAGCATCTTCAGGTGGGGCTGGGAGAAACCAGGAGAACTCCAGCTAGCCAGTACAGACCCACCAGGTGTCCCTAACTTCCAGGAACAGTCCCAGATTTACAGAAGCCACCCCGGAATGTCCCGCTTTTCCTTCGGATGTCCCTATTTTCATTGGAGAAATGTTGGAAGGTTTGCGCTGTGTAGACAATACTGAGATTGACTAAGGCAGCTTCCTGTATTCCTGAGAATAAGGGTGGGAGGCTCCTGACGGCAGGCTTACTCAACGCGTCTGCTGCTAAATTAAAAGGGTAACACCACAAATATCTGGTATTCTCTGCTCACAAGAAACTGAACCAGCAGAGCAGCCTTTGCCAATGTGGTGCCCTCTAGACATTGTTGGACTACAACTCCGTCAGGTCCAGCCAGCACATAACCCAGGCCTACTCCTAGCACCCCCTAAGGCAATCCCAATGCTCCCCAGAGGGCGCTACAGCCCATTTTCAGAACCACTGCAATAAATGCAAACAGGATGTTTACCACAGGCGTAGCCAGGATTTTTGTTGGGGGGGGGACAGAACCTCAGTTGATATTTTGATTTATTTAGGGCGGCAACTGTTCTCTGCCCCCCCCCTTGGCTACACCCATGACGTTTACCCGCCTGGCTAGAAATGGCTTGCAAGGGGTGTAGAAAGACAGACCACCAGACGAGCTGGAATTCTGCAGAAGAATCTTTCAGAGACATTAGGTGCAAGAAAATGACAGCATTCCCTGCCATGATTGTATAATAATAATAATAATAATAAATTTTATTTATATCCCGCCCTCCCCAGCCAAAGCCAGGCTCAGGGCGGCGAACAACAATCAAATAATCAAACAATCAAAGTCAGCCTTGCCAAGGCTAATACAGGAGCACAAGAACATCCCTGCGTGGCGCATTCTGAAGAGAGATGTGCCTTACTCTGCTGCACTGCACACGTCTGCTGTGTTTTAATTCAAGTACAAGCCAGCTAAGTAAATCATAGTTAGCAATTAGCGACATAACATGCCACAGGGAAGGATGAAATGGTCTTCTGCCCAGCAGATGCCAGATTAATTCCATTTTTAAAAGGTCAGTTATTTTGACCAAGCAGCAGCAATTAACTGGCCATGCCTAATTAAATGGGCAGCTTTCACTTTCTCTCTCTCTCTCTCTCTCATTTTGGCTACCAGACACCATGCTCTGCATCTCTTTTTTTTTATAATAATTTTTATTCAGTTTCCAATATACATTCCATCCATATTTAACATCCACTTCTAACATATACATCTTTTAGACTTCCCTCAGCCTATCTGACAATACTCCGGCTTCTCCTCAGATCGTATAAATCTTTCGCCTTTTTTACATGCTCTGCATCTCTCACAATGTTTTCTCTAGACTAAAACACCTTGAGATGTGGTATGTGACTCTTGTCTCTGCAATGACTGTGGCTGCACAGAAACTCCATCCCATTTCAGCCTTGCTGGTGCTCTGCCTTACATCTGTCCTGTGCAAGTTTTATTTTAAAGGACAAGAAAGAAAGAAAGTCTACATCTAACTTGTATGCATTTTGAATACACACACACCCAGCCCATTTCACATTCCACATAAAAGTGTATGTGAAATATACATTTGTGTGCACCCTTTTTGCACACCAAAAGTGCACAGCAAATCCAGGTAAGTGCACAATCTGGCTGGGAGCTGCATTCTAATGTGCAGCCAAGTTCAGAAGCAATGGATCGGCCTGGTCTGCTGAAAGAAGTAGGCCCAAAAATGTCTCCTTCAGAACTCTGAGCCCTCATCTATATAAACTGCAGCACAATATGCTCTAAAAAGTTGCACCAATTAAATCTGAAGGTGGAAGATGGGCAAAGTTACATTTTTTTTACATTCCCCTTAAGAAGAACAAGATATGAACTACCTGCAAGTGGAGATCTAACACAGAACGGAAGAGGCTGGGTTAAAAACTACCTTTCTACCTGCAAGGCTTAAAAAAACCCCCCAAAAAACCATGTATGGCAAAAGTTTATTCTCCCTTCTCAACTGACACAGCCCATCCTAGCACCCTAGTCTGCTGCATGTGTGAACCAGTTCTAAGCTCCTACAGAGGTTTTAGTTAGACCCGGAGCAGTTGCCAGGGCATTACCACATTCACCTCTACATAGTTCCAGCCTTATTTCAAACATCATGATATATCAAAATATTGTGACGTTTATCTGGTGATATATCATGATATTGAAAACCAGGTATCGCCTAGCCCTATAACGCAACCAAGTTGATGAAGGGTCTGGAAACCAAGCCTCATGAGGAGCGACTGAGGGAGTTAGGGATGTTCAGCCTGGAGAAGATGGAGTATGATAGGCCTCTTCAAATATCTAAAGGGCTGTCCCATGGAAGATGGAGCAAGCTTGTTCTCTGCTGCTGCAGATGCTAGGACCCAAACCAATGGATTCAAATTACAAGAAAGGAAATTGCTACCAAACATTAGGAAGAACGTTCTGATCGTAAAAGCTGTTTGACAGTGGAACAGGCTCCCTTGGAAGGTGGTGGATTTTCCTTCATTGGAGGTTTTTAAGCAGAAATTGGATGGCCATCTGCCTGCAGGAGGTTGGACTAAATGGCCCTTGTGGTCTCCACAATTCTATGATTCAAATTCCCTTGTGCATGGAAATATCTCTTTACCTGTTCAGCACAAAATGAACCATGAAGCCTCCTCAAAGTCAGGAACCACAGGGAAGCTTCTACATGCCAAATGTGCCTAGAAGGCCCTGAAGACTTCTGTGCTAAATATGCAAAGGTCTGAAGATGACCCTTGACATGCAGATGTGTTGGGGAGACATGGCCCCAAACCGTCACCCCACTTTAAGCTGCCGGGTGTTCAGGCAAACACCTGAACAAGGCCACAATGGCTGTAACTCGGACCCATGCTAGGCTTGAGGGTGGGTGCTGCTGCCAGATGGAGAAGCCACCTATCTGCCACATCTCCACTAAGCGTCCAATCTGGTGGCTGCTTTGGGTTGGAGGAGGAAATTCCTAGGAGTTTATCTCAGTGAAGACCTTACTTGGAAAATAAATACAACCCAGGTAGTTAAGAAAGCCCAACTGAGGCTCCATCTCCTCAGAGGATTGCGGAAGAATGATGTCAATCAGCATTTGATGATCTCTTTCTATCGGTCCACAACAGATTCATACTGCATCACGGTGTGGTACGCTGGTTTGACATCAACTGATAGGAAGTGCCTACAGAGGGTGGTGAATACAGCACAAGATATTATGCGTTGTCCCGTGAATCCACTGGATGAAATAGCAGAAGAATGTTGCCTCATGAGAGTGAGGAAAATTCTTGGGGATGAATCACACCCTGGCCGGCACTTTCTTGATCTCCTGCCCTCAGGCAGAAGATACAGAAGCATGATTAGTCGCACCAACAGGGTAAAGAACAGCTTCTATCCATGGCTGTTAGGCTGCTGAATGAAAAGATAACAACAGGGCAACTGACTTTTGGGTTTGGTGGGTAAACAAGGGGAATTAAGTAAACAAGGGGAATTAAGACTAAGAGAGCTAAGTGGGGGGTGCTCGTGTAATCTCATTGTATACAAGTTGTGCAAGTGACAATAAAGTATTTCAATATCAACTTCAATCTCCACTAAGCATTCAGTCTGGTGGCTGCTTTGGGTTGGACGAGGAAAAGCAAACGGAAAAACTTTATGGCTCAGTCCAGACCAAATGGCATGGGGCTCTGGTGACCTTGGGGCAAGGCAGCCTCCACTTCCGATTGTGGATGTCTAGGCTGGGGTATGCAACAAGGGCCAGGGAGTCCCAGGATCACATCTCACCTCAGCCACGAAGCTCACTATGTGGCCTTGGGACAGACAGGCCCCCTCAGCCACGTTTCCTGCACAGGGTCACTGTGAAGGCAAGACTGATGTGAAGAGGAGCTCCAACCCATCCACTCTGGAGCACCTTGGAGGGAGGGCCGAACGAAAACACAACGAGAAGAAAATGACTCTGAAGCTCATAGCTGGGGCTGGCCTGCTTCGTTTCCCACAAACCTCCTCCCTGCCTTGGATTTTCTACAGTGGAACTTTTCTACGATGTGAATTTAATTAGTGCTCGGCTGTCAGAAGAACGATTTGGAAGATGTTGCTTCTCCCGGCACACACTCCATTATACTACTCCTCATAAAAGTTTGCCAGTAAACCCTCCATAATTGCCCAGCAGTTGCACAGAGATCTTCTTTTATGTATTGCAAACAGAAGTTGCAGCAGCCTTCCAAGGCAGGAGATATATCACATTCATGACAAGATGCAGGCCTGCAGCAGGTTTCAATTTCCCTTGTCGCAAAATGGCAACGTCTATGGAATTAACCAATCAACATCTACCTGGTTCTGGAAAGCCATCCTGTTTAGCAACCTGAGTTGTTGATGTTGCTGCTTGTTGTTCTCAAGTTTTGATTGTATCTGTTGTGTTTCTATGATATTGACAGCCATCTTAGGAGGCCTATGCCCACCCAACGGTGGCACATAAATAATTTTATAAATAAAAATAAAACACAACTGTAAGGCTTATCCAAAAGCCCAGAATTCAGAATCATACGAACATTTTTTAAAAAACACTGTTAAAGTCACTAAAAAGTTGACTTAACCCAAACTTCACAGTTGCTATTGAAAATCACTCAAGAAAAATTAAACTGTACATACAATTTTAAATGCATGATAACCAAGCATTGTGTGCCAGGGATGGAGAAGAGGAGTAAAGAAGAGAAGAGAAGATGGATTTTTTTGCTGTCAGGGGTTCTTGCTCTTAGCTAGCTGCATGGCAGGCAGCTGATTCAGCAGGTGAAGCTTTTCTGCCTCAAGGTGAGAAAAAAGAGCTATATCTGCTGAATTTCAGCCTGCCTCATAGGTCAGTGGGGAAACAACAGCTTGATGGCTTCCGACCATTAATATCAACAGAGCTAATACAATGCGGTAGCTCATATGTAGCTGATACAGCTGTTAAGAGTAGAATTATGTTCAAACGGCTTTTGCTCCAGTTACCTTCCATTCCAAGCAATTTCCTGGTTCACAGTTCAATCTCTAGGCCACAACACAACACATATGCAGCCACTACAGCTGCTTTGCTGCATTCCTGAAGGAAATGCAAACCAACCTTGCAGAGCTCTGTACAGATGAGACCGGGGTTGGGGGTGGTGAAGTGAACTTTCCACGTTCTCAGCTTCCCAGTTTGATGGATTGCCTCTATTTCTTTCTGAATACACATGTGCACACATGCATTCTCCCTCACCCTCAGTATTTAACTCTGGCAATCTCAAATGGTTTTTAAAAGCCTTTCCTGACAACCGCTCAGAAGCTCTTTAGCCACCTTCCTTGCTTTCAAGCAGCAGCAATTAAGACCCAGGGCAGGAGGGTTTGCTCTCCAGGCACCTCCACTCATTGGAAATGCTGCAGCTGAAAGTTGCCAGCAAGCACAAGTGGATCCATTGCCTCACAGGAAAGTCCTCTTCTTGAATGCTACAGGTCTGCACAAAGTTTTCCTCGGATGTCTTCCCCAAGAATTAAGCAGCATTATATTATAATCGGCAGCAGTCATCTGTGAAGAGGAGAAAGCAAGCAAGTTCCTTCCCACAGCCCCTGCATGGGGTCATTCCTCTCCTCCATAATAATAATAATAATAATAATAATAATAATAAAACCAGGGTGGATTTGATTTAAATCAAATCGATTTAAATCACAATTTAAATCACTAGTCAGTAAGACTTGATTTAAATCATTTTTTTACAGAAAGACTCATTCTTGTTGGTATAATCTTAATATTTACAACCAGATCGAGGTTTCATTTTGGAATAATAAATTTTCAGAGTAGTTTTTACAGTTATGGTATATCAAAAATTACTGATTTGGCTATACTGTTAGAAATACATAGACAGATAATTATGAAATTATTGTCAGGTTTAATAAGTTAACTGTTTGTATTTCGACAACTCTTCTGCTGTACTTTGTTGGAAGGAGAAAAATAATCAATTCCTTAATAACAATATAAACAATTTATTTAACTAAAACAAAAACATTATAGCATATGTATCCATGTTTGTTAAGTGATGTGGTTAAATGGTTTTTTTAAAAAACAAACAAACCTTAGACTGAGTTTTAGCACAAATGAAAAATGTAAAATAAACCCCTATTTCCTGATGAATAGCCTTTGGAGTATAATGTAACTTAAACAGAAAACTATCCTTAGAAAGATTTTCCCTCCAAAAGCATTTTATTTTAAAAATCTGATTTAAATACAAAAATCTGATTTTATTTTTTATTTTTATTTTTTAAATCATTGATTTTTATCCACCCTGAATAAAACCTTATCCCTTCCTAGGGATGAGCAAACATGTCAGTTTCAATTTCTTATTCTTCCAATCTTAAGTTCAGCCTTCCACATTGCCATACCAGTTAGCAATCGTACAGCACAGTCACATCTTAGGCAACGGTTCTGTCCAAGAACCATATATGCCATATATGCAGAAACGAATATACATATACACAAACTGCGCCTTTGGAACTGCCCCTGCATGAGCATCCCCAGCCTTACAGGGCCAGCGTGCTTAGTGGGACACACACACACACACACACACACACACACACACACCCCAGCAAGGCAGACAGCTTTAAAGCATTTTTCACGCTGGGTTTGCTGGGATAGAGAATCAATATGAATCTGCTTGGGCACTAGCCAGCGTTGCCTCTGGCACATCTGAACAGACATCAGCTGTAGTAGATAGCAGAACATTGGCTGCTGGCTTCTTCACAGGTGCACCTCCATGAACAAGCTGTGTGGGTTTTAGGTAATATCGCAGCTACAGAGACTTGTTTGTTAAATATGGTGCACTTGACCAACTTTTGACTCTGATTGATGTTCCTGATCCCTTATCTGTGGCTCCTGGTTACCTCCACAATGTAACCTGGACCCTGACAAACCACTGTTATAACCAGAATCCTGCACCACCCACAGAAGCTGCTGAGCAGATCTTGCCCACCTTGGTTTGCCTATTGCACAACCATGGCCGTGAAGCTTTGGCTAACACACACTTGGCTATTTCTTGACTGGTGGTTTGAATGACAAAATTGAAACAGAGGTAAAAACGGAGCTGGTGCCATAGCCAGGAAAGCTCCTGAGCTGTTGGAAAATTCCTATGGTGAGTTATATGAAACAAATGGACTCTCACACAAGTCCATTCACTGGTGGCCTCAAGCACTGCAAACCATCTCAGCCTCAACTCTACAGAGGGTGATGATATGCTGACCTACAGGTTTGCTGGATGGATAAGCATCTTAAGTACATAGAGCTTTTAGGGGGGAAAGCCATTACTGAAAGTACCTATGATAATAAGGGTGATTATATGAGATGTAAACAATGTTAATGTCCATTGGGATTGCTGGTCCACTTATAGGCATTATTGACTGAATGTTTCAGAATGCTAAATTAGATTTTGCCCAATATTCAGACTATAGATGCTTTACTAATTGATTAAATTTATAGAGTGTAGATATTTCACTTTCTGCTGGTTGTGTTTATTATATTTAAACAGAAGAGGGAAGCAAAAAACCCAGCGCATCCTCCGAAAAGATCCTTTTCACTGTCCTGTCAACTGCGCGTGCGCACACACACACACAACATTCAATCACCAGGAAAATGAAGTTCCAAGGTAACAGGATGCAAATGAAGTTCTCTGTGCAACAGTGCCCCACTGACCATGCTGAACTGCTCAAAACCACTGTGCAAACCACCTGCAGAACAGGGAGCATGTTTACATGATCAGATGCTTATGTGGAACTTTCTTCCCTTAATGCTATTCCATGCCAATGTTTGATAATCTGCAGTAAAACAGATGTTTGTTCATTTGGCATCTCTGTTTTCTGTGAGAGCTAATACAGCATTCTGCCATTATGTGGTGAGCATGTGTGCGCACACACGTGTGGGGTTTGTGCCTACATGTGTGGATGCTAGAGACAGCGGACACAGGGTGGACAAAGACGCTTTGGTGATGCCCACTTTTAGATTGTTGCTTTTTGAACACTGGCCAGCAGCAGAATGGAACAACTGATTGGTTCAAAATTGGGAAAGGAGTACAACAAGACTGTATATTGCCTCCCTGTTTATTTAACTTACATGCAGAATTCATCATGCGAAAGGCTGGATTGGATGAATCCGAAGACGGAATTAAGATTGCCGGAAGAAATATCAACAACCTCAGATATGCAGATGACACAACCTTGATGGCAGAAAGTGAGGAGGAATTAAAGAACCTTTTAATGAGGGTGAAAGAGGAGAGCACAAATTATGGTCTGAAGCTCAACATCAAAAAAACGAAGATCATGGCCACTGGGCCCATCAGCTCCTGGCAAACAGAAGGGGAAGAAATGGAGGCAGTGAGAGATTTTACTTTCTTGGGCTCCATGATCACTGCAGATGGTGACAGCAGCCACGAAATTAAAAGACACCTGCTCCTTGGGAGAAAAGCACTGACAAACCTAGACAGCATCTTAAAAATCAGAGACATCACCTTACCAACAAAGGTCCGTCTAGTTTAAGCTATGGTTTTCCCAGTAGTGATGTATGGAAGTGAGAGCTGGACCATAAAGAAGGCTGATCGCCAAAGAATTGATGCTTTTGAATTATGGTGCTGGAGGAGACTCTTGAGAGTCCCATGGATTGTAAGAAGATCAAACATATCCATTCTTAGGGAAATCAGCCCTGAGTGCTCACTGGAAGGACAGATCCTGAAGCTGAGGCTCCGATACTTTGGCCACCTCCTGAGAGGAGAAGACTCCCTGGGAAAGACCCTGATGTTGGGAAAGATGGAGGGCACAAGGAGAAGGGGACGACAGAGGACGAGATGGTTGGATGGTGTTCTCGAAGCTACCAGCATGAGTTTGACCAAACTGCGGGAGGCAGTGGAAGACAGAAGTGCCTGGCGTGCTCTGGTCCAGGGGGTCACGAAGAGTCGGACACGACTAAACGACTAAACAGCAGCAGCAGCAGTTAGCCACCTCGGCTCTAAATACTTCTCTGTTGCAGTTTCTCACCACACTGAATCCTCAGAATCACTTTGTCCAATAAAGCAGATCCATTCTATTATTCACGAAGTCGCAGAATGTGAATATTACAAAGCCTGCTGAGAGAGAAAAGGCACCTTGACACGTTCCGAAGTACAGATAGCTTCTGCAGGTAACCAATCAAGCAGTGAAGCAGGTCCATGTATCCGTGGTACAACATCATTCTCATTTACTTCTACTAAAGGATTCAATAAGATTGAATGGGACCGGAATAGAATTTTCTCTTGAGGCAATACGTTCCTCATGGAGCAGATTTCAACATTCAACTAAAGCTCAAGGTACAAGTAGAATTATTAGGAGCGATCACAAAGAAGTACAGCATTTACTCAAAGGCTTCTGTTCCACTCCTTACCCGCATCCTTTCATGAAGTTCATGCAGACAAGCCTGTCATACTATTAAGCTTTGTACTATTAACAAAAGCTTCTTTGTCACCCATCCATATCAAGCAGTGACATGAATAACGGCATACAGCTGGTTTTACTGAACAGCGAGCTTCCGAAGAATACCTCACTCTTGCAAGAAACAAGAGACTTGCAATTTACAGAGAAATGTTCAGAGGCAGCCTTCTTGACAAGGAGGGCACGACACCAGTTACTCTACATACCACTACCAGCTCACCTCCAAAGTTTTTACAGTCTCAACCAGCAGTGGACTGATTTATAACTGAAGTTTGTGATCAGCCGGCAGGCGTGAAGCCACCTCTGTGCCTGGACTGAACCACTTCAGTTTGCAGGGGAACAAATGCGTGTTTGGATACGTTCTGCTTGTGGGCATCCCATGGGCATCTGGTTGACTGTGGGAACAGAGCACTGGCCTGAGTGGGCTCTTCTAGTGCTCTTATGCTCATCTGCATGAGACAAGCAGGTCAGGGAGAAAGACTAGCCTATCCGTCTTCCAAAATGCTCGCTTCCTCAGTTTGTACCCATGGTGGCTGGAGGTAATGGGAGTCATAATCCAAAGCATCTGGGGGGCTCCAAGCTGCCTGAATTACACCAACCTTGCAAAGGTGGGGCAGTTAAACTAGCAGGAAAAAAGCAGGGAGGGCAGGTCCACCTTCCAGTCCAGAAGCCAAGGAGGTGATGAGCCTCAACAGCTTCTGAAGGAAACAAGCTTGCTCAGCACCTCTTGATAGAGTCACCTCCCTGCCTCTTCAGCCCTACCAGACCCATCAGACAAAGGAAGAGGTGATGTCCCCACTGTGGAAGGACGTGTGGATCCAGAATTGGCTTCCACAGTCACTTACAGACTCATTGTTAAAACCGTGCTTATGGAAGACAATCTTACTCGGCTACGAGTGATCGCCAAAGGAGGAGGAGGAGGAGAGGACAAGTGCTTTAGCCCAGTGCTCCCTTGTTAATTTATGGAATAATCCAGATTACTTCTTGATTTATGGAGGAACAGATGCAGGGGCTCAAACCTATGGGGAGCCATGACCCTTCTCCATCTGTAATCCCTGATGTGCAGCCCTCATCTGTAGGGCCATCAGCAAAGGGCAACCAAAAGGAGGAAGAGGATGGAAAGACTCTCCTATGAAGAAAGGTTGAAGCATTTGGGACATTTTAGAGAAAAGGTGAGTAAGAGGCGACATGAAATAAGTTTTTAAAATTATGCATGGCATGGAGAAAGTGGAGAGAGCAAAGTTCTGCTTCCACTCTTGCAACACTAGAAATTGTGGACATCCAATGAAGCTGAACGTTGGGAATTTCAGGGCAGATACAACCAAGTTCTCCTTCACGCAGCACAGAGTTAAACTACAGACCTCACTTGGATGGATGGCCACCAACGTAACGTAAATGGCTTTAAGGGCTATCCGTGGCTGAAGACGGGATGACTATGCTCTGTTCCCACATGGAGGAAGTAATTCTTCCAAATAGCAGTTGCTGAAAACCACAAGAGGGGACAGTGCTTGGATCCTGCTTGTGGGTTTCCCACAGGTACCTGGTTAGCCATCACGAGAACAGGATGCTGGACTAGATGGGCTTGATCCAACAGGCTCTTCTTATGTTCAGTGAGGAGAAAAATGCACTCCACACCTGATCAGAGGCCATTTATCCTTACATCATGCCTTTCTGGGGCCCTGGCATTGAACTCACACCGGGGGCAGAGGCAGAGAAAGGTGGGTGCGGTGGGTGTGACCTGCCCCAGGTGCCATCCCTGAGGGGGGGTGACATCGCCGCCCCAACACTTGCCACTTGCCCAGGAGGCTAGCAGTGGTTGCTGCACCCCTGGGAATCGTCCCCCGCATCCCTGGGACGCTCGCCCCGCCTCCACGGGCCCCGCCTCCCATCCTCCACGGGCCCCGCCTCCACGCGCAGCTAGCCCCACCCCCAGGTGCATGCCGCTCCAGGTGCGGGAGCAGCTAGCTCCACCTCTGACTGGGGGTAAACCTTGGTAAAATTCGAGTGCAAATTAGATCCTGGACTTTCTTCACCAAAATCTTCGGCAAAGAAATTTCCCCTCCTTTGATAGCTCCAGTTGCCAGAAGGAGGTGTACAAGACACCATCCAACCACCTTAGGGACTCCACTCTGATTTGCATTATGTGAAGCAAAACTCAAATGTTGCAGTATGGTCTGAACATACACAAAGTTAGGCATGATTTTCTCGGCCAGTCTGTCGTTCTTCCCCAACAACTGGTACTCAGGATACTGCCCCGTACTCAGTTCCTTTTAGCAAAATGTCCCATGAATTTTAAAACTTTTTCAAGCTCTCTAAGCCAGTGGCCATCAACACAGCTTAAGGCGGCAAATTCCACAAGTTATTTATGTATTGTCTGAAGAGGGACTGGTAGTTACACCATTGTTTTAATTAGTTCCCTAGGCAAGGTGGGGCTGTTCTCCCACAAGTGCACACATGTTCAGTCAGAGGCTCAACTGCCTAAGAATCAGTCTAAGCTTTTTCCTGCCAGCCTTGACTGGGGTTTTTTGTTTCCCTGTGTGGGGACCTGGAGATCTGAGTCATGACCAAACTGCATTTTTACTGGAGATTATATTGGTGCATTTTATTATGGTACCCTCTCTGATATCACATGGTGATGAAAGGCAAATTAGAAAATACATTAAATAAATAAAAATAAGAATGAGCAACTTTCCATATAATGAGCTGGGAAAAGGTGTAAGTAGAGGGGGTGAAACTGTGGCCAGCAGATCAAAGAGTAACTCATTTATTACAAAATACATTTTTTGTGGCCATGCAGGGTTATCCTGAGTTGCAGGAATATATGCACACACCTGTACAGTGGTACCTCTGGATGTGAATGGGATCTATTCCGGAGCCCCGTTTGCATCCTGAAGTGAACGTAACACACGACTGTGCGTCTGCGTGGGCGGCATTTCGCCGCTTCCGCGCATTACATCATTTTGAGTGTCTGCGCATGCACAAGCAGAGAAACCCGGAAGTAACGCACTCTGTTACTTCTGGGTCACGCGGAGTGCAACCCGAAAATGCTTAACTTGAAGCGTATTCATCCCGAGGTATGAGTGTATATGTGTATAATAAAGGAAGGGTCAGAATGCAGAGGTAGAGCATGCAGAAGGTGCCTACACTTCACAGGGAGGGCTGGAATAGAAGTAGCGCCACTTCCAGCGAGTGTGGACAATGATGTGCTAAACACACCCAATGGTCCACTTTGGGGTGTTCACATCAGCATCTTGAAATGCAGTGAGGTTGTTTCCTCCTGCTGTGCTTCAAGCCACATCTGCATGGCACTGTTCACATCAGAGAAGGGGTGGGCAAGTATTCACTGGATGCACATGAGCTTTTTGGTTCCCCTGCCCTTGCAATGCCCCCCCCCCCCCGCAATCCTATTCAATAAGCAATCATCTGCATAAGCAGGACAGCTGTTAGGGTGTGTTCAGATTGCTGCTTATTCCACATACAGTTTTCTAGTTAGATTGCACCTGGTTTTTTTGGGGGGGGGGTTTGAGGAGAAACCACATCAGGCAGCAATATTTTCCAAGAAGCAACAGGATCCTTCTGGGTTGTGGCTAATGTCGTGTAAATGCAGCCGCCAAAAACATTCCTGTTTATATCTTTCTCATAAAGAGCTCAAACTGGTGATACATAATTCTCCTCCTCCCCATTTTATCCTCACAACAGCCCTGTGAGGTGGGCAGGGAGTGACTGGCCCGAAGGGAGCTTCATGGCAGGAGGGGGTTTCGCCAATAACACAGAACGTGGACATAGTTCTGCTTCAATTTATTGCTGATTTTGATCTTTTATCAATGTTTCCAATGGCTGTTAACTGTTTCTACCAATAATGTCATCGTTTTATTCTTGTCTGCAAAACAATCCAACAGTATATAATTCTAAAGAACAGAGAAAATCAACGCGGCTTCCAAGCCGGCCGTGGGAAGGCACTGGCTGCGGGCGATCTAAGGCCGCTTCTTCTCTTCCGCTCCCACACGGGGGGGGCCGAGGGGGGAGCAGCGGCGCCAGAGGCCCGCAAACACGAGGCTGGAAGATGCAGAGTCCAGAAGCCAAACCCCCGGGGGAAGAGAGGCGGCGGCGGCGGCGGCGGGGGGCGCATATACAGCAAAGCCGCCCCCCCCCCCCCGCGCGCTGCAGGCTGCAATGGAGGAGCGGCCTGCCCGAGACAAAGGGCTGGGCTTGGTCCCCGCCCGGCGCGGCGCTGAGCGGCCCCGGGGAGCCACGAGGCGGAGGAGGAGGAGGAGGAGGAGGAGGAGGAGGGCGAGAGCCGCCCGGAGCCCGGCGCCGAGTCACCTACCGAGAAGAGGGTGGCGTACGCCGAGAGCGCGAACTTGAGGCAGTAGTAGTAGACCAGCGAGTCTCGCCAGCCCTCGCCGCCCATGGCTCCGCCGGCGCGCCTTTCCGGGGGAGGCCGGCCAGCGGCGCGCCTCCATCCAGCCGGGAAAGGGACCTGGGTCGCCGCCGCCGCCCCCTCGCCCCCCCCTCGCCCCCGCCGGCAGCTGCCGCTCCACTTTCTCTTTCGCCTCGCCAGCGGCGCGCCCCTCCCACTTCCGCCCCGCAAAAGTGAAAGCAATTAAAGGGCGCTCCCTTGCGCCCTTGGCCCTCCAGGCGCGGTGTCGGCGCTACCCGCGAAAACAGGCGCAGAGGGAGGAGGACCGGAAGCTTCTCTCCCCACGAAGCACACACAAAAATCAAGTTGTGTTTTGTGCCCTCTGGAACTTTTACGGGTTGCCCGCGTTTCGCATTTCAATTTTGACACCACCACAACAGTGTTTCAGCTGCACTTTTATGCAGGTCCTGCTGGCAGGCGCAAATTTGTGACGCGCTCTGCGCTTCACGTGTAGATGCTCAGAGAAAAATGTCTAAATGTGAATGGCTCCATAGGGCAAAGGGCCTTTGTGTTGGAGGCTGTCAGGGATGGTATTAGCTATGTTCCTTCCTGATGGGGAAATTCCCACTAGAAGGCCACAGAATTATCTTCAAGCAGCAGGTGAATACAATGTATCAGTTGAAGATGGTTGCAAAAAGTCTGTGCTAGAACAGCCACATCTTCCTATTTGCACTTTTGTCTCTCGCGTTTTGCATCCTCTCTGGAATGAGGTTAGTCTTCTAATAAATTGAATCTGATGTCTTTCATTTACTTCTATCCGTGCAACGTTTTTCTTTGCCTTGCTCAATCCGTTTCAAAGACCAGCACATATTTCCTGGGTTCATAGTTACATAAGAAGCTGCCTTCTAGCAAGTCAGACCATGATCCTTAAAGCTCAGTGTCATTTGCTGAGTGGCTAAATCAGCAAAATGCTAAAGCCCTAAGCTATGTCAGCCCCATAGCACTGCCCTCCCTAAAATGTGCAAGAAAGGACAATGAAAACAGCAACTGAATGGCAAGAATGATCTAGCTGCAGGAGATAGATAGATAGAGGGAGAGAGAGAGAGATTTAAAAATGCAATATGACAAATGATTGTGAAGCCATTAGATATTTATTTCTCCTATCAGATAAATAATGTCTGTTTCAGAGCCTATTTTCCCTGTTTTTTACTTTTTATTTTTTAAATGAATCATGGTAAGGCTTTCAGGGAGGAGGTTATTTAGATGCCTTTCATAGTCTGATGGCCTAAACAATAGATTATTTAGCTTTCCCATAAATCTAGAACTACTGACAGTAACTGTAGAGGGTCCTGGGACAGAGGTCCTTCCGAGCCTAACTTGGAGATTCTACAGCTTGAACCTGGCACCTTCTGCATGCAAAGCAAGGCACCCTCCACCAAGATTTGCCCCCTGGACTTTTCCCCTGCAGGAAACAAGGCACTGGTAGTACTGAGTATGCTGCAAAGGCATGAGAAACTCAGATTCCATTTTTTATGTATATGTCAGGTTCTCTAACAAATCAGAACTGGTTAAAGAACACGAAGCAGAAAGCAGTAATAAACAAACATTTCTCATAATGCAGGTGTGTAACTTCAGCAGTCAGTATTGCAACCTGGGCTTTTCAACATAGAATCATAGAATCACAGAGTTGGAAGGGACTCCAAGGGTCATCTAGTTCAACCTCCTGCAATGCAGGAAACTCAGCTTAAGGATCCATGGCAGATGGCCAACCTCTGCTTATAAACCTCCAAGGAAGGATAGTCTACAACCTCCCGAGGGAGACCATTTCACTATCAAACAGCTCTTGCTGTCAGAAAGTTTTTCTAAATGTTTAGTCAGAGCCTCCTTTCTTGGAGCTTGAAGCCATTGGTTCGAGTCCTACCTCCCAGAGCAGGAGAAAACTAGCTTGCTCCATCTTCCATGTGACAGCCCTTAAGAGCAGGCTTCCTCAAACTCGGCCCTCCAGGTGTTTTGGGGCTACAACTCCCATCATCCCTAGCTAGCAGGACCAGTGGTCAGGGTTGATGGGAATTGTAGTCTCAAAACATCTGGAGGGCCTTGAGGAAGCCTGCTTTAGATATTTGAAGATGGCTATTATATCTCCTCTCAGTCTCCTCTTTTCTAGGCTAAACATACACAGCTGCTTCAAGTGCTCCTCATAAGGCTTGGCTTCAAGACCCTTGATCATCCTAGTTGCCCTCTCCTGCAGACATTCCAGTTTGTCAACATCCTTCTTAAATTGTGGTGGCCAGAACTGGACACAGTATTCCAGGTGTGGTTTGACCCAGGCAGAATACAGTGGTACTATTACTTCCCTTGATATGGGCACTAGACTTCTGTTGATGCAGCCTAGGATAGCATTCACTTTTTTTCCTGCTGTTGAATTACACTGTTGATTCATGTTAAGCTTGTGGTCCACCATGACCCCTAGATCCTTTTCACATGTACTCCTAGTAAGCCTGGTGTCCCCCATTCTATATTTGTGCATCTGGTTCTTCCTGCCTAAGTGCAGAAACTTACATTTGTCTCTGTTGAAATTCATTTTGTTAGCTTGCACCCAGTTCTCCAATCTTCAAGTTCTCCAAGTTCATAAATGTACAGAAAAGAAAAGGTTGATCCCATGGGGCCCCTCCAGGTAGGGTATATATATATATATATATATATATATATATATATGGGTGGCAGGTGTATTCTGCAACATGGCATTGATACAACACACTAGAGCTAGGTTTACACTGGACCATTTCACTTTCTTAGTTGTTCTGCAATGCTTTCCTACTGTTATTACATTACTGCTTTCTGAAGGGGCACAACAAATGTGGGGCAAAAAAGAAGTAAACTGGAAGATTTGTGATGTAAAAGGATTTCAGCAGGAAGTTACAGGATGTACATTGATTAGAAACAAAGCAGTGAATTGGGCTAGGGAAGAGGCATAGGTGTCTCCCCTCCTCCATGGTCTCTCAGAACCAGAATAGGCATGAAGCAGGAGGAGCAAAGACAGACATGCAGGCACAGTCTCCAATTGCTCAGAAAAAACCCTGGGGAGGAGGAGACATAGGGAAAGAGGGGAACATTAGGCTTGGCAACTGATCAATAAGGCAAGACCTACCAGGGATGAGTTCCTGTGTTCGTTAGGCCTGTGCAGACCCTGTTCTTGCTAATAAAGAGTTAACTCCAAAGTGTGGTGTGATTTACTGCTGGCTTGCTCCTGCCACAGGAGGTGTGGATGAGGTCTATTGCTATTGGAATCTGCAAAGAACAAATGCCTCAAGCAGGGGTGCCAACTTGAATAAAATATGGGGTGGGCAGGTAATCCCAAGATGTGGTGTGCACACACCATTTGAATGGCAATGCCCATAAACTTGGGAGGGGAGCCCCCTCAAATATTTTATTGGGGAGGCAAAGGGACCTTGACCCCTGTGAGTTGGCTCCTATGGCCTCAATCATTCTCGCCTGGAACAAATGTATTTGTATGGACTATGCATCTCTCTTTTTCAGGAGACAAAATTCACTCACATTACCTCCTCTTAGGTAACTAAGGACTTCACCTGAGAGGGAAAAGGCAATTTTCATCAAAATGACTTTGGACTGGATGAGCATATTAAGGGAATAACACCCACCTAGAAGATTTCACTGGAAATAGCAAGTTTGCCGTTTCCCCTTGTTGTCTAAGAGGAAGCTGGCATCATTGCAATGACGCAAGGATTATTTAGGGCTCGTTTCTTCTACTTAAATGCTACCTTTGGGAGGGGACAGGAGGGAGAAAAACAAGCTCAGCTAGATTTCCTTTAATCAAAATGTAATGTAGCTTTTGGTCATGATTGGAGCAGGCACAAGACTGTCCCTGGCATTCACAGGCAGAGTCTCAGGCATTTGATCAGTAAGTGCCACCAAGCCTGGTATAGTATATGGAACAGGAGCTGTAAAGTGGTGGTTTGCTATCTGCACCTGGCATCCAGGTGTAAAGGAGGAAACAATGGGGGACTGTGTTGCATTTGAAGGAAATGCTGCATGTGTGATGCCACCTGAATATGGATGTAGACAGTGATTCCTAACAGAAAAAACAATGGTTGAAATGGGCAGCGGGTGGCACCTTGTCAGATCTGAATTCTGCTGAACTGTGAATGAACACACAGCCTTTGTCCCTCTTGGCTCAGCACATGTGGAGGGAATGTCCTGTACAGTTTTGCTGAGATTTCTCTCTTCCCTCTCTCTCCTGTGCAAGGTCCCAGAGCCTTGGGAGGGACCAACAGCACCATCTCCTAGCAAGCTGGAATTGAGAAGCAACAGTGACCACGGCTGCCAGTGGAAATCAGACTGCCTGGCACACTTGGGGAGGATGCATCCCCTTTCCCTCGGCCTCGGTCCTGTATACCTGAAGGAGAGTCTCCACCACCACCATTCAGCCCGGACACTGAGGTCCAGCGCCGAGGGCCTTCTGGCGGTTCCCTCGCTGCGAGAAGCCAAGTTACAGGGAACCAGGCAGAGGGCCTTCTCAGTAGTGGCGCCCGCCCTGTGGAACACCCTCCCACCAGATGTCAAGGCAATAAGCAACTATCTTATCTTTAAAAGACATCTGACGGCAGCCCTGTTTAGGGAAGTTTTTAATATTTAATGCTGTATTGTTTTTAACACTTGATTGGAAGCCGCCCACAGTGGCTGGGGAAACTCAGCCAGATGGGCAGGGTATAAATAATAAATTATTATTATTATTATTATTATTATTATTATTATTCCCTCTGTCACACTCTTCCACATCACCCAGATGGGTGTAGTGGTTTGAGTGCTGGGCTAGTGCAGCTGGGAGATCAGGGTTCCAGTCCCCACTGAGCCAGGCACTGCCTCGCCCTACCTCACAGGGTTGTTGTGGGGATTAAATGAGGGGGGGAAACCATGTACACCACCTTGAGTGGCTATAAGTGCAATAATGAATAAATGAGGTGGATGGGTGAACGACTTGAGCTTGCTTCTTGCCCCATCACTCACCTGCTAGCTTGGCAGGCATGGGAGAGGTGTGGGCGGGCCTGGACTCTGAGTAGTAGGGGGGTCCCACCAAGGGCATGTCCCCAAAGAATCCTGGAAGCGAAGCGGTAATTTGTTAAGGGCCTCC